ATGGCGGTTTTCGGAACAGATTTTTTTTCATGAAATTAACGAAATTATTTTGAGAAATTAAACTTATTTCAAGGCCCATTGAGTAGCCTATAATGAAATTTGTTGATAAAACTTCCAGCAAATATTTTTTTTTATGCTGAAAAATAATTTTTAACGCCTAAAAATGAATATCTTAGGTGTCCAAATTAGATTTGTCCACAAACGATCAGTGTCCAAATTACATCAAAAACTCTATGTAGTAAGTATGTAAGCATTAACAATTATAGTTTTACGATTGAATGGATGAAGTTGAAACGTTGTGCGGGTGGAAACGAGGAGGAGATATTTTGGTTTTCCATTTATTCGAAATTACTTTAATATGTATGCAATGAAAGTTTAATGATGTGAGGTAACATTTAGAGTTTTTCCTCGTTCATTTTAAGCTTTTAATGGAGTTTTGCTGTGATTTATTTTTATTTTTTTGTTAGTGAGAAATTTTCTTTTCACGACATTCTGGTCTTGATGTAAAATCAGCCTTCATTCGTATGTCATTTTTATTTCAATCGATACAGAATTAAAGAAATGAGAATATTTCAAACATGATGGAAAAAGGATCGAAAGCTTTTGAATTCGTAATAAGCATCATCTGAGTTTCTTGAATGCAATATAACGAAGAATAAGTGAGGAAAATCTCTCGAGAATGGAAAAACTTTACTAAATAAGTATAACAAGGAAGTTGCTTGTTTCATAAAATATTTTTATTTGATTTTGAGTGCAAAGAATTGCTATTTACTTATACATAATTTAATGGCACTCGATCAACACATAAGATGCATATTTAAATTGAAAATTATTATCACATTAAATATCTTGTTTATCAGTTATTTCGAAAGTATATTAACATTGTCTTCAAAAACGAGGCACATGTGGATGGATCAATCTCAATTCAATATTCTATTAGCAATTTCAAATCGATAAACTTCACTTACTTGATGCTTACATTGATTGGATTGAAAGCACCAACAACAAGTCCCGTGAATAAGAAAATATTCAAACTTTTTCTCTGATAAAATATTCTTTTTTTGTGAAAACATCGTGAGAAAAGCTGGAAAGTAAAATGAGTGTGTATGAGTGCTTTTGTGTGTGAGAGTGTGTATGCTAATGGAAATTTTATGTTATCGTTTCAACAACGAATATATTGGACTAAGCTAAACTCGAATCAATCCATATCACATCAGATTTTTCTCGTTCGATACATTAAGTTTGGGCGATGACTGTCACAAGAAACAAGGAAAAAGTATTACCTGTAAGTTATTCAACTGACGTTTCATGTGAGCCAAATTCAAATTGGGATTATCAGCTAAGCCAGCAAACACCAAACGTTCCTCGTAGTCATAGGGACAAAGGATTTTGTTATCACATAAATAGTATTTGTCGCCAACACAAAACCTTGAAAGATGTAAGAAGATGAAGGAACGTAAATATTTTATTTAATTAATTGTATGATATTTAAGGTCAATTAACAATCATATAATGGAACTAACCTGTGCTGACAGGCGAAGCAAGCGAAACATTCTAAATGATAAACATTGTATTTAGCTCTCATTACCATTTCATAAGCGGGAATCATTTTGTTGCATGCCGAGCATGATCCCGTGTTACCGAAAAGTCTTAAATAATCTCGCTTGCATAATATCAAATTGGCTTTGATGTAAAGTGTTGATCCAACTTCGCCTAATCTACAATCACAACAACCACATTTTAAGCAGTCTTCATGCCAAAATATATCCAATGCTTTGAGTAAATATCGCTCGACAATTCTTTTTCCACAACCAGCACATTCTTTTGCCATTACTGGTGCGGGCTCACATGGTTGCTGTACATGCTGAGTACACGAATGATGCGTTGTGACTTCCGTCGACTGCTGTTGTTGAACTGTTGTCAAGCCCATGACAAATATTTTATTTCGAAACGCACTTTCAATGATAGCTAATGTTTTCAATTTTATCTGAATCACAAGATATTTCACTTCACGCAACTTATCAATGAAAGTAAGCACAGAAGTTGGGGAATCTCATTAATCATAATTAATTGATGTTTATTGATATCGGCATCATATTACATTTCAGATGGTTCTATATATGCTTTCTCTCTCTTTATATGTTCGTACAAGTTTCGTTGTTATAGCAGAAATCGTCTCACACTCCACCATTAATTTCTAATGTCTGACACACACGATAACACTCGAGGAAAATGGTTCATGTAATTTTCATTAATTAATTAATTTCTTCAAGCAAGCTTACTCATTCCTATCCTTTCTTTTTCTCCTATCTTCATTCACATTCCACTCTCTTGACAGCATCAATTTTATCTTCCCACCACCCAAAAATCACAATAATCCGCTTCTCATTTTAATTGAAATTTGCACAAATTACAAGACTTGACTCACACTACAATCGACTGCTTTCATTTCCTTTTGAATTTTGGGTGCGAATGTTGTTTGTACTTTTCCCTTCTAACGGCAATAAATTAGCTTCGTTAGATGAAAAACGAATGAAGTGGAGCGGCAGAATGAGACGAAAACCTCCTCCACTTGAGTCTGCACACCGAGCACAATTTAATTAATTAAGCGACTAGCTTTCGTGATAACACCCTTTCGTTGCATTGTTATTAAATTTTACTTAATTAGCATTTAAAAGGAACTACTTTGGCTTTGAAAGCACGTTAATTTTTGGTTCAGCAGCTGAAATGCAATATGTATTGTTTTGTCGGTTAAACCCGCACTAATTAAAATGACAACTAACTTATTTAATGAGAACAGTTTGTTAAACAAACATTGAGCTTTGATGTGTTAATTAAAATTTTGTATTTTTCTTGTTTTTCGTGTCGCTGATTGTCATTTTTTGTGACCTGAATAATCCTCGATTTGAAAATATATTTCCATTTGTATGTCGCACGTTATTCGCCAATAAACTTGTCAACCAACTTGTCAGAATTCACATGTGACAATGTTTTGTTTCAGCTCGAAAATAACGAACTGCTTCAAGCTACGACACAAACTACAATGAATTGTCGAGTTTTCCTTCGGAAAATTGAGACTAAAGAGAGGATTTCATTGGAAAATTGTTGGGAAATGAGAGAATTGAGAGAGAAAAAATGTTGGGAATGGGAAAAACAATTTCATAAATGGATACGAAAATAGCGCAAAGAGGAAGAAAATTTGAATTAAATCTGCAACATAACCATTAAGAAGAATGAGAAGTAGAGTGGGTGGAAGAAATGAAAAAAGTTTTCTGTTGAATTTATTTTCGCTATTCTTACTCTTTGTCTCTTCCTTAAATTCAATGTAAATTACCAAGAAAATTGAAACTTATGATGCGTCGAATGAGGGAAAAAAGTGGAAATGTAGCAACAAGTGAGTTTTAATGAAAATAAGATTTCATGACATTTATTTTCTGAATAGGCTTTGGGTCGTGTTTGCTTTGCTAGACAAAATAAATTAAATATTTTTATATACCTTCTTGTGTGAAAAGGATTGATAAATTGGATTATCTTTTACTTTAAATAATAATCAGATAAAAAATATGTTCAACTTAATAAAAAATGAATGAAAAAGTTTTCTCAACCTTCATGTTAAAGTTGAGGATGTTGTTATGAAAAAAAAGTTTTTCTTTATCACACTGACTTGATTTTTCCTTTCATAAATTATGAAAATAAGAATGAAAGCAATTTGGAGATTCAAATCAGGAAATGTCTTTAGTTTTATTCCAGTTGACGATCTAACTTAATATCATTTGAAGGATAAAACCTTTTGAGATCCCAAACCCATTCTACTTAACATGATGGCTTTCATTTACTTAATGGCTATTGCTTGTATCGATCCTCCAGATATTAATTGAATCAATTTCAGTGCCGCTTTCAACAACTGATAATGGCAAAACCAAGAGTCATTAAAAATTGAATTAAAGTTGATGAAATTGAAAATATATTGATATCCATTACGTCCACCCCATTCAGATCCAAACCGCAAGAAAACTTTTCCCACAACATAAAAGCTACAATAATAAGAAAGGAAGGGAGGAAAAAAATTGTAATTTAGTTAATAGACTCACTCGTTCTACACGATAGCTTCATATAGATATAAAGTGGAAATATATCCAAAAAACATATTCAACAATGAAATTTAATTTTCTAAATTGTTTCATTCTTTTGCGCCCTTCAAGCAGTTTTGGCGTTCGTTTTCATGCTGGGGATCGGCGTGTGATGAGAATTTTATATGCTTTTCGTGCGATGTTATATCAAGGATATGTAAAGCATTCGCAAGATACTTATTGATGTAATAATAGGATTGCAAAATGTTCCGTGTCGAGCAATAAAATTTGATCAATTCTTAATGTTTGTCAGTAGAAGAAATGCTTACAATTGAATTGAGAACTTCTTTTCAACATGAAAGCTACAATAAAGTCTAAAGTGACTTTTAAATACACAAAAGTTTCGGGGAAATAAAAATCCATTAAGCTTTAGAAAAGCTTTTAAGTTTATTGTTGTCCCAAGTGACTTTTACTCAGTGAACAGAACAATAGAAATGCAAATTATAAAGCGCAATAAGAGAAATTCTTCTTCTCGAGAGGATAATTCGTTTTCATTATTCGTCGCCCATTGCAGAGCAGCACATTAAATGAATTTTCTGAGTAAATGTTGCAAACATACATCTTCTGATCTCTCCTGAGTCAAATCCTTTTTTCGTTTTCATCTTCTTCATCGTTTTGGAAGCTAATAAAATGAAGCGATTTTCAAAAAAAAAAATCTAAAATAAAATAAAAAATATGGAAGGAAAAGAAGAACAGAAGAAAGCTCCAGAGATCGCATTCATAAAACATCGTAAAGCTCGCATTCATCGCAATAATGGGGATGATTTATTTTAAATTGAAAATTTGCGATGCTTGACTGCTTGTACTTTACGAAGTGATTTATTTATAATGGCGTTTTACTTCAAGATTGTTTATTTTTCAATAAATACATTTTTTTTCCTTCTCCACTTCTCAACTCCAATCCAATTCTCTTTCAATGGGAATGTTCAGCTTTTAAAGTGGAAACGAAACTACCATTCAGGAGTACTCGAACATTTTTATTGAAATAAAGAGAAAATGTATTCAAAAAGTTAAATTCCTTGAAATAAATCACTTAATTGAATTCTTCTCCTTCTACTTCTCATGTAATCAGGCATTTATCTTTCGATCAAACATCTCTTTATTGCAAAGCTTTTCGTTCTTGAAACTCGAGTGGAAATATCCTCGAAGGAGACTCTTCCTCTCGTCCTTTGCCTGAATGTTTGAATATAACTTTATGTGAATGACAAATGGTCATTTTAACATGAAAGGACTCTTTGGAACTGCAAGAAGATATAATAAAATGTAAATTTTTTATACACATTGAACAGACATAATTTGTTAAATTAATTTTGTTTTATATGACAGACATGTCTACATTTTATTTAAATTTCTCTCCATGCATTTAATCAAATCATTCTATATCAATGTTATCTATGCTGTACTTCATTTACATTGACATTTTATATTCATGCATGCATCTGATGGTTTAAGAGAAAAGAAATTTTTCTAATTTTCATAGACTTTTCCTTTGGCTACAAGATGGATATTTATTGAAATTGATTTCATTTCTCTCACAGACGGTAAACGCATGGATTGAAGCTAATGCATGGAAATACATAGGAGAAGAGTGAAATTTATTACATTTGAAAGATTTTCCAATTTCCACAAGGTTTTTCTCAGACTTTTTTTTTCATCTCTCTTATAAATTATGCTTGTGAATATTGCATGTGAAATTGAAAACTTGCATAAAAGGCTTCCAATTTTCTTATCATTCAAATTGAATTGAGCAAAAATTGCCTCACGCTTATTGCTTTCCAAATTGAAAAGCCTTATTCAAATCAATTAAATTAATTAAATCTGATTTCATAACAGGAAATTTGAATCTATGTTGAATGAAATTCTTTTGAAATGGACTTGGGAATGGAAGTCGACATAAAGAAAAAGAAAGAAGGAGAGAATTTCAAATGAATAATGAAGCAATTTATGCAAAAATCATTTTCATGAAATCAATTTGCCTCGTTGAAAGACTGGAATTGATTTTTAAAAGGAAAACAAGTCTTCTAATTGATAAACTCGATCTGATAATATTTCTTTTATTTGATTGTCATGTTCAATTAAATAATTCTCAATCGTTGCAATTTTTTCATTATTTTAAGCTCTAAACTTAAATTCAATCATAACAAAACTTTAAATTGTTAAAAAGTTATTAAACATAATTAAACCTTGGATGCGAAAAGTTTTTCATTGAATTAGTTTCACATCAATAATAAATATTTACAAAGTTTGAAAATTCATTTTTCTGTGATGATTTCCAACTTTCTGTTAGTTATTCAAAAGATGGCAGAAATTTTTGAGCATCAAAAACAACATTTGACAGCACATAAAACTAATTTAAAATTCAGACTAAAAACATAATGAAAAGATGAGAAAAAATCTGTTTTTAAACTTATTCATTTTTATGTTTCGTTTAGCAACGAGAAAAGAGAAAAACTTTTTTAATTTCCCTTATGCAGATTCCCACAGCAATGATAATTATAATTTTCAAGGCGATGACACTTTCGTGCAACCTCAAGAGAATGGCTAAGGGGAGAAATGAATGATGAAGCTTTCAACGACATAAAAATTCTTCTTGCAAGTCCTTTCCCACACCAACAGTCGAATTAATTTCCATTTTATCCAGCCGCACATTTTTAATGAATTTTTTATTTAGAAATTTTTAATTTGCTACTCGATGACGAACTTTTTTTCATGTAAAACGACTTTCGAAAATATAAAAAAGTGAATGTTTTGATCAAACACAGAACCTTTAAAGGTCTCTCAAAATGTTATTTGACGTTGAATAATTAAGCAAAAAATTATTCTTGATAATAAAATATCAGAAATATGAAGATAACACCGGTGAATGTTGCATAATTCTTGTAAACAGAAAAGTGCTGAAATAAGAATCTCAATGTTAATGCGATAGGAAGGAAGCTAAAGGAAAAGTCTAATTAAAATTTTAATGAGATCCCCTTGCGCATCAAAGATATGAAATGCGAAATGAACTTAACGTTGGTTCATGTGCACAACGCGCTGAAATTAATTAATTATGCCTTTCTCTTGTCAGTAAATGAAGAAAAGAGTGACTGAAGGAAGGATTCTGAAGTACCAGTAAATTCAAGGTAACATTTTTCTTCCACATTTAATTAACCTTTTCCTTGTTGCACCACTGAGCTTTGAACAAGAAAGAAAATTTTTTTTTGCATTGAAACCATTTTATTAATTATCCGCCATCATGAAAAGAATGAAAGAAAAAAGAATTAAGCAATTTGCTTTTGCAACGATGGAAACTCATCTAATTAAACGATACCCAAACTGAAATTAAAAACAATTAAGAACAACGCTCCATACTTGAAAGATAATTTCATCTTCGAAACTTTCGTTTCATTTTTTCCGTTGCTTTTATTTCTTTAATTATGCTTGTGGTGTTCTGTGGTAGAGCGAAAATTAGAAACAGACAAGGCTGCTGTGGGCCATGAGACAATGTCTTGGGAATGTGGTAAGGGATCAATTGTAATTAAAAACAGTTTTGTAATTAACTGTGAAAATTTTATCAAAAAACTTTACAAAATTCTTTGGGCAAATAGTTATCCAATCCAATGCTTAAAGTTAAAGAAAATCTATCAATTTAACTTTCCAAGATGTAAACAAATAAACTTGTGATCAAATATGCAGCTTAAGAAAATAGAATAAAACATTCGAGGATGGCTATGACAAGAACTTCTTCTAATGTTGATTGAGTTTGTGAAATATTCTGTTAAGATTAAGTCGAATTTTTTGCGAGAATAAATAAATGAGATTGAACCTCTTACACCTGGTCACCTTTTTAATGAACATAAGGATGAAGGCAGCAAGCCAGCAAGCATCCGAGAGGAAAAAAGAGAGAATGAAAAAGTTTTTTAATTAAAAATTTTTATTAAATCGCCTGTGATAAAATTCAATTCATTTTTTATCAAACTGTTGTCTCTTTCGGTGTCCTTCTTGTTTACCAAAACTCTGATGATGAGAAGCTCACGATATCTAATTTTTCAGATGCCTTTACTTGTCGCAATGATGCATGAAGCGAATTTCGCTTTCATTTTTTTCGTGAGTTTAATTAATCAAAATGAAGTAAGAGTGTGGGAGGTTGCCAAGGGACAAAAATCCACGAAAATAATTGAACTTTTTTTTTTCAATTTTAGTTGAAACATGAGCTTGATACGTTCATACATCCGTAGCAAATGTAAATTGATTTGCTAGATCACTTGTGAATGAAGTTGTTTTCGTCCCCATTCTCTTACTTTTCTCATGAAAATTTAATTGAATTTCTCTCAATAACTTTTTTCCTGTGAGGGAAAACGAGCGGAAATAATTGCGTATCATATTATCTGGACTTGATGTTATTTGAATCATGGAATGGACTGAATAAGAAATATGAAAATCAGAACATTTTAATGTAAATCCCTAACACAAAATTAAATTAAATTAGATTCTGTTAATATGTATTAAGGTGAAATTATTTTAAGACATTTCTAACTCAGAATTATTCGTTTAATGATTTCTCGTCACAATTTCGTTAAATATTCCTTGAATTGCTAACATGCTAATAAACAAAAAAAGGAAACACTTTAAAAGCTTAAAATGGAATTGTGAGAAGCACAGAGGATACAAATTTAGGATCGTTTTCAATTTTATGTCCATTGACAATGTTCACATTTGAATTTTTCATTATTTCTTTGCCACATGTACGTGAGATTTCAGTGAAAGCGTTTCAAAGCAGCTTTGACGTTTCCCAAAACATTCATAAACAGAATCGAGCTCTTAACTACGTCACTGAAACTTACAGCAGCATTTTCTGTTGTTGCTACTTTTTCAATTTCCATTCATGTCTTTTCTATCTCTATCAACGATGATTGACATTTAAATTATTATTTTTGTGTCTTTTTCTCTCAATTTCTTTCTTTGCTTCCCTCATCAAACTATTGAGTTCTTTTTACAAACGCAAATACTGCGAGTTATACAAGATTAAAAGATAATATTCAATAGACTTCTTTCAAATGATTTAAAAAGATTTTCGTGACGTCCACATTTGAATTAAGTTTTGAAGGTCAAGTCATTGTTTAATGTTTTTTTTATGACTTCTCTACATAAATCAGCTTACGATGGAGAATAAATGACGATTGATTCAGTCAGTTAGTGACATAAAATAAAATAAAATTTGAAAAGGAAATCTTAAATTACTAACAGCATCTTTATCTGACATTTGATTTTCTCATGACTTGAACAAAACATTAGCAAGTAAGCTAAATATAAGAAAGAAAGAAAGAAAGAAGGAAATCCCAAGGAATGTTGAGAGATATAATTTATTTATTTGCAATTTTCCTTTCCCCCAATCATTTCCATCATTCTAAAGAAGATTTGGATTTCTTTTTGTTCGTATCCATGTCCGATTCTATAAAGCACTTTTCTCATCCCTCTCCTTCATTCCATACCGCCATCTCGCAATCTCCGAAGTCATGGGATCGAAATAAATGTATTTTATATGTAGTTTTGTAAATTGAATCAGAAGGCAGAAAAATGTTCCAAAGGACGATCTATATCCATTATTAGTTTCTCATGTTACAGACGTCACAAGAAGGGGGAAGAAATTGTAGAAAATGGAAAATGATTTACTTTAAAGCTCATCCGAAGGCTTTGAAACTTAATGTGAGCAATTTATTTCTTCTCTTTTTTTTATATGATTTTTGTCCTTTACAGATCGAAAGCCATTTTCATTCCACCCAAACTCCCATCATTCAAAGCGGATTGAAAGGAAAAAAAACTTTTTTTCCACTAATGGACTTTTTTTAACTCGACATCTTTGCTTTCTAAAGCAAATGCGAACAAAGGATAAATGCAGTTTTTGTGCTGATGTCGAGACTTTTATTCACATAACTTTAGCCTTCTTCTTTTTGCATTGACAACACATGGATTGGATTATTACTCTTCCAATTCATATTTGAGAGAAAATATAAAAAAAAACTTTTAAAATTTATTTCTCAACTTTCAATTTCTTTTCAAAGTTTAGAAGAAGTCAAAGTTTGATTATTTCTTTTCACAAGTGACTCAAATAAAAAAAAAATTAAACTTTTGGAAATTGTGAGTTATTCGACGAATATATGAAGGAAAATTCACTTCTTGAATTTTCATCTTGTTTAAATATCTAAATTAATCTTTATGTTTTTCATTGTTTGCTAATGGGATGCTGTATGCCTTTCTGTTTACCATAAAAACTGAAATTTCCGAGAGAATCAAGAGAACGAACATTCATTTCTTCATCATGCCAATTGAGCACTTAAAAGTATTTAAACCTCTCGGTGCTGAAAATCAAACAACGAGAGAGAGATGCGATATTGGAAAGCTCCCAAATGCCACCCACAACAAGAGAGAAATGAGAATTGAGGTTGATGTTGACTGCAACCCTCCAGTAAAGAAGCAGCTTATTTACTCTATTACACAATATTAGCGTCCTTTGTGAGAAGCGAATTGATGTGGAAAGTGGCACTTCTTGATAAGTCATAATAAAATTATAATCATTTTATCGTCATAAAAGAATCTTCTTCTCGACTTCCACTTCGACACTCGACATTGTGTGAAGTTACATGTTTGCGATTTGCAGTCATAAGAATAAAGCAAACATTATATCAGTCATTCTGAAAAGGTGATTTTTCACGACAAGTTAAACACACACAATACAATGTGCACAGTGATGGAAAGGCAAAACAAGTCGAAGAAGAGTGAAAGGAAAGGAAAGAAGGCAAACAATAAACGGAATAAATGGCGATGCTTAATCTTCTGATGGGACGCCGTCGTGTGCGCGCCTCTCTAGAGAAATGCCAAAAAGAATTTATCGCAATAATAGCATGATTTATTTTAAATCGAAACAGCAGTTACTTTCACGGAATGTTATATTTTTTTTTTACTTTGACTAGTGATTTATTTAATGGCGTTAAGATTGTTTATTTTTCAATAAATATTTTCCACTTCACTTCCGCCGTCAAGCATGCTGTGTTAAAGAATAAAGATCGAAATGGATTTTTTTTTTCACTTTTACTTCTTCTTCCAGCTCGCTTTATCCAAAATCCCACAACAAGGGATATTTTTTTGTGTAAAGTGGAAAATTTATGGATTTTCCACTCATTCGCTCGTTGGGAGATTCGCATAAACATAAAATAAATTTACACATTGAAAATTGATTTTCTTTTTGCTTTATTTCCTTCAAGATAATGTTTTTCTTCGAAAGATATTTTCAGGTGAACATTTTTATGGGTTATTGGACATTTTACTCAAAAAACTCACAAAGTTTTTGTTAAAGTGTGTTGAATGAAGGTTTTTATACAAAAAAAAAATGAAGGAACGTCAGAAGACTTTAAGTGCCTTGAAGCGGGAACAATTGATAACAAATATCATTTAAGTTTTCACAGAATTAAACATTAATTATTTATCAGGAAAACATAAATTTCCATTCAAAAACTAGCGATGTTAATTTTATTTTAATGATTTGTATTTCAACTTACTCGTGGTCTGTTATCCAATTAACGTCAAAAGCATTCACTTGAAACTCCTAATTAAGTCAATTCAAACACACGTCGATGATTTACTTTTCAGCTTAATTTTTGTCGTTTGTTGATATCTCATTAGTATGGTTTGACTTGACTACACCTTCTTAAAAGCTCCTTCTGTTTATTCAATAATAAGGACGAGCGACAACATTTACAAGCTCAAAAGCAAACTTCCTTCCATTCATAATGAATTTAATTAGTGTTCCTTGCTATGACAAGAATAAGCGCGACCAATCCCTCTTGATTTTGAACTTACATATCATTTTGATAATTAATTAATAAAATTGCATTTTCGTATTCATATTAATTATTCAAGTTAATTTAATTATCTACTTTAGAGAACCATTGAACACTTCGGTTGATTGATTGAAATTATTAATTTCGATGAATAAAGACAAAAGTAGGGGTGCAAAATGAGCGGGCGGAAGGGAAATAAACAAATTGAAAGCAATGTATGTATGTTCAAGGATGTGATAATATCAACGTCAACACTTGAGAGCATAAAAGGAAGGAGAAAGGTAATTTGTTATAGAAACATAAACATCCTGAACCATTAACATAATCCCCAGCTTAATCTCCATCTTCGTCTCTCCATTCATCTACAGGATATGTGTGTGTGGATGTAACATGATAATTTCATCAGATATTTCGTTCCTCTCCTTCATATACTTAGTCTCGTTGACATTATCCAATAAATAATCTGTTCTGGTAATTTGCATATTCATGTAGCGAAACTTTTCATTGAAATTATGTTCTCAAGGTGAAACGACAATTTTGCACAAATTGAATTGATAATCTACGTGGTTTTGCCCAATTTGTAGTAACATTAAGCTTGAAATGATGTCATTTGACACAAGTCGCTTAATCTTTTGAAATCATAAGCTGGATGATCTTTGTTTTGTACGATGTTGATGGGTGGCAAATTGTATTGTGGGTGGATGTTTATATTCATTAAGTAATTAATTAATTTACCTCCCGTGTATTGTATCACGCGGGAAATATCCTACTTTGACCACCCCTACTGAAGACAAAAATTCATTTTACAAACTCAACCTTAATCTGCTTTTCTTTACTAATTGGTTTTTTTTTCTGTTGCTCGTTTTGTGACGCACACTTATACTAAAGTGGAATGAATAAGTTGAGTTGATGTGTTTTTCTCGTTCCCTTTTTTTTCCGTAAGAATTTAATTATCTCTCATTTTTGGCTCATAAACATATTTTTTAATTAATTAATTAATTAATTAACTTTCTTTTCGTTATTTTGTTTTCAGTTCGCATTATAATTAAACGTTTTTCGCCAAGCGTCACTTAATTATAGATTGACGACCGAAACGGGAAGCATAAAACATACAGCGAAAAGCTTTTCGCGTGATTGGCAGTGAATATTTTTTAATTGAATTTAAAATTAATTAGTTTTCGTACTGTTTAATGGTGTTTTCCCGCAAATTTTCCATCAAGGCTATGTTGCCGTCCCTATTTTCAATGTGTCCGCAATAAACCTTCACTTCAATGATTTTCAATTAAAAATTATTTGCCAGCTTTTTTATTTTTCAATTACATCGAAAAACATTTTTTTTTCTTCGCAGCAACAATAAAGTTTTGTTGTGATGGTATGAGATAAACCGTCGCCCACTTGGCGTAACTCTAATAAAAAATATGTGTGTACTTTCAAAAAAATTCAATTAAATTCCACATGCTCTACAGATGCGAACATCCAATTTTCCTTTTACAGCGTTTGATGTTGCACGTTCGAGGGTTGAACAGAAGAAGAAAAAGAATAAAAATTGACATGAAAAATTTTCTCTCAGTAAATTTTCCACGTGAAATACTTTTTTTAATAACATCAAAATAAAAAGTTAAACTTGTAAGAATATGTTTGTGTGTATGTGTGTGTTTGCCTATGTAATTCCATGTTGTGTAATGTCGACCACTGAAAAGTTATTTGCCTTGGCTAATTTAGTTATGTACAGTCGCTTAAATAGCTGTGTATGGCTATGAAATTATATTTTCAGTATATTTCTTTCTTGATTCACTTAATCTTTAGGATCCCAAGCGAATTTCCACATGAGTTCTCCCAGAAGAAATACCAACTGACTGCCCGGTCGCGTGTTCAACAATGAGTCAATTTTGTGTTGGAAAATTCTTTTCTGTAGAAAAATTTCACTCTCGGAGAAAATTTCAGTTTTGTGAGTGAACATAAAATTCCAATGAATGAGAATAAAATTTTCTGAAATAGGAAAAAATCTTCTTCATCAACCCCATCACATTCAACGGCGACTGTGTGAGCGAGTAGCAAAAAATTGTGTACAATTTCCATCAGATTGAGCTTGGAGGGTGGAAATGATGAAAAAATTCAATTTAATGTTCAACTCAAATTCCCATCCATTTTTTATCTTCGCCTTCCCAGTCACTGCCAAAGATGGTCATTCGTTTTTCCATTTATATGATTACGAATATAAGTGAGTGTGATTTTTATGGGAGTTTGAGACGAGCTTAAGGTGAAGGGATGAGAGCGAGGATGAGTTGAATTGAATGGGGTTTTCCTTTCCTCGATTTCTTTCTCATTTTCCTTTATTTTCTTAAACCGAACAGAAAGGAAAGAAGAAAATATAAAATAAAATTTGTAACGATGAGAATCGCTCCATCAGAGATAATTGTAATCCCATCAATTCATTTCTATAGTCGACTCAATCAGTAAGGGGATGAGACGTGAACCATATAAGAAATATTTGTGAAGTATTTTTGATATATTAAATGACATAACATACACTCTTTGATGTCAAGGAATTTCTTTTTATTATAAAAACCATTAAAGAATATTTTGTGTGACAAACTTTATCCAATTTTATTGAAATTAATTAAACGATTTAACAATAAACAAGTAGGTTAAGATTAGAAAAAGAAAAAAAATATAAATAATCTTTAGTTAGATTAATCACGATAAAATGTTCGTGACAATTGGATCGTTTCAATTGAAGTACTTGAAAAGCCACTTTAATTAAAAATAAATCAATTTAATGTTTATCAACAAAACAAAAAACTCCGTCGAGATCGTCTTTTGTCTTTTTTATCTATTCTCGAGTTATCGTCTAAGGATTGAGATTTTTCTTGAGATCTTCCACGGTTCACTTGTTTGTCTTCCTAAATATTATAATTTATTACTAATTTAATATTCAACATATATGCTACGCTTTTTTAATCCTTCTTTCTTACCTCAACTAGTTCACCAATTTTCATTGTCTTTAGTTCCCTAAAGGCTTCACTTGAATGACCTGCTTGATAAAACTCCTTTGTGCAGTCTGTCCCAGCATATTCTTCAATAATTTCAGAACTTCCAGGATGGTTTTCCATGAAATTTGTAACGTCATAAACTACATCTTTAATTACAACCCAAACTTCTTTCATTGTTTTTCCATCTCTCAATGCTACTTCATTTAATGTATAATACGGACAATTTATTTTATCGCCAACCGTCATTATGAACTTTAACAACTTGAATCGATCAACGACAGAAACTAAATGAACACCTCATAATCAAATCTCGCTTTTAAAATGAATTTCAGGTACATCATATTAAAATGTTATCAGAAATCTGATAAAATATACGTGATCGTATTGGTATACTTAATATTTGTGATTGGAAAATTTAAGTCACACAATTATTAAAGTCACATACACAGATAACAACTTCGAAAACTTCCCGTTCATAAACATTTTTTAAGAATTTAGTTGCCTTCTATGTGTATGATGTTATAAATGTTTCAACGACATTTGATATTTCAAACTAAAGAAAAATCCCAGCAATAGATGTCGCTACTAATGACTGAAACAAAAAGCTTTGGGATTAAAACAAATGTTTTTCTAATGGGAATAAATACAATTATAATGTGTCCTTTTAAAATTATATTATTTTACTAACTTTATTAAACTCTTTGAAGAAAAAATTTAACCATTTTAAGTCTACAATGCATTATAGATGTATCAATAACTATCAATTATTATACAAATCAATCATTCAATTGATTTTTATTTTAGATTATAATAAAGCTTGACTCTCATCAAATTATTCATCATCTTCTATTTTGTATTCTTTTTCATTTGTAGCAATCTCAAACAAACTTAGATGACAAATGACTTGAATTTAAATATTAAAGCATATTTCGATCTTAGCCTCTTATCACTTAATTTTTGAATGTATGCAGCAAAAAGAAGACATTAATGTTATGTGTTTCTTGACATTAATTTCATCAATTAATTCTATTTCAAAACATTCGCATTAAATTTTTTTTTTGGAATAACTTTATTATAATTTTATTCTTTGTTTCTGATTATGACATGTTTAGATGACTAAATATAATGTTGCAAGATATATGTTCCTATTTGGAATAATACAACTATTTTTATTAAAATCTTACATTCAAAAAGAATAGTTTAACATACATCCAAAATAAGATGAAAATTATTTATTTTTATATATAACGCAACAATCTAATTACAACTTAGACATTCTTCAAATAACAAATCGATTCAAAATTTTTCTTGTAAATCGAAATTTACATTCGAATCTGCTTTGCAACATGGAATCATTTTTTTAAATTCTTTCTTAATGTTTTCTTCAAAGAGATAATAAACAAGAGGTCTGCAAACATGAGAGATCGTTTGCATCATATAAAGAATCGAAATTCCTTCATAGAAGTCAAGGGGTATCATATTAAAAATATCATTTGCGAGTAAAGGAAAAGCACAAATGATTTGCAAAACCAAAATAGCTGGAACCATTTTGTTCGTTTTCCCATTTGTATTAATTTTACAGACAAAACAAATGATAAGAGCACTTGTAATAAAGATTAAATACACAACTCTCATTCCTTGTATTACATTAGTGTTGACCTCGTAACAAATAGAAACATCTTCATATACAGAAATTGTAACGTATCTTACATTAAATTTTGCATTAAAAAATCCATAACACGATGCGATTGTCCAAAATATAAAAATCGAAGTTAAACTGAATTTGTTTGATGTTTTTCCATAAAAAAGTAAAATAGCGAGAAGGAGCAATGTCATTGAAATCACCACTTCTGATGTTCCAAATATGCTCATCGCCAAGTAACAGAAATTTCTCGAAAATATTTTTGTATTGTAAATTAATTTGAAGGCTACAAGTATTATTGAATCCATTGTATCAGCGGCTGCCAAACTTACGATAAAGTTGTTGGTTGATGATTGAAGTTTTTTCTGTTTTATAAATGCAATAATCACCATCGAATTTCCAATTAATCCTAGTAACCCAAGAATAAGATTGGCCGCATTGATGATGTTGTCTTCAGAAACGTTCTGGTTATCTTCGTTAGTTATGTTGAAGTCTGGTTCTTCGGAAAAATATTCATAGTCCTCCATTTCACAAGTTTTAACTTTTCTGATGTTTCTTCAATCAAATCTTATTAACAACTGCTCTGAATTTCAGAATATAATTAAAACTTATAAAGATTTTCTTATCACTTGATGTTTCAATGTATGGAGCAAAAAGAAGACATCAATGTCATTTGTTTTAAGTTTATTTTCCTTATGTTTCTTGAAATTAATCTCAAATTACTGATGAGCTTCTCAAATATTTCGTAATAAGTTTTTTTAAGAATTTTTTTATTAATTGTTTAGATGACTAAATATAATGATAATTTGCTGCAAGATTTATGTTTCTATTTTGCATCATAAATTAATATTAAAATCGTACCATTATTAAAAGCATAGTTTATTTATTTTTAAGTTGTAACGCAACAATCTAATAACAACTTAGACATTCTTCAAATAACAAAACGATTCAAGATTTTTCTTCTAAATCGAAATTTGCATTCGAATCTGCTTTGCAACATGGAATCATTTTTTTAAATTCTTTCTTAATGTTTTCTTCAAAGAGATAATAAACAAGAGGTCTGCAAACATGAGGGATCGTTTGCATCATATAAAGAATCAAAATTACTGTATGAGGTGCTAAGAAGTAAAAGGGTGTCATATTTAAAATATCATTTGCGAGTACAGGAAAAGCACAAATGATTTGCAAAGCCAAAATAGCTGGAATGATTTTGTTCGTTTTCCCGTTTGTATTAATTTTACAGGCAAAGCAAATGATGGCAATTGTAATTAACAAAAAATACAAAACTCTCATTCCTAAATATATAAATCTTGTTACATTAGTGTAATCCTCGAAACAAATAAACTGATCTTCGTGACCGTATATAGAAGCTGTTTCGTATGTTGCATTCAATATTGTTTTAAAAAATCCATAACACGATGCGATTGTCCAAAATATAAAAATCGAAGTTAAACTGAATTTGTTTGATGCTTTTCCATAAAAAAGTAAAATAGCGAGAAGGAGCAATGTCATTGAAATCACCACTTCTGAAGTTCCAAATAAGCTCATCGCAAAGTAACAGAAATTTCTCGTAAACATTTTTGTTTTGTAAATTAAAATGAATACTACAAGTATTATTGAATCCATTGTATCAGCGGCTGCCAAACTTACGATAAAGTTGTTGGTTGATGATTGAAGTTTTTTCTGTTTTATAAATGCAATAATCACCATCGAATTTCCAATTAATCCTAGTAACCCAAGAATAAGATTGGCCGCATTGATGATGTTGTCTTCAGAAACGTTCTGGTTATCTTCGTTAGTTATGTTGAAGTCTGGTTCTTCGGAAAAATATTCAAAGTCCTCCATTTCAAAAATTTAAACTTTTTCTGATGCTTCTTCAATCAAATCTTATTAACAACTGCTCTGAAATTAAAATTTATTAAGAAATTCTTATCACTTGATGTTTCAATGTATGAAGCAAAAAGAAAACATCAATTAGTAATTAAAAGATGTTTGCTATGATTTTATTGCGGTAAATTTGTTTTTTCTTTGAACTTGAATGAATTTAATTACATATTCAATTGCTTCATTCCATTTGCGATAGGAAGGTTTTTTTTATTAAACTAATTTTATTTCGATGATCTCATTTATAATCAGCTTATAAATAAAATTTACGATTGAGATGATCATAAACTTGACTTACAATTTTTGATAACAAAATTCATGATTATTTCAAATCCGTTCTAAGCATTCGAAGTGTAATCATGTTTAATCATCGTATGTCATCCACAGGTTTCACCTTTATGTTTATCATGTTAAGAAAACAAATCAAATGACGTTTAAGCATCGGAAAGCACAGACATGACTACATACAATGAAAAGTTGCAACATCCTCTAATTCAAAAATTAATTAATAAGCTTCAAATAAATTTGATGTTTGAACAAACAAAACTAATAATACCAATTGACCTTTACTGATCTCTTTTCCTCTTTTTGCTTGCATTTCAGCTCACTCCAATAAAGTTCTCGTGTCGGTTTTACTGTCTTGTTTAAAAGGTAGCTGTGAAGGGTAACCAAAAACAAAATTGGCAAAAACAAATCGATAAGCATTGATCTCGCGCTTTAAATTAAGTTATTTTCTGGCATGATCGTGATACAAGAAACACCATAACGTTTAAGGTGAAGTCGTTAGCGCCGATTCCATCACTTGCTTTTCTACTTCTCTTCGCTCTTTGTTGCACTTTTATATTTTATTTTTTGAGAAATATTAGAAAAGATTGGGATGTTTAAAAAAAGAAGAAGCAATAAAATAAAATTTTCATGCTCTAGCTGAGATGATTTTTATTTTCTGACAGAAATGGTTCTTGTTTGGTGGTCAACCAATAATTCATTCAATCTAATGTTCGATTGGTTTTCGAAATGTTTTCTTATAGTTTTTATAATAATTTGCAGACTGCTATCGTGAGTAAAATTTTCATCTTATTTCTTTTTTTAAAAAAATAAGAATGAAAAATTGATCATGGAACGGAAGTTATACAAGTTGAAACATTAAAACCAACAAAAAAGAAAACTTAAATTAAAAGACGCAAATGACTCGTTAACGGTTTGTTTCGTTTTAATCCGTTTTAAATAAAAGATTTTTTAGTTAAAATTTAACCCAGAAAAAAGGGTAGAAATTGTGAAGGAAATTAAATGTAAAGTTTGGCTGGATGCTCAATGAGAACATGGAAGTGAAGTCTCACTATTGAGACCATATGTTAGACAGGTTGACTGGGACCCTCTCGATTAAATTGTTTTCCTACCTTCAATGAATTTTAAGACGACTTCAAAATTTTCTAGCACATTCATATATAATTGCACTTCAACACATGTTTCGGAATTCATGCAGACTTTAGAAGAATATTTTATAATGCTGATCATCGCACGTGTTCCATTTAATATAAAATTCAAACTTGCAAATAATAATTTTTGTAGATTATTAAAATGAATCGCATGTGAAGTGAGTTTTATCTTTGAACACTTCTCGTGTTCTCATAGAAAATATTAAAATGAAACGAATCGCTTTCTTAATCGATACAATAAAAAACAAAATTCAATTCAAAAGGATCACAAGGGAAAATTCTTTGTGGATTCTTTTGATCCTTTTATGATAAAGTCTCAAAGAATGGTATCAAGCTGAGAATGTTATTGATATTGCTATCATAATTCTTTCGTTTGCTCTTTTTTTCTTGATTCGACCTGAAATTAAAAGACTGCGACCAAAATTAATAAACTTTGAGATTTTATTTAACTTTGAAAGATTCAACGGATCGAAGGTTTCATTTGGAGTTTTACGCCTCCAATAAACATTTAATTACAAGTTTGTTTTAAAATATCATAATATTTCACGAAAATGTTTTGTGTTTTGATCTCTAAATTCACAAACGCGGCTTTGATGATTTATTTTTCGTTTCACTTTGAAGAAAACGCCAGTTGAGTCTTCTTTTTATCTAAACGAAATCGAAATGAAGAGTTGTGAAAAATTTAGACATTAAATGATCATAATTCGCAGTTTTATTTGCATTTGGATAACTTAATTACATACACGAGTGGACTTCCGAACCTTTTTCAAATTATTCACTTCTTTTCTCAAATTTTTGCTTCTTTATATGAAAAGTTCAAATTTTAAGTATTCCTGATGAGTAAATTTATTCATTTGAAGATTTTCTTTTTAACAATTTCATTTTTGATGACAACGAATCAAAAACTTAGTTTCTAAAATCTTCAAATTAATTTTGTAGGCGTTTTATTTGACTTCAAGGACTCTTCGCCATGAGAAGAAAATTATCTTTTGAAGATCTTGAGAGACGTAAAATTATGAGTGAACAAAAGATTTGAACAGAAGGAAGAAAGAAGCAGGAAACAAATTTTATTCTTGTTGATAAATTAGAAGGTTAATTTGGAGACACAACAAAAGATTCTTTTTCATCTTAGTCAGTGGTTTGTGGTTTTTGAGGTAGTCGAGAGAAAAGGAAAATTTTAATGACTTTCGCGTGAAAATCGATCAAATTCGGAATGCTTGGGAATCACTTGAAAATTTCGGAAAATATTCAGCAAGCTAAAAAATATTTAGATATTCAATAAAATATGTTAAGTCGACTTCACTTCTTACACCATATGTTTAGCAGAGTCCTATATTTTTTTACAATATTTCAATAAACCGTCGTCTCGGTAATGAAAACCATGGCAGGGAATTTTCAAGTTTCGAGGGTGCATAGTCGTGAACATTGATCACATATGTTATTCCTTTTCGATACATTTCTTTTGTTCATTCTTTAAGATCACCGCACGTGTTGTTGTTTTGATCAAACAATAAAAATTTTAAATTGTAAACTGAATAATTAGAACTGAAGAAATTTCAAGAAATTTTATGTTTTATGTGAAGGATAACTTGAGTGGACTAAGAATTTATGAAGTTTTTGTTACAATCTCTAGTAATAAACAATTTGACGAGCTCAAGTTCTGTTGTTGTTAAAATATTTGAAATCAGAAGCCTCAAAAGAACAAAACAAGTACATGGAAATAAAAATTCGTTAAATCTAGTTTTCAACGATGCCGAAAAAATTCTAAGAATTAGCGAACCTTTCCAAAGGAAATCAACCACCCAAGCGCAATCTCAACTGTGCTTGTGGTTGAAATATTTATCAAATCAAAAATCAGAAGCGTTACAAATTTGATCGATGAAATCAATACGCAACTCAAAAATCAATTTCGATTTTTAAGATCAAAACCCCGAAACATCAGAAACTATTTGCACAGTTGGATAGTTTTGTTGTTTTCTTACGCACAATCGGAATTGTATTATTGTGCGATGAAAGATCATCCAAAGTATTCAATTTCAAGCGATATTTTTCAACCTGATTCTGAATTTTTAAGTTTTTAAAGTAATCAGAAAAAAGTGAAAGTAATAATTGTTGGATAAAGCAATTTAATGAATTTTATTATTGAACTAATCTGATTGGTTTTACTATTGGCACGCGCACTCTAAGAGGGGAAATATCTGAGCATAACAAAAGATTAAAAAAGTCGCTTAAACAGGTTTTCTCTCTTTCTCGTATTCGCTCTCACAACCGAGATTTTGCTTCAGGTTGTCATATTTGCACCTCGTCAATGTTTTAGAACTTAAATTGTTCAACACAAAATTTCATGCGAAGTTATTTCGTTTCTTATTCGATATCTGACATTAAATCATTGAAACTTCATCCCTAAGTTAATTAAAAGCTCAAAATGATTTCCATATAAAATTATTAAAACAAAATCAAAATATTTTCTAACCAACATTTAGCTTTAAGCACATCTGTTAGGATTTCTAATAAATTCTACATCTGTCATAATATTACGATTAAGGAGTCATTAGGAATAGAAATGAATAAATTATCTTTTAAGACAATTTTAGGTCATTAAATGTTTTTCCAGCTTAAATGAATGAAGACAAATTAATAACCGATCATCTGAAAAAAAGATTCGTAAGTGATCAACAACTATGAAAATCCTTCTCAGACATTTCTTTGGATAAAAGTAACGAATCATTCAAATCATCAAATTCAAGCGCGCATTCTTCTTTGGTTGACTTCCGGTTCAGTAAAATTAATAACTGTTTTCAGATTTCCTAATGATCCTTGAACAGATTTCACACTTTCTTTGGATACCGTTAAGAAATAATTTTTTTGAAGATCATCAAAATGTTGATTTAGAAATAATTGTACTTCCTGTTTGAACCTTAAATATTCACTAACGGGATATGAAGAAAATATTACAAATTGCAATGCAATGACAAACTGAGAAAATTAAATTTTAACAATTTCTTAGTAAACCTCTTGAGGACTAAGAAAATTATTTTATTTTGTGCTGAGAATTAATCTGGTTAATTTAGCTGTCAACTTTTAAATTTTATTGCACAGAAATCCAGGAAATTCACAATGATTTTATTTTTAAATTTTTTTATCATTCTTGACAGCTTCAAGAACATAAGTGAGGTAGTGAAAAGGAGAATTGTAACACTTGACTTGTGAATTTCTACACATAATCTTTAAAGATTATCTTAAGTTTTTGTTTATTTGTTGAGATATTTGTTTGCAAAAATTTATGATGCATTTTAAAGTTAAATGTTTGATATTTCAGTCTTCTTTTATCTGAAATTCATGTCCATAAATTAATTCACGACAGTAGTTTACGTTGATCTTACATTCAAGCGACTTTAAATGCACCTTGCAGTCAATTCATTGTTCACGAAAATTTAAATTTATGAATTTATTGACATAGAATAATAGCTTTTAAACTCTCAGCCGCCTAAACTGTTTAACCATCTAACGCATCTCGAATTTCATGCATAATCGAAAATATCAGAAGCAAAAACTGAAAAAGTGTAGCGAAAAGGTGCAACATAATATTTGATGTTTTCATAAAGTCGCTCGATGAGTTGAAAAAGTTTTCTTTTTGTTGCTTCTGTCACGGCATTTCATTCGACTGACCACCCAATCAATTTTCGACGCTCGTTTAAATATCTCGATTAAATTTATCCTGACTAACGCCAAACGGAAGCAAGAAACTAAAATTGGACGTGAAATTTTATGTCTATAAAAAGGATACAATTTTTCAAAAGAAATTTATCGACAACGAAAGATGTTGATGATAATGAAAATTTATATCGTAAAATAAATAACGCCACGTCGCTTTTATTTGAGTATTTTTTATAGTTTTTTAAATGTTTTATTAAAAAGAAATAAAAAATGTTTCCTAACAATAAATTCGAAGGCGATGCTTGTCATCGTAGATCGAAGATAAGAAATTAATTTATCAAAAGTTTGCATCAGCAATTTCTTGATGGGGAGATTCTCAAGTGGTTGTTCAAGTGATTCCCAAGCATTCCGAATTTGATCGATTTTCACGCGAAAGTCATTAAAATTTTCCTTTTCTCTCGACTACCTCAGAAACCACAAACCACTGACTAAGATGAAAAAGAATCTTTTGTTGTGTCTCCAAATTAACCTTCTAATTTATCAACAAGAATAAAATTTGTTTCCTGCTTCTTTCTTCCTTCTGTTCAAATCTTTTGTTCACTCATAATTTTACGTCTCTCAAGATCTTCAAAAGATAATTTTCTTCTCATGGCGAAGAGTCCTTGAAGTCAAATAAAACGCCCACAAATATCTTTTGTGAGACACTTGTGAGAATACAAAAAAAAAGAAATCTGAAAAGTCGAAGATGCATCACAATGTTATTTAATCAGTTTCATGACCAATATCTTTAAGTTTGAGCAATTTACTTCACGCTACATATCTGCTTGTTGCGTAAAGATGGTTATGACATAATTTGGGAAATTATGATTTAGTCCCATTAGATCTGGTTGTACAAATCAGCAATAAATGACTTCAACACTCTTCAGAACTTCCACACGAAATCAATTTCTAAACTTTTCATTTCGAAATTGTGTTGTTTCACTGTAACCATTAATGATGACTATAAGGAAGAATAATAACTTTTAAACGTTTAAATAAATTTTATTTAATATTCTGATTCACATGAATGATTTAAGACAAAATTTGTCAGCATAGTTTTTATTATCTATAAAGCAACATAAGTCTCAAGTATTAATTTAACAATGATAGTTGACCTCGAACTTTCCTTAATTAAAGATGAGTAGAGAATCGAGTTTCTTCTACTTTAGTGGGTCGAATGATGTTTGCTTCAAATTCTCACGATTCTTCACAGATTAAAGAACTGCAGGAAAGGCTTCGATATAAAAGTTTTGAAAGTTTCGTAGAAATTCCTCAATTTCGATGGCTTTTCCGGTTGACTTTCAGATGTGACAACAGATTCAGTTTCAATGAAGAAAACTCGACAAAATCGATGCAAAAACAACCAGAGGACTATTGAGCCGAGTATGAAACAAACGACGACAGTTTGTGATGTTAAATAAAAGCCCGATCCACTCCAAATGAGTTTGCTTAATCCAATGAGACCGATTAACACTAAGCAACTGCTTATTACTGCCAAGCAGAAGTAAAAAATTGTAAATATTAATTCTCGTCGATGAAATTCCATTTCAAATTTTCTTATTTCACATCAACGACTTCTTCACTTTGACATGAATATCACGACTGTTCTCATGATGACAGAAATCATTTAGAATTATTTCTTAAAAATTGTAAAACTCTTCATTGTTGTAATGTTTTTGTCAATTTAAAATCAGTTTGAATTAAACTTAATTAATTGATCTCTCATCTCGTTAATGTTGCTTAAGAAATTAGAAAAAGTTTTTAATAGAATAATCGTGGGTGACGGAAGTAAAGTGTAACATTTAAAGAGTTAAACCTTGAAGATATTCATTCTTATTTAGAGTGATGACTCATTTATCAATGAATATCTCGATTTCTCTTTGACCTTTTGATGTTAATTAATTTACACTTCGAAACGAGAATGTTTGATCGTAAAACTTTGTTATGATGATTTATGTGAATGAAAACCAACACAATTTCTTCGTCCATTGAATGTCTTTATTAGAAAATTTGTATTAGATAAATTTGATAAGATTAATTACAAAATATTTTGTTTTATTTATAATGCGTTGATTTTCCTATAATAACTTTCGTGTTCTCAATTAATTTCACTGTCGTTGCCTTCATTGCGAACGTAAGAAGCTTCTGAATTTTTTGCCCTTTTCTTCCGGTAAATTAAGAAGCACAAGTGGTAAAGCGCCATCCACAACAGCAAAGCAGCAGCAAAAATCAAAAGTAATTGATAAATCATATTTGGTAGAATTTCCAGGAAGGAAGTTGCTTCAGCTAACTCGAAAAGCACGGCGATCACAAGAAGTCCTATCAGATTTTTCATGTTTCAAGTTATTTTTTATTCATTCACTTGCGACCATTAAAACTTAATTGACTACGACACTCGCTTGTTTGAAGCTTCGACTTCAACTGACGCTTCATTTAAGATGATGTCGTGAATTTATTAAACGAAACTGTTGTAGTGCTCGTACTTTGAAACTATTTCAATCTTTCATCAAAACAGTTTTCTCATAAATTGAATAAATAAATTCATCAGTTAATAAATTACGAAAGCCTCAAAATTCTAAATATTGACAAGAGTGAATTGACGTTTTCTTACCTAGACCCAAATATGTTTGCTTGTGACTAATCCGAGACTTTACACTTGGTGAACAAAACGTCAAACCGACATCATTTGTTTTAACGATCCTTCGTCTCTTCTCATTTTCATTTTCATTGATCATAATAGGAAAGAAGAAGAAAGAGAAACGCCGATGATTGTAAATTATCCTGGAAGATTCAGCACTTTGCGAAACTGCAGACAAGACGACACAAGCGACCAGACACTGACCGACATAAATTTGTGCGTATCATCATTTCAATCTCATTAACGAGAGGATCAAAGTCATTTGGAGCACAAAAATCAACGAGATTACGATCCATGTTCATTGATACTTCTGATGTGCTTCGGTTTTGGTCTTAAAGATTGAGAAATTTTATCTCGAACTTTATCAGTGGTCGGTTGAGGCTTTTTGTTAAACACACTTTGAGTGATTGCCGATTGGTGTCAATTAGATTGGGAAAGAATTTGACGGCTCGTGTTGAACATGAAATGAAAGAAATGTAAAGTGAAATTTCGTTGCCAAAAGTCTTCGTTGAATTTTCCCGTGAGAGTCTTTCAAGATTCTTAAATTGCATGGCGAATGTTGAATGTCGAAACGAAGGATGTGCAGCAATGAGCGAAGAAAATTTCAATTTTGGTAAGAGCGGAAATTAAATCCCGAAGAAGTTCTTTCAAGTAGAAGTCGATTAATTTGAGATGATCTCTTAGGAGTTTGTCTTTAAATGTTTTTACCCACGGTCGTGTTGGATCGGTGAGTTATCCGTTTTCACTTCACCAAAGGCTGAACAATTTCGGACAGAAAAATTATCGAAAATTCACTGAAGAAGCGAAATTATTAAACGAAATCGCGAGAAGTGAAATTAAGTGCAATTATTCATGTTGCACTTCGTCAGTGATTCTCTCAGTTCATTGAAATTTCAGCTGGGGAATTATTTGAAGCATTAGACGAAAAGCAGTTGACGAAATAATTGTTGAGATGAACTGAAAATTGGATTGAAACTCACTCAAGACTTGCAACTTTGACCTCAACTTCCTTTCAATGTTTCATTCCTGAGTTCTTCTTAAATTAAAATTCAAAAGAAAACAAAAACATTTCGTAACATAAAACATTTATTTTTAACATAAATTAATTTAACAATTTCTACAAGTACTGGAACGAGATCGATGCTGATGTCGACAATGACGAGGATGCGAACGAAAGTCGGAAACTTAATCTAAAAGCTCACAAAGTGCAGATATGTACGATTGGGCCATTTGAAGAGTTTCGTGCTTAGAGAATTGCCGGTCATTGCCAAGTGACGGCAAATATTGTCGCAGTCGATCGAACGCGTCATTCAAACTTTGCATTCTTTTCCGTTCTCTTGCGTTTGCTGCCAGTCTTCGTTTCTTCTTGATCTGTGGTGGAATTTGCTTCATTCTGCGTTGCTTCCTTGGCTTGCAACTCTCAGGATTTGTCTGCGATGTTGTTGTCGTTGTTGCAGTTGATGATGAGATTGACGATGTTGTGTAATCTGAAGAATTATTTTCCGAGTCACTTCCACTCTCGTGTTTCAATGCCAAGTTCTTCATCAACTTCTCATTTTGAATCTCAAGATTGGCTGGCAAATATTTTTGTGCTGTGAGTGAAATGAATTCGGGACTTGATGATCTGAGACTGTCCGAATATGTCGACGTCCAGTCATCGGAAAGTGAGAGTTGTGGTCGATGAATGATGGTGAGTGGCTTTGAAAAACTTGATTCTAACTTCACAAAATTATTTGGCGACGAATTCTCATCTACGAGTTCTCGAAACATTTCATTTGATTTGAATAATCCTGGCGTGTAGTAGAACTGATGTTGATACATTTCAGAAATCATTTTCCAACTTTTATTTTACTTCCACTTGATACACTTTCGGTAAAAATTTTCAAACTGTTCAGATCGACGATCGAATGGATACTAAGTCGACTGTGAACATGAAGCATACATTTATATGCTTTTCAGTCTCAGGTAAGCAAAATCATCAAAAGAAGAGAGAAAAACCTGTTCTGGCAATTCCTTCTTCATCTTCATAACAGCAGCAACAACAAATTTCCCCTCTCCGAATGCGCGTGCCACTTGTAAACCAATCAAGTGCATCGTAATTTTTTATTGCTCAAAATAATTTTAGTTTCTCCATTCTGATTGTTGAAGTTCTTTTCATTGTAATTTAAGAGTAAATTTTTTTTTCTCTCAGTTACTGATAAGAATTCAATACACAAAAAAAAGGCGAACAATTGTTATTTGTTAAACAAAAAAGCGTCTGAAAGATTCTGAATTCAAATCAACTCTTATCATATTCAGTCCAGTTTTGTCTTCGTTAGAGTCGAGATCAGAGATTGAAATCACAAATTGAGAAACATGTGGACGAGTAAAAGCTTGTTAATATTTTTTTTGATTTTCTTTGTCGATTCATCACTGAGTGATGGTAAGGAAATTTGAAAGGAATTAAAATTTAATGAATTTAAGTCTCAAAATCTCTACAGAAACTTTGGAATTGTCGTGCACATCGGATGATGATTGTTCATCCTATCGCGACAAAATGATTGGAAGTTCATGCGTTAATCTGCATTGTCGTTGCTTTGATTTCAAAACCAACGTAACAGAAGCATGCATACCTCGAGTAAATCACCCTAAATTTGCATTCAAAATTGTTAATAATTTCAATTAAATTCCAGAAAAGTATCGGCGAGAGCATTGTTGGTCTTGGTGATTGCAAGAAAAATTCATGCGTTGTTCCGAACACTCATTGCAAGTTGGGAATGAACAAATGTGTTTGTGATGAAGACTTCATTGAAAGTTTTGATGGAAGTCGTTGCATTGCACAAACAGTTGAGTTACAACATCCTTGCGAAATGAACGAACAATGCGTTAAATATGATAGAAACGCAGCTTGCGACGATCGCAAATGTCAGTGTTTAAGGAACTTCACCCAACACGAGAATAGTTGTCGAAGTATGGTGAAGATTGGAGAGCATTGTGACTCTAACGAAGAATGTCAAAAGTTTACGAGCAATGCCACATGTCACAACCACAAATGCATTTGTGATGAAAATTTCTCGTCGTCAGAAGATGGAAATGTAAATTTTCCTTTTCCTTTTAATTCATTTGAAGTTTCTAATTCTTTTTTTCCTTAATTTAGGAATGTTTGCTGCAAGCATTTCATGGCGATTCATGTAAGCAGACATCGCAATGCTTTAACGGACTTGGACCTGGTGCCGTTTGTGACAGCGGTGTGTGTGTCTGTGACTCAATTCATCAAAATGTCCCCGATAATAGTCGCATTAGATGTAGTCGTAAGTTGAATTATGGCGATGAATGTAAAGAACATCACGAATGCTCGATTTATCTTGGCGAAACAACAATGGCTTGCATTAAGAACAAATGCACGTGTCGTGATGGTTACGAACTGTTCGATGCAGACCAAAAGAAGTGCGTCAGGATACCAACTTCGTCTACATGTTTAAATTTTGTTTCTTCATTTTTCCTCGTTTTCATTGGAAATTTTCTATCTTCAATTTAAATTTAATTCAATCATTTTTCAGTTAATCGTGTTATAAAATTTAACATATTTAAAACTTACAAATGTTCAGGGAGATTGCAAAAATATGTTAAATTTTGAGATAAAATTTGTCAATATTTCTTTAAATTCGCTATCAAAAATTGTTATTAAATGAAAATGAATAAATTCATGTCCATAAATAAATTCACGACAGTAGTTTACGTTGATCTCACATTCAAGCGACTTTAAATGCACCTTGCAGTCAATTCATTGTTCACGAAAATTTAAATTTATGAATTTATTGACATAGAATAATAGCTCTTAAACTCTCAGCCGCCTAAACTGCTTAACCATCTAACGCATCTCGAATTTCATGCATAATCGAGAATATCAGAAGCAAAAACTGAAAAAGTGTAGCGAAAAGGTGCAACATAATATTTGATGTTTTCATAAAGTCGCTCGATGAGTTGAAAAAGTTTTCTTTTTGTTGCTTCTGTCACGGCATTTCATTCGACTGACCACCCAATCAATTTTCGACGCTCGTTTAAATATCTCGATTAAATTCTTCTTGACAAACGGAAATGTCTCGATAAAACTTTTGACAAAATGATTATCCGCATTACTGGTCGATGTTATTGCGACATCCTTTGAGTTGTTTAGTTTCGATGAAGTGATCTGAGGGTTACAGAAGTGAAGAATGTCGTTGACTTATCTTCGACATACAAGAACATAAATTTCTTACGTCACAACAATAGAAATTATTTTCCCATAAAAAGGATAAGTTTCGATTTTATCTTTAAGGACACCTGCAGTGTGTGATCCTGACAAAATTTGTTTCTTTGCTTTTTCAGTGGTGAAACAGTGGCTTGTTCTCGTCTCGCTCTCATCGAAAGGTCAAAAAGATTTATTGTTTGATGAAAATTGATAAAATCTCGACAAATAATAAAAACGATACAAATGGGTTAATTGCTTTTCATTGAACTCATAAATTTTATAAGCGGAAAACTTTTCCCTTCGTATTTGCATTTTCATTCATGATTCTCATCGTCAATTTTCCGCTTTGCAAGTCGAGGAATCGTAAATATTTGATTTTCATTTCCATCATACGAGCCCATCCACAAATTTATCTTTGATTGTTCTTCATTGTCCTCGATGATGTTGATTCAAGTGAAAGAAAAACTTATAAACGCGCTTGGACTCATCTCTGCTTCTGATTCATTTAATCTCATTTGTAAACTCTACATGAACATTTTTAAAAATTCATTTCCGTTTTATTTTCATCAATGTTAAGCGTTGAACATCGGAACAACTGTTGGAGCACAGATGGGCGAAGCATCAAAACTTTTTTTTTGAGGATACAAGTAACAGTTGTGATCTCAACCTAAATAATTTTAAAGATTTTTGATGATCATGATGTGTCAAGGATTCTTAAAACTTTTAACTAAATAATCTTAAAATTGCAACAATGTGGAACCTTTTGCAGAAGATGAACATATGTTGAGGCGTTCATGTTTTGGGCACGCTTTTTACCTCAACTTTGGTTTTAAGAACTAGAAATTTAGTAAATATTTCTTTATTTGATGAATCACAAAATTGGTGAAACAAAAACGTAAAAAAAATTCTTTTCGTTCTTCAATTCCAATCACTTCCAACCTCACCAACATTTTAATTTTCCTTATAAATTATTAAAATAATTCCGAATATCTATTTTATCATAAATTTAAATTCTGACCGATTACTGACGCACTTGATTGGTTTACAAGTGGCACGCGCATTCGGAGAGGGGAAATTTGTTGTTGCTGCTGTTATGAAGATGAAGAAGGAATTGCCAGAACAGGTTTTTCTCTCTTCTTTTGATGATTTTGCTTACCTGAGACTGAAAAGCATATAAATGTATGCTTCATGTTCACAGTCGACTTAGTATCCATTCGATCGTCGATCTGAACAGTTTGAAAATTTTTACCGAAAGTGTATCAAGTGGAAGTAAAATAAAAGTTGGAAAATGATTTCTGAAATGTATCAACATCAGTTCTACTACACGCCAGGATTATTCAAATCAAATGAAATGTTTCGAGAACTCGTAGATGAGAATTCGTCGCCAAATAATTTTGTGAAGTTAGAATCAAGTTTTTCAAAGCCACTCACCATCATTCATCGACCACAACTCTCACTTTCCGATGACTGGACGTCGACATATTCGGACAGTCTCAGATCATCAAGTCCCGAATTCATTTCACTCACAGCACAAAAATATTTGCCAGCCAATCTTGAGATTCAAAATGAGAAGTTGATGAAGAACTTGGCATTGAAACACGAGAGTGGAAGTGACTCGGAAAATAATTCTTCAGATTACACAACATCGTCAATCTCATCATCAACTGCAACAACGACAACAACATCGCAGACAAATCCTGAGAGTTGCAAGCCAAGGAAGCAACGCAGAATGAAGCAAATTCCACCACAGATCAAGAAGAAACGAAGACTGGCAGCAAACGCAAGAGAACGGAAAAGAATGCAAAGTTTGAATGACGCGTTCGATCGACTGCGACAATATTTGCCGTCACTTGGCAATGACCGGCAATTCTCTAAGCACGAAACTCTTCAAATGGCCCAATCGTACATATCTGCACTTTGTGAGCTTTTAGATTAAGTTTCCGACTTTCGTTCGCATCCTCGTCATTGTCGACATCAGCATCGATCTCGTTCCAGTACTTGTAGAAATTGTTAAATTAATTTATGTTAAAAATAAATGTTTTATGTTACGAAATGTTTTTGTTTTCTTTTGAATTTTAATTTAAGAAGAACTCAGGAATGAAACATTGAAAGGAAGTTGAGGTCAAAGTTGCAAGTCTTGAGTGAGTTTCAATCCAATTTTCAGTTCATCTCAACAATTATTTCGTCAACTGCTTTTCGTCTAATGCTTCAAATAATTCCCCAGCTGAAATTTCAATGAACTGAGAGAATCACTGACGAAGTGCAACATGAATAATTGCACTTAATTTCACTTCTCGCGATTTCGTTTAATTATTTCGCTTCTTCAGTGAATTTTCGATAATTTTTCTGTCCGAAATTGTTCAGCCTTTGGTGAAGTGAAAACGGATAACTCACTGATCCAACACGGCCGTGGGTAAAAACATTTAAAGACAAACTCCTAAGAGATCATCTCAAATTAATCGACTTCTACTTGAAAGAACTTCTTCGGGATTTAATTTCCGCTCTTACCAAAATTGAAATTTTCTTCGCTCATTGCTGCACATCCTTCGTTTCGACATTCAACATTCGCCATGCAATTTAAGAATCTTGAAAGACTCTCACGGGAAAATTCAACGAAGACTTTTGGCAACGAAATTTCACTTTACATTTCTTTCATTTCATGTTCAACACGAGCCGTCAAATTCTTTCCCAATCTAATTGACACCAATCGGCAATCACTCAAAGTGTGTTTAACAAAAAGCCTCAACCGACCACTGATAAAGTTCGAGATAAAATTTCTCAATCTTTAAGACCAAAACCGAAGCACATCAGAAGTATCAATGAACATGGATCGTAATCTCGTTGATTTTTGTGCTCCAAATGACTTTGATCCTCTCGTTAATGAGATTGAAATGATGATACGCACAAATTTATGTCGGTCAGTGTCTGGTCGCTTGTGTCGTCTTGTCTGCAGTTTCGCAAAGTGCTGAATCTTCCAGGATAATTTACAATCATCGGCGTTTCTCTTTCTTCTTCTTTCCTATCATGATCAATGAAAATGAAAATGAAAATGAGAAGAGACGAAGGATCGTTAAAACAAATGTAAATCTTTGGGATATTTTGACAAGGTTTATTAGATGTGGTCAGGTCACTGTCAAAATGTTAGAGAAAATTGGATGCTGAAGTAAATTCAACTGATTAAGCTTAATTATCTTTGTCGCTCAAATAGCAAATATTTTTCTTTTTCTTATGTTTCGTTCTATTTGTGGTTCCAATGAAATGAAATTCTCTTTCTCAACAATACGATGAAAACAGTTATTTGCCAACATAAAATCGCGAAAATCGGCACAAGCTGACTTAAAGAAATGAATAATTTGAAAAAGGTTCAGAAGTCCACTCGTGTATGTAATTAAGTTATCCAAATGCAAATAAAACTGCGAATTATGATCATTTAATGTCTAAATTTTTCACAACTCTTCATTTCGATTTCGTTTAGATAAAAAGAAGACTCAACTGGCGTTTTCTTCAAAGTGAAACGAAAAATAAATCATCAAAGCCGCGTTTGTGAATTTAGAGATCAAAACACAAAACATTTTCGTGAAATATTATGATATTTTAAAACAAACTTGTAATTAAATGTTTATTGGAGGCGTAAACCCGTGAAGTGAACTGAGAAGCCCAAACGAAAAGGATTTATTGGAAAAAATTCTAATTAATAAACTTATTGTTGGAAGATTTCGAAGTGGAGAATAATCGGAGATGGTTTGGTCATGTGATATGAAGAAACATCGGCGTGCTGCGCAGTTTGTTACCTGCATGTTGTGGATATGAAAAGGATCTTCAGACCGTAACAAAAAATTATTAAAAAATATTTTACAAGGAATTCGTCAGAACCTTTTGGATGTCTTCCAATTATTCTTTGATAATGATAAGACCGAGGCTCCTACGAAGTGCAATAGCAACGTCTGCCATAGACAATAGAAGAACCCACGGAATCCTTTAATGATTTTATTGAATATTTTTACGTGATTTATGTTTGAGGAAAATATTTTATTCAAAATTGATTCTTAATCGTTCTTCAAAATTGCTTTAAGAAACATTTATGCCGAAGATTATGGAATAATATCCATTAAAAAAATAATTTTCCAACCCTTAAATATTGTTTTGAAAAGCCGCATCTTGAAGCATTTACCAAAAATATGTTCATTGATATCTTTATCGACTCATTTGTTCATATTGGACAATGTTTTGAATGTTTGATTCGGGTGGTCTTAGATTAGAGATTGAATATTTTCAATAAAGTTCATGATCAAAGGATTTTGAGAGAACCTTCAGTTTTATTTTATTGAATAAATTTCGAATTTGTTTGTTGGGATTTTGATCTTTGTGCATTTTCAATACTTTTTGTTTAAAACAATTTTCCTGGGAAGTTAAAAATTTCTAAGACTCAATCGTCGAATTTTTGACATGTTGCTTAAATTCTTTCTTTCACATTGCAATGATTATTTCCACTATACTCAAAAACTTCTAAACGATTAATTTTAAGTGGATAATTGCATAAAATCATTTTGAAGGAGTTGCATTCAAAATGGGATCAAAATCAAACTATAAATTTAACATTTAATGAAGAAAAGAAGAATTTCACGCAAGATTGTTGCTTATTTAGATAATCAGCAATTTTTTGTGTTTATCAAATCCAAATCTTTATTAAATGCACGCAGAAAGTTCAAATTTGTATCTTTCGTAATCGTTTTTAAATAGCATGTGTCGTTTAATCAAAACTTTAAGACAATCTTCTTTATTTGTTCTTCTAAATATTTCACTTAAACACAAAAGGATAAACTTGAACATTGAACACGTGCGCTAATCATGATCCGAAAATTTTATAAAAATATCAAATACTTGGAAGCCTAAAATGTTCCCAAAAAAATTTAAAAATGTTTAACACTCTTCGCTCTTGTCTCGAAATAAAATATTTAGGACCAACATGTCCAACATATGTTGCAAAGAGGCCTTCAAATGAATAAAAGAGGGAGAAGATAAAATTTAAATTAACTTTTACGGTAATTTCCGATAAATTTTTATTTTTCATTTCTTCCCTTCGAGATGAAAGTTGAGATGTCGAAAATTCTCGTCCGGATGACTTCTTCCTGCAGTGAACTTTCTTTCCGATAATGAATGAAAACTTTTAAATTCTCTAAAGTCGATTTTCTCATACATTAAAATCTGAATGAAGTTTAAACATCTGAAGTTGCAAATGAACACATGCAAAGTCATTTAACTTATTTAGAACGTGCCGCTTCCTTTTGTGCACATCCGAATATTGATATCGTGATGAAAACGTTTAAGGAAGCATGAATCTAATTTTGAGAAAATTTGTGCAACAAGATGTGAAGTTTCCTTTGTGCTCAACTTCTAATGATGTCGATATCATAATCAGAAACTGATTAGAGATTCATCATCATTCAAAGAAATCATTCGTGTTCGCTTCTTAATCACAATTGAAGTGGTTTTGAAACAGCAAAAACCTAATGCTTAGTTATGAAGACCGACACGTCATTAATTTGGAAATCTTCATTAAAATGTTCTTTTGATCTACTTTGAGACCTACAACAAAGATTCATTCATTCATAAGAACTGAGAATTTACATTTTAGAATCATTTTTATTAATTTATTAATTTTTGCAAACATTTTCAATCATCATCTTCATTAATTTTCTTTTTTAAATTTTTCTTCCAAGTTTTGCTTTTCCTTTTATTGACAACAATTTTGTTGCTGATATTTTTTCTTTTCGGAGCTTTCTTTAGCAATGCTAATCGTTCTTTCTTCGTGCTTTTCTTGAGTTGTAATAAAAATCCTTCAACATGTGAACCTGATTTCTCAACTAACTTCGCGATATCTCGAAGAATTCCTTTCTTGTCGTCGTTGGTGTAGAACGTGATTGCCTTTCCTGTTTTATTTCCACGACCACATCGACCGACTCTGTGAATGTAACTGTACACTGATGTTGGCAAATCAAAGTTTACGACCATCATAACATCACGAAAGTCAATTCCACGCGACATAAGTTCAGTGCAGATTAAAACCCAAATGCGACCTTCACGAAACTTCTTGTAAACTTCTTCTCGTTCTTTTTGTGAACGATCTGAATGAATGATGTCAATGTTGAGACCATCAAACATCAATTCCGAGAATAATTGTTTCGCACGATCTTTTGATTGAACGAAGATAAGAACTGGAGGTGAAACACCTTCGCGAAAGATTTCACGGACTGCAAGTAACTTTGCTGATTCCATCCCAACATATTTTAATTCTTGCTCAACAGAAGATGTTGGGATGTTTGGCGAAATGTTAACAGTGGCGAATTCTTTCAAGTTTTCATGCACAAATGGCGTCATTTCTTTATTCGTCGTTGCACTGAACAAAGCGAATTTTCTTTTCTCATTCGAACACGCTGCTAGAATTTGATCAAGATCTTCTTTGAATCCGTGATTACTTTCTTCGAAAAGCTTGTCAACTTCATCAATTATTATCCATTTCACTTGATTTAACTTCATTGCGTTGCTTTTAATGAAATGAACAAGTTTGAGTGGCGTACTGATTAAAATATTTGTTTTCTTTTTATGAAAGTTCTTCATGTGATCATCATTTGTGCTTGTTATGATGTGAGCTCGGATTCCGGTCTCGTAGCATAAGCGAGTTGTAACTGAGAGAATTTGTGATGCAAGTTCTCTGGTTGGAACCAAAATGATGGATTCGATTTGATTACTTTCATCTGATGCCAACTTTCTATCGTCAAGAAGATTTTGGATAAGTGGAGCAACGAATGCTAGTGTTTTACCTGATTATTAAACTCAATTAGTTAACAAATATTTGATGACTTGTTCAATTTTACTTACCAGATCCAGTCGGAGCAACAACTTTAAGAGATTTTCCTTCAAGAAACAAAGGAAGGACTTGCATTTGAACGGGTGTAGGAGTTTCATATTTGAAGTTTTTAATGTTATCCACAAGTTGCAAGTTCAATGGGAAACGATCGAAAAGTTCTTGGAAAGATTCAACCGGTTTCACTTTCTCAACGCATCCTTTAACGTTGATGTGATGTTTTTTACAAAGTTTATTAGTTTCCTCCAAATTTTTACATCGTAAGTATTCTTCTGAGAGCTTTTTTCGTTTCTTTTTAATGGAAGTACTTGAATCAACAATCTCTGGATCTGAATCCTCTTTGAAAACTTCAATTTTAGCTTTTACTGGATCTTTATCCAATTTACGCTTCTTGAACGTAACTCCTAGCGTTAAACTTTTAAAAATGGAATTATCCATTACTTCACTGATAATTTCTTATTATAGTTTACTGAAATTAAAAAGAAATGATTTTTGAAACTTTTTGTTTACAAAAAAAAACGCACGTGTTACTGACTGAATCGCAAATGATGTCACATAAAAAAATGCGATTCGCAGCACATTTTTTGTTCGTGAACAACTGAAATTTAACAAATCAAAGAAATATTTAGAATTCTAAGTGATAATGTTAGATCACAGCGAGTTAATCGCTGGAATTTCAGTTCTTATTTCATTCTTTGTTGGCTATCGCTACGGGTTGAAAGTTAGTGGAACTGGTAAGGAATTTAAAAACTTTTAAGCATTTTCATCATTTGAAATATTGTGAAAATAAAAATTTCAATTTATTTCAGACGATTACGATGATAGTGCATGTAAATCAAGTAAAATGCAAACGAAACAATCTGCTCCAAGAGGAGAATACAAAATGATTTTAGTCGTTCGTAACGATCTGAAAATGGGAAAAGGTGAGAAAATTTTCCTCAATATTTTCTCAAATTTATTAATCCATTTCACAATATTAGGAAAAATTGGAGCCCAATGTGGACACGCAAGTGTAGGTGCTTATCAAAAAGCAATGGAAAGAAACCCAGCGATTGTTGAACGTTGGGAATATTCTGGCTGTGCAAAAATTTGCGTCAAAGTTGAAAGTGAACAAGAATTGATGAACATCAAAAAAGGCGCGAGCGTTCATGGATTGAATCATTATTTAGTGCATGATGCTGGAAGAACTCAAGTGAGTAAAACAGTGATTAGAGAAACTTTAATTGAGGTAAATTTCATGTTTAGATTGCTGCTGGAAGTGCAACTGTCTTAGCCGTTGGCCCAGCTCTTAATGACCAAATCGACCTTCTCACCGGCAACCTGCGGCTTCTCTAAAACAAAATTTAATCAATAAAATCATCTCACATCATTTTTTTCATAAAATTTTTTATTAGAAGACTAAAAATAAAAAAGTTTTTTTTTTCTAAAATAAAAGAAATTTAATTACATTTAATTTAAAACCAAAGACCTTCGTCATCATCTTTGCTCGTCTCAGCTTGATTCTGTGATGACTCAGCCGTCTCATTCTGATCATTTTCATCATCAGAGTCTGAAATTTCAAGATCAGCAAGTCCACCACCATCATTTGGTATCATCTGTTGCGGTTGTTGCTGAATCTGCTGCTGTTGCTGTTGAAGTTGATTGTAATCTTCTTGAGATATTTGTTGAGGTTGTTGGAAGTTAAAATCATTAACATTGAACGCTTGTTGTGCGAATGATCCATAATAGTTCTGCTGCTGCTGTTGTTGCTGCAATTCATCAACTTCCGACGGATCTTGAATGTTTGCTGAGTATTCAAAGTTCTCTTGATACGGCTGTGGTTGTTGTGGCTGAAGTGGCGGTTGGATTTGAATGACAGGTTGGCTCGTTGTTTCATCTTTCTTTATCAGGAAATCGGAAGGATCGTAATTAGGATCAAAGTCCATCGATTCATCTTGTTGTGGCTGTTGGGAAGTTGAATAATAACCAAGTTGAATCATTGCTTCAGCAGCTTGTTGACTGTCATTATCATCTTGACCTGGAACTGAACAAAATTTAATTAAACACTTTGAGAAACCAAAAATAATGAAAATTCTCACCTAAACCTTGTTGCATGATCATTGCTTGATCATCTTGCAACATTATTTGTTGTTGTTGATCACTTGGAATGCCTGACACGTCGAATGACATGCTGAAGTTGTCAGACTGATAACGCGAGTCTTCCTGCTTCACAGGGCCAGGTCCAAAGTCACCAACAACGTCAATGACTTCTTCTACAGGTTTAATCTTCTCTTTCTTAACATATTTACTTGGACCCGAGCCAGGATTCTTCCTTGGACGTCCACGAGCACGTTTAACTTCAGGTTGTGATGTCACAGTTGATGGACCAGCTCGTAGTTCGCTTCCATCCAAGTCATCGCCATCCCCCGCCAGTCGATTCGATGAGAAATCGGCAAATGATTCATCGTCACCCCAGTTGAAGTCCAATTCCTTCGCTCGCTCTTTAACTTGTGCAATGTTCGCTTCCAAATGTCCAATGTCGAGACCTTCAAGAGAGCTTTTCGTAAAGTCGACAAGAACTTTCGCTTCCTTCGTTAGTTTCGATTCTGGTCCATTAAACTTCTCGCTGTTACCAGCAATCAACTGAATGTCAGCGAGAAAATCAACACGTGAATGGTATCGATGTGCAGACACTTTCTTTGTTATCGTTTCTAAATCCATTGGTTGCTTTATGATGTCGTAATATCCTTTAACTAACTTCTTATTTACCGGCTTTAAGAATGCCCAACTTTCCTGTCTTGGCTTTAACTTTCCGTTCAAGAACTTCTCGAAAATAAACGACAAAGCCGCTTGATCATCATCACCGAGAAGTGGATTAATTGCCTTCTCTAACAACATCAATTTATCTTCACGTTCAGCTAGACGATCGACACACTTCTGAAGAAGTCTTTTAGCAGCCATCGTAATGTTATTCGTTGGTCCATTATAAAGTGAAGAATTGTCAACAATTTGGTTGATGTCAGCGAGAAATTCTTCTCTCGTGTTGTATTTCCTTTGACGAAGTTTCTCTCTCATTGTTGTCAAATCCATCGGACTTTGGACGATCTTATAATAATCCGGAACTTTCTTAGCATTCACCGGAAATAGAAACGGTTGCATGTCGGGTAAGTCACGAAGATCGTTGAGAATTTCTTCAAGCATCGAACAGAGAACGACAATCGGATCAGTTCTTGCCCGATTCGCTGTTTTATTATATTGAAGATAGTCGCAATATTCATCTGGCAAGCCCATTCGTCGTCGTTTTCCTTTTGTAATGTCGCGTGGAATTTTCAACAACAAACCACGTCGTTTGACGTCTTCAGTGTGCTTCAATAATTTACTGCTCAACTTTACTTTCGTTCCATCAACATTCACCAAATCTTCATCTTCAACTCCAAGCAATTCCTTTTCATATTCTTCTTCTTGTTCTTCTGTCAATGCAACTTGAACTGGTGAAACTGGTGGAATAATTCCAGTGTACTTGGGACAAGCTTTGTTCGTTCTCATGTGACCAACTTGACCACAAGCCCCACATTTCAATTTCAAATCGGGTTTCAATTTAATTTTCTTTTTATTCGGCGATTCTTTACTTACTGATGGATCGCGACTGCTGCTTCCTGAATGAATCATTCGATCGCCGATCAATGAACTTGAATCATTTTGTTGACTTAACATTCCAATCTTTTCCTGATTTCTTTTGATTCGTCGAAGTTGCTCTTGAATTCGTCGTCTTTCACGTTTCATTTCTTCTTTCTGCGCTTCATCCATCGATGCAAATCTTTTAATGAAATCTTCATCCTTCGTCCGACGAATCTTCTCATAGGCATCGATGACAGTTGGACGACGAACTGTTTCAACTCTCGTGTATTCGCCACCTTCAGCATGCTTGAACGTTCGCGTGATTTTCAATATTCTCGTCGTCTGATTCTGTTGTGATTGCTGTAAATCGTCTTCCTTCTTCTTTGCTGACTTTGGATTGTCACGACTTTCAATGAGCTTCAGCAATTCTTGTCGTTCTTGTTCTTCACGTTCTTGAATCACTTGCGATGACGTTTTCTTGTTCACCAACATATTTTCAAGATTCTTTCCCATCTCTTCAAGATCAGATTCTTCCGATGCTGTTGACTCATCTTCGTCAGTCGATAAAACTTCCGAACTTGCAAGAACTCGATTCTGAAGATTAAAAATTCGTTGACATTCTTCCTTGTAACGTTCTTGATGTTCAGCGATTGAAAATCGATTCCCACGTGAGAATTTGTCCATTCCTTCTTCGCCAGCTTTCGCTTTCTCTGTTGAAAGTGTTCGGACAACGTCAATAACTTCCCATCGTGAAAGTTTCTTTATCTCTTCTTCCGGCACGTTATATTTCCTTAACAATGCCTTCGCACTGCTTAAAGGTAAACGACGCAAGTCAGCATCAGTTCCAGTCACAGTTCGCTTCGGTTGACTTTCTTGTTCTTCCTTGTTTTGTGTCGGCTTGTTAGGCATTCGAACGTAGCTGAACCCTTCACCACATCCCGTTGGATCAGCTGGTCCATTCAATTGCAGAATGCAACGACCACGTGATGCTTGCATGTAAGCTCGTGTTGTGTTCCAAGGCGCAACTTTCACTTCATCATCCATTTTCAATTGCATTTCTTCATCGTCGTCTTCTTGTTGTGCGAAAATGAATTTCTCTCCATAGCCGGCGTCTTTCAAACGTTGTTCAGCTGCAATCATACTGAAATACGCGCAACATTGTTCTGGTGAAACCATCGCGCGAATTTCTTCTTCCGATGGCAAACGAAAGTCCGGTTTAATCACCCAAAAGTTCGAATCCATTCCAGTTCGTTTAAAATCAGCGCATTGCTTCAATCGCTTACGAATTGAACTTTCAGAATGTGCTGGAAAAGCGCTTTTAATGTCATCCATTCGAATCTTTCTTGGATTGTCTCGTGACTTCCAAAACAAACGATAAATGAAGACTTGAAGAAAGTCACGAACAAAATTATTTGCACGCTTTGAATTCGGTCCTGGAACTTCATATAAAGGACATTCCTGGCCAGCTGTAAACAGCGCGTCAATCTCACGAATGTAATAATTATTTCTTGTTCGAATGACAAGAAAGTCGCTCGTCGAACATGAATGCTCGTAAATTGGCGATCGATACATGATATTCTCAACCACAGTTATGTGTTGACCAGGATTTAAAATGCCTAGAAATGGACTTGGATGTGGAACTGGAACTGTGTCGCCATAACGAAATCCAGTCGGCGCTTTTGGCTTGTCAGCATCGCGTTTGTAATAATTCTTGATTTTCGAGCACATCCCAACTTGCGACAACAACGGCGGATGTTCTTCACAATATTCTATCAAAATTATTTCACCGTCACGTCCCGTGAGATCTTCTGGTTGTCGCATAAAGAAAATGTCGCCACCACCCGACGCTACACGTTCAGCTTCACGTTGTTGTGCTTTCTTGTTGATGTGCTTTAACAATGGCGCAACTGAATGATAATTCGTCGATGTCAAAACGCCATGAGAATAATTTTTCATGTGCGGACGATGGAAAAGTCGCAGTTTCATTGGTCCCATGTGAGTTGGGATGAAAGGCGCTCTCAGCTCGACAACCGGCGTTGAATGTTGGAATAAACTTCCAGCCGTGTTGAGTTTGACGTCCATCATTGAGAATGTTTTTGGAGCATAATAAACATCATTGGAAATGTTGAAAGGATCGCGATCTGGTGACTTGGGGGGTGGTGGTGGAGTGTCTTCAGCAAGAACGTTAATAACTCCAGCTTTGCCAAGAAGAATTTTCGATTTCTTCACATGTGGGTGTGGAATCTTCACTTTCGGCTGTGATCCAAGATTTCTTTGAATCTTTGACGGATCGATGTCATCAGGAATGCCAAGAATGATGTTCTCGTCATTTGGATCGAGTGTTAAAACTTTTGGTTTTGGAATTTTGTCCATTGGCGCTTCAGCGTCCCAAATCACGTCGTCTTCCCATTGATTGTAAACTAATTCTTCGTTTTCAACAGGGAAGATTGAATACCAAGTGTCGTCTGTGTCTTCCTGTTGTTGCTTCATTGCATGAGCTTTGCTGAACTTTGCACTGAGACTTAAACTTGATTTCGTGTCTTTGATTGTTGGTGTGACGCCAGTTGCACTTTTTCCAATAACAGCGCCAGCTGTTCGTGATCCACTTGATGGCAACCAACCAGCTGCATTTGTTTTTGAATTCAATTTCGCTTCAACTTTATCTTTAATTGCATTTCCGTCCCAAACGACGTCATCTTCCCAATGAATTTGTGAGACCATCAAGAAAGCATCGTCGGGTATTGGATCGACTGGTGCTGATGGTGTTGACGATTCTTCGACTTTCTCCTCAATTTTACTTTTATCCTTCAATTTAAATCCATAGTTGAAGCCTTCGCCACTTTCAGGGACGTCAAGCATGTCGTACCAGATTTGTGCCGGTCCGAAACGCCAATCAGCAGCAGCTTTCGACTTTTGATCGCTGCTGTTGCCGTCATCCTGCTTTTCTTCTTTTCCTTGATTAGTTTTCTCACTCAACAACTTCTCTTCATCGTCAGACATGATTTGCTCCTTTGGCGGTGTCGGAGCGAACTTCAAATTAAATCCAACCGACTTTCTTGGTTCATCAGAGTCACTCGTCGATTCAGAAGTGTTTCCACGTTCACGATCTTTGCGCTTCTTTTTTGCTTTTCTTCGAACACTTCGCCAGATTTGTGGAAGACTTGAAAACTTACCGGGACCAAAAAGACGTGAAAATCGAAGAACTTTGTCTTGTCGAAAGTCAGGAAAGATTTCAGTTACATCAACGTCAGCATATTTTGAAAGCGTGCTTCTAATCGCACTAAGCGGTGTGTCCAATTTCTTGTCAGCTTCTAGAAATCGAAAAACTATTAATGCTTGTAAAGTCTAAATGCATAGAAATTACTTTTAGCTTCTGCTGCCGTTGGTTCGGTTGTCTCATCTTGTTTGATTGACGGTGCAGCATTTTGAGGTGGTGGTGGCATTAATTGCTTGTCATCAGTCGTTTCTCCGTTCTTCTCAGCGTGACTTTCTTCAGATGATTTTTCAGCTCCATCAATGCTCACTTTGACTGCTGGAATTTCTGCTTCAATGTCATAATCTTCTTTGGGATCTGACTCTTCAATCGGTTGTTCATCTGCTAACTCATTTATATCAAAAAAGTCTTCAGCAGTGTCATCTTTATTTTTGTAATCAGTTGGCGATGCAACAACTCGTCTACGACGAAAAGCTCGTCTTCCGGAATCAGAAGAGTCTGTATCGGAATCACTTGCTTCATCGTCACTTATAAAACCTGATCCAATCAGGTTGTAAAGTCCAAATCTAGATTAAAGAATTTTTTTCATTATTTTTGATGTTTTTGTTGTTGTTTTTCTTCTTACTTTGATAAAGATCCAACATGTTTTTTAGCTTCTTCATCTAAGAAATCAGATTCAAGTTTTCCATTCTCATCTATGTTACCGAACAGAAAGCCAGTGAGTTGTCTTGAAAGCGCATCATCTTCTTCATCAGAATCCATTTTTTTATATTTTTTTAACACTATCAGATGGAGAAAAAGAAATTTTTAAATTATGGAATGAAATTTGTGTTGTGAATGACTAATTATGTCAATTACAATAAAGTATTACCTTATAAAGAATTTTCAATTATTTAATTAGACAATTTTTCTGTTTTAATGCCGGTTTAAGAATAAATTATGTTTCAAAACATTTGTTTCGTTTTATATTTCTTCAGCGAACCGCAAAGTGAAAATTTCCGACTCATATGCGATTTGGTTTCGAAAAACATTGCGATTCGCATATTAGACAAGCGATTCGCAAATAAAAGTAAACAAAAACAAGTCAAACAAGAAAAAATGTTTAAATTCTTAAAATCTAAATTATTTCCTCAAATATCTGAAGATGAGCCTAAATTTAGATGTGTAAATTGTGGACATCATCTAAAAGAGTTGTATAAAACTTATAGTCCAACAATACAAAAGCTAGCTGAATGTGAAAGATGCAAAAATATTGCTGATAATTACATCGAGTTTGAAAGTTTAGTAATAATTATAGATTTGATTTTATTATCAACTCATGCTCAACGTCATGTTTTATACAACACAAGTTGTAAGAATCTTTACAAAATCTTGATGGTCATAACATTATTAGAAAGTTACTGTTTATGGATGGAAATTTATGATAAGAAAGTAGGACTCAGTGAACCTAACAGAGATCCATTGTACCTTGAGAAAGGATTCTACTTATCAACAACTCAAATTATTCTATGTAAATATAAAAATAAAAATTAATTCAAACAATTATTAATTTCATTCAATTTCAGCCAATTTTTCATTCTTTATGATCATCCGATTGTTGACATCATGTTCATCGAACGAACATTTCAGAAATCGAAGTTTAACGATGGATCTCTTCAGAGGATTTATGCTCGCATCTATTGCGAAGTTTTTCTTCCTTCCAATTATTATTTGGCGTGACAACATTTCTGGCATTAGCTCAGCAGTTCATATGGTGCTCATCATCGGATATTTTTTGATCTCTTTAATTTATATTCACTCATCAGTCACTGGTTGCTCTAAAAAGATAAGCACAGGAACAATTGTTCTTGCATTTATGATTAATAAATATATTTGGTTTAATCTTTACTTCACTGGTAACATGTATTGAAAGTGTTGCGATTGATTTTGATTGAACTGAATTTGTGTTTTCCAAAGTCAATTATGAAAAATCTTTTTTGATCCCAAAGTTTAGTTTGTATTGTGACGATAAAGAATTTTTAGTGAATTTTGTAATCGCATAGTTTGTTGTAAAGAATTCTTAAATAAAAGAAAATTAAAATTAATTTTTCTTTTTCTTTAAAGTCTTCATTCGACTTGATCAAATTTCTGAATGAATGTCTAAATCACATAAACAGTCAGCCTAAACTTCAATAATTTATAAACTCAAGTAGCTGCATGCATGCATTTCTAAATATTTCTTTTTGATATTTCCAAAACATCGAGTCCATTAACATTTGATATTCAATGTCAAAGTTTCGTATGAAAAAAGAAACTTTCAGCAGTTTATCATGAATACATGAATGTTGATGTTGCATTTTATTATTGAAACATTTCTTCAGTAAGAGGTCATCATAACTTTAAGAAAAATGTATAAAAAAAGTTAAAAGCATTAAATTTTAATCATTTCTAGAACAGAAGGAATTGTGAGTAGATGTTAGCTTCTCTTGGCCATCAGTTTTAAACGAATTTGCTTTGATTTTCATTGAATTTCTCAGATGTCACAACATAGGTTTAGATTGGCAGTCATCTGTCTGTCGTTTTTCTTCCTTAAGCTTTCATTGGCTCATCAATATTATGGGACAATGTTAAGTGAAATTAAACCATCAGCAATTCCACCTGACATGAAATGGAGTGGCGGTGAATTTCTTTGGGGTTGTTCGACTACCAAAGCTTTGTTGAAGAATTCTGGAAAATACATCAACAAGAATAACATCGCAACAAGAGGTCAAATTTATCGAGATTCAGTTTTCTTCGCACTTCCACGATACAGAAAAGGAATTCCAGCAACTTTAGTCAAAACAAAGCTTAAGCGTGGAGCTTGCAGTGTAGCTTATGAACCTTTCCCTTGTTGGACGATGCAAGAAGAAGGAAAATGCACTGCATTGCAATCAGTTGTTGATCTTACATTGGATGGTTCTGATGTTCTTTGGGTTCTTGACACTGGAGTTATTGAGACTCTCGAAGAGAACCCAACGCAAGTCTGCCCAGCTAAAGTTATGGCATTCAACGCTCGCAATGGAAAATTAATCAAGACTATCACATTTGAAGGTTTGGTCTCCAAATCATCTCGACTTCAATATCTTGCAGTTGATTATGGACGTGATGGTCGCGCTTTCATTTATGTATCCGATGCAGCTGCAAGAGCAATCATCGTGTATGATGTTCAAGCTTCTAAAGGTTATCGAGTCGTCTTACCAAAAGCTATCAGTGAAGGATGTGGTAAAAAAGATGTTTTATATTTGGCATTGACACGTAAGTCATGTGGAGACACAACACTTTACTTCACATATCTTTGCTCAAAGAAAATTTTCGCTATTAAAACTGAATATTTGAGAGATGGAAGAAATGCTGGAAGAATTCAAGGTAAGGAAAATTTAAATCAGATCAACTCTGTATTAAACATTTTATTCAACAGAGGTCGGCACGAAACCAGGAAAAATGGTCATCATTGGAACTGACAATGGATGTTCAATCTTCTTCCGTTATGAAGGCCACTCTGAAGTTTATCGATGGGACACTAACACATCGTTTGATGATGACTTCTTTAGGGTTGTCTACAGAAGTGAATCATGTCAATTATCAACACATGCAGTTGCTGATTACAAACATCAAAGAATGAGAGTTTTGGAAAGTAATTTCCCTGATTACATTCAGAATAAAGTCAGTTGTGGTGCCATACAACAACTGACAGTGATGGAAGGATGTTTATAATTTATTATAATTATTTTGTGGTGTTGCTGTAAACAAAAAAAAAACTTTTAAATTGAAATTGATAAAGAAAATGAGAGTTCAAATGTTGCAAATTTTTTGTTTCTCTTTTGAAAATTTTCTTCTTATGATTAATTGCCAATTAATTTTGTGAAACTCATCAAAGTACCTAATCCAATGAAGGTTTACATGAAAGATTGATTAAAATTCAATTAATTGCGTATCATAAAATAATGACAACTTCACAGATAATTTAATCATCATGGGGAGTTCCAATTTACGCTCGAGTTGCTATTTGCAGATCATTTTTAATTCTCTCTTCAATCATTAAAGATTTGAAACTTCTCTTTAATTCACATCCACCTTTTGTCTTCTCAAATTTTGTCTAGTCTTAATTCTATCGCATTCAGATTGAAACGCGAAACGATTAAAATGTTTCAAAGAGTGAATATTTTTATAACATTTTTTTGTTCATTTAACATTTTGCTTATAAACTCGTCGAAGTTGGCTGATGATTGCATTAATAATGAATATCTTCGGGAAACTCTTGATTTAGTGTGCATGACTAAAAATGGTGTAAAAATTATGTATTTTGAAAATTCTTCTGTAAATTATAAATTCTACTGCATAAAATATCAGATGAGAAGATTTAGGAGCAACTATCATACTTTGTCATTTGACCTTACAAATGATGATTATGAATTAAAATATGTATGTTGATTAAAGCGATTAAAGCTTAAAATTTCATTAAATTCATTTAAACATTTTAGACGGGAGCGAATATTGAATCACTTGAAGTTGTGACTAATCCCAAGTTTCGACTCTATGACATTTACCAAGGAAGATTTGCAATTAGCAGCAATAATTCAAAATTTGATATTCGTGGAATTGATGTAAATAATCGAAATCAATTCTGTATGAAGAATAGAAAACAAATATGGCCAATGGAATCAACAAGCAGAGAAGTTGTTGAGTCAACGACTTTAGTTGAAAATTTGACGACGGAAAAACCTAAAATTTGCGGATTAATCAAAAAACTTCATAACATTTCAAATGCTGTTGATCTTCCATCACAACCTGGGGAATTTCCTTGGACTGTTTCAATCTTTCGTTATTTTAATGACATTGAAGAATCTTACTATAAATGTAGCGGATCAATAATAAGTACGAAAACTATCCTAACATCAATCAACTGTTTACTTGAAGATGGAATTCTTCTTAGAAATTCAGAAATTCAAATTTATCTTGCACCATTTTTATTATCATCAAAAAAGTCAAAGATTGAAGTTTATGATGTCAAAGAGATTTTAATTCACGAACTTAACAGTCATCAATTACAGCAAGGGTTGACAAACAATATCGCTTTGATTAAAATTGATGGCAACATAGAATTTAACGATTATGTTCAACCGATTTGTCTACCTGAAGAAAACTTTAACATTGAAAGGAAAATTGGAAAGGTTTGTGCGAATCAGTTAAATATTTAAGGCTTTGGTGTTGTCAATATTCTCCATTTCAGCTTGCTGGTTTTGGAAGATCTGCAATAAATTGTCCCTTGAGGTCAGGAATACTAACCAAAGCTGAGTTTCATATCAGGAAAGTTGACGATGGGATTTTCATTGCTGAAAATACTTCTGGCAATAGCAGAATCAGCGACCTTGGAAGTGGACTTTTTATTAACGAAACAAATCGTTGGGTGCTTGCTGGAATAATGTTGAGAAAGTCTTACGATTATGTTATCACAACTGCCAATGAAGCTCCAAAGGAAGATTTCATTTTCACATTTGTTGCTGATTTCACTGATTGGATCAAAGAATTTATATTTCATGAATAAATTTAGTTAAAGATAAAGTAAACATTTAAAGTTTATTGCTGTTGATGCAAGAATATTTGTGACAGTGAAATAAAGCTGATAAGTTGGTCACCAAAATCGTGAATCGTGACTATGTCGTTATTTATGGTTACTCAAAGTTTTTGCTTCATTCAAAACCTTTTTAAACATAGAAAAATTTATCGTCTCAACATTCAACTAAGTTACTTGCAAGTGTTTTTACGAAAGTTCAGTTTGCTTACATATTATTATGAGTTTCTTGCCGTGTTATTTGTTTCTCATTTTAATACTTTGTTTCCTGAGTTTTGATGGTGGATCTGAAGTAGCTGCTAATCCTTTGGGAATTTCATTCACGGAATTTTTCGAAAAACTCGGATTTGAAATGACCGATGAAGACGAGGAAACTACGACAGTCGCTACTTCAACAACTTCTAGAAAAACGATAGTTAAGCAAACAACCACCACCACGACCACGTCACCAATTATAACAGCAGACGCCTTAAGTTAATTATTGATGGGAAGTTTTAAGATGTCAATCACTATTTTAATCACTGAAAAATAAAATCGTCTGAAAAGCTTAAACATTAAAGTTTAAAAAGCAAATAAATTATTTTTCAACTTCAATTTTTATTCTTTACTTTTGACGACGAAACATGAATTTTGCTTTCATGTCTTAATTTTCACACAAAACTTTTTATTTCAATGAAAATTGTGATTATTGGTCTTACTAATGGATGATAAAACATTTTCTTTCAGTGTTTTTACTTTAATACGGTCACGGGTACGATGATTAATTTTTTTCCATATTGATTTACTGGAAAAATTTTAGCGATTCGATCGTGTCACTTAGTCAAAGAAATTAAAACCTTAATTATTAAAAGTTTTCCCGTTTTATTCAACTCCTGTTCTTTGTGGATTAATGCAGGTACATTTTTCAATGCATTGTGTGTAGTTTATAAGTTTAGCAATGGACAATCAATGATTAAATTCCTGTTTTTCATTTGTTTATTAATGAAACCAAACATAAAAATATGTTCTAATAATAAAAAGTAAGACCAACAAAGTCTGGTTCACTGTTTTACCCTTTTCTTTCTTTAAAAAAGATCATAACAATAAACAGCTCTCATCATGACGCATTCATGCGTACGATCGATTTTATTGTCAGATATAAAAATTTGATTTGATAAAATTATTTTTATTCCTTGTATTGTTTTTACTGTAATGAAGGTTGTTATTACTTAGCTAGTTGATTTTTTTCTTACTTAGACATCATTGACAGACATTTATGTATCAGTAACATGAATTCTAAACATCGATTAAGTTTCCTGAATTTATTCCGGAAATAAAACATCTAAAACTTTTTCTTATTCATTTTCTAGAATTCCATCTAGTTAGTAGTTAATATTTGTAAATGTTAAAGCTTTCACTTTTTATCCGGCGCAGGAGCGATTTTTATCAATTTTGTTTTTGAAGATTTAAGACTACTAGTTACGGATTTCTTCTCACTGATGCCTTTACTAGTACTTGGATTTGATTGTTTATCGAGTTCCGTCATTGCCTTTTGTATAGCACGTTCCAAATGAGAATTTAGTTTTCGGCCCCTGTAAAAATTATTAATTAAATATAATTTACAAGGAAGAAATATTGAATTTTAAAGGTAAGTTTCAAGAAATTGTTTGCAAAAATTAGATTAACAAATTATCACAAATGTCAAACCTTCGAAGAATGAAAAGTTTGAGTATCTGTGGTTGTTAAACATTTAAGGGTTTAACAATCATTAACGTGGGAGTTACTCGTCATTAATCATTAAAATGAATGTCAATAAAGATTTCAATAGTTTGAGTTTTGCTAACAATTTCTTGAAACAAGATCAAGGAAAATTTCATGCTTCTATAGAAAAACATTTCATTCAACAAATCTAAATACTTAATCAATAATAAAGGAAAAATAAATTCTACAGAAAACTTTATCAAAAATGCAGTTGAAAGAAAAATCGAAATGAAGAAGATAAATAAATTTCTAAGATAAATTGAAAATAATTTTGTTTTCAGTCTCTTAATTTGCTTCTACAGAAGAAGAAGAGATTTGAGATTTCTTTCTTTTCAAGGATATGAGAAAGGAAAGGAAAAACAAAGAAGTTTGGAACAAAGTTTTATCTCACTTTCTAGTGTCCTTTTGGGCGGCATGATGAGCTTCGAGACCGTCTGATAAACTTTTCAGTGTACTACAAAGTACCATCTCAGTGTTTTGCCGTCCACCGAACCATTTTACCCATACGCAATCACTAGATGTCGGCTCTCCATCGGGACCATTAACAATCTTTCCCGGCCATGCATCACAGCCCCTTGTCGCACCCCAAATTAAATCACCAACTTTAAAATTTGAATTCGATTGACTTTCTCCAGTGGAATTTGTTGTTGGAAGCGGAGAATTCGGAGATCCACTCAACGAGTCTTCTGACTCAATCACATCAGTTGCAACAGGCTTTATCGTATTTACTGGTGGTGATTCTTTCAATAAATCGAAATCACTTTTTTTCTCAGTAACGTCTTCATCATCATTTTCAATTTCATCATCATCATCATCAATAAGTTTTGATGACATCTCATCAAAGGGACTTTCCGAACGATGATCTGACGATGCCGATTCTGTAAATTTTCGTTTTGTCTCTGGTCAATTTTTATTTTTAATTTTTAAGGCCACGCACAGTTATGAATTGGTTCAATGAAAGATGTGAGTGTATTTAATGTGCACGAGAGAAAGACAATAGAATTAAGAACAGAAAAATAAAATCATAAAAGCGAATGTTTCCATTCGTTCCTTTTTTTTTGTTGTGATTGTTGTTATCGACGATGTTATTTGTGCTGTTTTTAAATATATTTATTTAGTTCGGTGATTGAAAGTCAAATCATAGGAATACTTAATAATCGTTAATTGCGTGTAAAATAAAACAAAAAATTAAAATGAATAAAAAAACAAGAAAGTTAGATGACCCTCTCAAGACTAACGTAGAAATTTCACGTGTCACATCAAGTCACAGCTACACAGTTTATTAGTCACATTGAAGCCGGCACATGTTTAAGATAAATCAAGCACTTCTGATTTCTTTTATCTTTTATTTACAATAAACATTATTAAGTTCCAGAATTTTTATTTTAATTTTTTCGTTTTTGCATTGCGGGTGGAGTGGAAAAATATTTTCAATGGGATAATTAAGGTTTTTCTTGTATTGATTAATCAGAGGATCAAACATTGTAATCAACAAACAAATAAATCATAAACACCATGAAATTAAAAGCAAAAATATAAAACATGCAACAACTTTCCACCAATAAACAACAAACAAGCAATTTGTGATGAATGTTATTAATTTAATTAATATCATAAAAGAAGGAAATGAAGTAAAGTGATTATAGGAATTAAATTTAATGTGCAAGAGAGGGAAATAAAGAGATAGAGATGACATTGAGTAATGAATTTAATTAAATTGCAACTCACCGTGAGAATCAGGACGCATCAATGGACTTTTCTGACTTCGATCCATTAAAATGTTCAAATGATTTTGACTCATGATATTCGTTGTCATTGGTGATTTTGATGTCGCTTTCGGATCCATCGGTAACTTAAACATTGGTTGTGAATTGCCTGCTGATGATGGAACATCATTAATTCAAACATATTTAATTAAAATATTTTACAATGCTGGAATGGATTGACAAATTGGACCTTTCAAAAATGTTTTAAATTTAAAGTTTAAATTTAAACATCAAATCCACACCAGCATTCAGTTGAGAAAGATTTACCAACCTGAATATTGAATTTGATTTTGTGGCGGAGACATTTGAGAGTCAATAGCTTCCGGTGAAACAACATTTGAGTTTGAATCCGGTTCAGAACTTGACACAAATTGTACCATGTTTGTGCTGTCACTGGAGCCATTACTCTTCTCACTTGTAGCATGAATTGGACTTCTCGGACTGTGTGTTGTAGTATCCGGTGGTGAATTTGCAAATTGTTGTAAAGATGACATTCCCATCTGTGCCATTCGATTATCTTCTTCATCAATCGCATTCAAATATTCATTTAAATCATTTATTTCATCCATTTCAATTGTGATGTCGTCGATGTTCATGATGCCACACTGACCATCGCCCGTCATACTGTGATGTAAAACTTGCTGTGAACCATGGTGAAGCTCTTGAATCATATCAGGCTTGTCACTATCAAAGAACATTTCCTGTTCTTCCTGTTCAATTTCTTCACAAACTTCTTCCTGCTCATCATCATCAGCAATCATCACTTCCTCTTCATCATCTTCAAGCTGCTCAATTTCTTGCACAATTGTTTGAATTGAACTTTTAACACGTGGCGACTTTATCATTTGTGGATAAAATTTCTGTTGCTGAACTTTCTGATGATGAATAATCTTTCTTTGAGAACTATTGCTGTTATTTGCCTTTCCATCGGTTTGTTGTGTGATGAATTGTGTTTGCTGACCAATCAATGCACTTTGTCCACCCACACCAGAGGTTGATTGCGTAATGATTTGAGGTTGATTCATTCCTGATGATTGCATCATGATTGGTTGTTGTGTGTTTATAATTTGATGTTGCTGATGTTGTTGATTCTGTTGTTGAGTTTGTAAAATGAATCCCATTGGCGTATTAAAAACTTGATTCATTTGTCCACCTTGATTCACAATAAATTGTTGTCCATTACTCGTAATGATCGTCTTCTGTGCTTGCTGCTGTTGTTGCGGTTGCTGTTGAATTGGAGCTCGTATCATCATACCTTGTGGTGTCTGAATGATATTGTTGAATGTTGTTGGGTTCTGGAATTGTACAATGGAATTTCCATCTGGTGTCATCATCACAGGAAAATGTCCCGATGGAAGCATCAATTGCTGTCCACCGAGAAGATTCATCGGCTGTTGAATTAAAGTCTGCCCATTTTGAAGGATAATCTGCTGAGGTTGTTGAGGTTGTTGTGGCTTATTCTGAACGATAATATTTGGTGATGCTAATTGAAAACCTTGTGGTGTCACTTGAATCATGCCTGACTGTTGTGGAACAGTCGTCACTGTTGTCTGTTGATTTTGTTGTTGAATGTTGCTTACTTGCTGTTGTTGTGATTCTGGTAATGGAATTTTTCTTTTTCTTCCTTTCTTCTTTTCTGGACTTATTTGTGGTGTTCTTGCTTGTTGCTGCTGATGTTGAACAATTGAATTATCTTGGATAATTGTCTGAGTTGCTGGCATCATAACTTGACTTGGAATTCCATTAATTAGCACAGTTTGCTGCGTCATTAATGGTGATGTAAGTTGATTTCCATTTGTCAAAATCGTCTTACCAGTTGAACCATTACCAGCAGTTGACAGAAGAATGTTTCCTTTCGGTGACATTAAATTTCCAGTATTTTGAATAATTTGTCCATTTTGAATGATTAAAGGATTCATTGACTGATTATTCGACACAATAAAATTTCCACCCGTGATGGGATTTGTTAAAACATTTCCAGTGCTTGTTTGAATGATGAAATTACCATTTGGACCTTGCACTAATCTCTGACTATTCGCATTTGTGCTCTGAAGCTGCTGAAGAAGTGAATTGTTATTCAACATAATATTTTGTGGCTGTTGTTGTGGAGCGTTATTTGATGGCACAACAACAAATTGTTGTCCATTTGATGTCATCATAATTTGTTGATTACCCGCAACATTTCCATTACTTTTTACTTGTCCAATTATTGATGACGTTTGTTGTGGTTTCTTCATCATTGTCATTGTCGGTGGTGCTTTTCTTACAATATTTCCACTTGCTGCTGCCGTTATGTTTGTTATCGCTTTACCAGCAACAACTTGCGTCATTGACGATGTTCTTATAAGCTCTTGAGTCGATGCAGTACGAGCTAATTTCACAAACTCAGCATTGTCATATGTTGATGATTGCACAATTGTCTCGGTAACAGCATCGGGAGTATGAGATGACGAACTAATATCAGGCGTGTTGCTTTTTATAATTTTCATTCCACTTCCAGCACTTGTTGATGATACTGGCGATTCTTGAGACATTGCAACAAGACGTTTTGCAATCGTTTGTGGATTCTTTGGTGGACGTCCTTTTGGGTTTTGTCGTACATATTTCATCTGCTCTTGAATCATCATGGGCTTAGCTTGAAGTGGCTTAATATCACAGTTTTGTTGAATCTGAACAACGCCATTTGGCATATGTGTCAATGTTTGTCCACCAAGACTCGTCACCGGTGATGATCTCATGTATTGCAGAAATTGTTGTCTTTGAGACTTTTGAAAGTTCTCAGAGGAAGTTTCTTGAAGTGCTGGAGAAGCTGATGATGTTGTTGACGATGACCCATCGGGACTATGAAGTGTCGTGATTGTGTTGTGCAACAAAGCTGTTTGTTGATTTAAATAACCCGTTGGATCTTCTTTGAACGTCGGTCGTCGACGAATTATCGTTTTACCAATCTTACCTTCACCTGTCGACCATTGCGCAATCTCATTGCCATCACATTTTTGTTCAATGATTTGGATTTGTTGTGGCTGTTGAATTTGAAACTGTTGATTATTTTGATCGATCGCAATGACATTTTGTCCATTAATTTGGAAAATTGGAATGCCCGATGAGAGAATTTGTGTCGGTTGAATGTTTTTCTGTTGATTTATTGAATTTTTTTTCCATGGTGGCAACTTTACACCATCTGATTCCACTGAGTCATCTTTTATAATCCTCATCACCACATTAGCGCCTGTTGTTGGATCATGTTGCACAAATTGTTGCTGTTGTGGTCGTTGTTGTTGAAAAGTGACTTGCTGTGGCTTCGATTGAATAATTTGTGGTTGAACATTACTCGATGTAAGTCCACTATTGTTCACAATCATGACGGTATTGTTTGTAGTGTTCTGGTTGATGACTTTAGATGAGGCAGATGTCACATATGACGGTAAAAGACATTCTCCAGTAACTCGCTTCGTATTACTTTCAATTTTACCTCGTTTTATGTCTAAAATGTGAAAATGAAAGAGAAGAAAAAAGGTTGGGAAATGAATGGTTGAAATCATACGCTTAATTGCTAATTACAGTCGTCTGAAGTCTAGAAAGTGAAACAAAAAGCTTCATTATTGATTCATGAGTTGAACAACAAGGATTTATGTCAGACCTGTTGATGGAATAAAGCTTTTATACGAGCGTGAGCATGTCGAACAACATTCAACTCAAAAAAGCTTAAACATGTCAATTAACAACTCTGTTCATATTAAAACCAACTCTTAATGGCTATGCTTTGATGAAAATAAATAACTAGATGAATGGATGAATGCATGTATGCAAATTGAAAACAATGCTCGTGTTTCGTTGCTCATTGCCACCCTTGTTGAAATGAAATATTTTATCGCCCTCAGGAAAGTGTCAATGAATGTTTTCAACCACCCAACCGACAACAACATTTCACACTCGCTTTTAATTTCACATTTTTTAGTGTTCATCGGTCTGTGAAGTTTTATTCCTTTCCTTTCATTTGTTCTTAATAAAAACTTCATCGATTTTCATCACTCACAATTCCTTTTTTCAAGAATCGCAAAGAATCGCAAAAATAAAAAGTTTTTCGTGTGTTGACAGACGCGATTGAAGGGTGCGACGAGAGGCGTTCATGGCGCCTGGTTTGAGTTTCAAATACATGAAAGAGGGACATGAAAGAGAAAAATGCTAGGAAATCAATTTTTTTTATTTGCACAGCTAAAAGCAAATCGTAAAAATTGTTTTTTATATTTCGAGACATGAAAATGGTGTTTTAACAGTTACCAGACGGTGAAGCTGAATGCCATTAAAATTTATTTGTTTTTAGGGAAAATTTTGAAACTTTTATTCTCATTTAGAAACAATTCTTGTAAATAAAATAATTAAACTCAAATTAAATATGAGAAATGATTCAACTTATTGACCTTCGCTTTTGATATCAGTTTGAAATAATTTCCACTCAATTTCACCATCATATTTAAAACTGGGTTGAATTTCCCAATGAAAAACTTCAAATAAAAATTTTATGCAATTTCTATGTTTATAAACACATAAGCAAACATCCGAAGATTAAACTTTTCTTATGACAACAACCTCCGGATGTTTGACGTTTATCATCTTTGAATCAGAGGGGTGGCTAACGACTGGCAGTTTTCATACAAAACGCTCTCAAATTTCCCGCATTTTCACTCCCCTTCCCCTCGTGTTTGAATAAATCTATCATGAAAATCAGCTTTGGATGTTTTCTAGTTAGAAAGAGGATTTTATTTCATTCAAGCTTATTTCTACCTCCCTTCATACATGTGTGTTGAAATTTGTCATTCAGATTTGTATTTAATCTGAGACTTTACAGAATTTAAATCCGATGAAGTTCAAAGACTTGTTCCCTCACGAATTCAAAAGATTTGCAAACAAATTGAGAAAGCAAATAAGACATTTTCTGGTTAATGTTTCTGCTACTGATTTTGATTGCTTAAGTGGATGAACAAGTTCTTTGTCACGTCGAAATTCTTTTAATCTTTATCCTGTCTTTAATTATACTTATATCAATAACATTTTTAAACTGTTGCAGGATTTTTTTCAATTCTTTGTAATTTTCGTTTTTGAAATTTTTCAATTTAAAGTAAATTTCTTTCATGGATGAATTATTAAGAAAAATATTTCACGGCATTGAAGAAAGAAAATCGTTAAACTAAAAATTTTCTCATTTTCTTCTTTCTAAAGTTTTTCTTTAGCTTGTGGAATTTCTGTAATGTTTTCAACTTTTTCCTTTAAGTTCTGATTGAATTTAATTATTGAGATTTCCTTTATCATAAGTATCACTGAAAGTTCCATGACATCGAAAATAATCAATCGATACTTCGTTTCCGTTATTGAATTTCCTCTCATCATGAAGAATGGAAATGATAAATTCAAACACTCGAGAACCTGCTTTACTGTAAGATTCTTGAATGAAGCACTTCGATTGCTTTCGGCGTTTTACTCTAAGAAAGCTTTTCTTTAATCTTAAGATGAACTCTCGCTGATAAAAAAATTATTTAATTACCATTAAAGTTTTATGACTTTTTAAACTTCTCAGCATTCTTAAAGACATCTCAAATCTTATCTTTGGAACATTTTCAAAAAATAAATTCTCATAAGAAAACAATGAACAAAGTGCTGAATAGACCGAATATTTTAGTACGTTGATTAAGAGTGGTTGATAAAACATAACAATGATGCTTATTGAGATGAAGTGTCACGTTCATCAGATATTGAAGAAGATTTGCAATCGATACAACTTCAAACGAATCTCTGAAGTTTACAATCAAGATATTGAAATATTTATTAGCTTCATTGAGATTCTCTTGACTATTAAATGCCGGGATTTTTCTTCTGAAGTTTCATCCCTCGCACTGATTGCCACAATTCACCTTCTTCATCACATCTTGAATTAAATTCTGATCAAAAGATTGCGTAAAATCTTGAAAATTCAATCAAAAATATTCACGAATTCTCTAATGGTTTGTTTAATTGAAGTAGATATTTGTTCTTTATAAGTTTGAGGGAAATTTTCAATGATTTTCCAGATGATTGAATGTTTAACATCGAAAACAAACCGCAACGAATCTAAAGGGAATCATCGTTTGAACTTTCTGACAAGAATTCTTGAATAATTTGAAGAGAATTTTATTGGAAACTTCAATTGTTAGTTCTTCAAGTAGTTTCGCCATCAAAATAAGTAAATTCAATGTCATTGCAATCCAAAAATTCATTTTCTTGACATTTCCATTGACCCGTAAAATTTTCCATGTCTTTGCCCACACAAAACCTACACCATGATTGACATTTTTGGTAAATATTGTGACGCAAGTGAATTTGATCATACAGGGAGATTCACATTGATTCTACCGCCAACGAGTAATGTATTTAACATCATTGATATTGTTGACACGTGTGTTCTCCAATCCCACTGAACCTTCCTTTCGAAAACGATCCAAAGTAAACATGCCCATTGTCAATCTCATACTTTCCGCAACATCTTGTTTCGCTCCCATGGAAAGAACTAACGAATGTTCCACTCATTTGCCACAAACCTTTTTACCTAAAGCAAAGCTTCCATCAAAAAACTTATCTCTACCAGTTGCTTTGATGCTTTCTCTCCCATGAAACTTGTCATTGATAAATTCTCTATCAAAATTGAACAAATAATTGGTGAGTTGACCTTTTTCATGATATTTTCCGTTTGAAAAACTCTCAACATATTTTTAAGTTATCTTGATTTTTAAAGGTAAACCTTCCACATCCTTCAATGATATTTTCCTTTTGAAGTTCACCCTCGCAAATATCTTCCGCTTTCATTTATCCGAAATTGGAAAATGTCATTTAAGAAAGTGATTTTAATTTAATGAATTTACTTCAATTTTTGTTTATGGTGTAGCAGAGGAAATTGATAATTATGACTCTTTTTCAATCACCTTCAGTGAGTAATTTATGAGAAACTTTTCTTCATTTATTTTTTTAAACATTTCACAATAAAAATCATGTCGAATTTTAATTATTTTTGGATCATTAAATTCCATGTCGTGTTTATTTTAATTGGATTACTAGGCTAACTGAGATTATTTACAACTTTCATGACACTTTCGACTTCAGAATTTCAATTTAAATTTTAAAAAGCATGAAAATAATAAATAAATAAATTAAATGCGCTTACCTGTCTGATTTTGAGCAGCAGTTTGATTCGATGTTAATCGTTTTCGATGCTGACAATTTGGATCAAATTTAATGCTTTCAATAGGCGTCTTCAATGGCACAGTTGGAACCTGTTAATGTTTTTGTGTTGAGAAATCATATTAATTAATAATAAAAACATTCGTTCGTCTTCAATTGATTTTTACATCCAATTAAATGGATAAAAGCTTTACCTCGGTATTGAAATTGAAGAATAATTCGACACGCAGTGGAAATGGCAAACCGCATTTACACGTTCCGCGCGTGAGAAGATAATCTTTGACTTGCTTTAGACTCGCTAATCCGATGCCTGATGGACTGTTGAACAAAAAATAATAATAACAATACGAATATAAGAAAGAATAAGAAAACAAATATAAACAAATGTTTAAAAGTTCTGACGTTCAAAAGCAAATCACAACAGTATCGATTCAACGCTCAGAATGAGAATGACGACCACAATAAATAAATAAATGGAATTTTGATTGCAATCAGATGATGATGCATCGTTAAATTGCTATAAAACTTCGTGAATTGCAACGAGAGAAATGCAAAAGAAGAAAGGAAGAAAAAAATTAAATTAAATTTTATGATCTGCATGCCCTGATATGGTCAACTTCAGCTTCATAACGTATTAAAGTTTATTACAAGCGAAGTTATCTTTCCACTAGTTTATCGTCGTCCGACATCATAACGATTTGACATTCATACCCTTTCGTACATACATTTCTTCGTTGCCTTCATCTTGTTTTATTTTATTTTTTTCTTTTCACAACAAAAACATCGTAAATTTAATCATCGAAGCAGCGCAAAAGGCCACGGACTCATGTAAATGTGTGCACACATAATTTCATTTTTTTGTTACATAAAAACACGTTTATGGTAGGCGAAAGCAACATGAAATCCCATGACTTAAATCTAACTTAAAAAGTTCTTTCATTGAGCTCAACTTTAACTTCTTTTATATCGTTAATAATCACGTTAAATTTATATTTTACATTCACATTTACATAATAAAAATTGCTGATTGTGTATGCAAATTGCTAAAGTTTAAATTTATAATAACAACAACGAATTTCAAAGTAAACTTCTTAGTGTCGCGTGTTAATTTTTGTTGATGGTGTTTTAAAGCGGCTTTCTTTTGACGCCAACTCATTCAACTGTACTCAAAAGAAATAATTATTTAATTGAATACTCTGCTACACCATAATTTCCACTAACTAATTCGAAAGGTTCTCACTTCTCTTATGAAAAACATAACACTAATTAGCGCTTTGCATTTCGCCTCAACTCACTGGTATTAATTAATTTTTCTGCACTTGATGACAATAATTGTTTGCATTTATATAACTTAGACATAAAGGCTCAAGCTGGCTGTTGATTTCAACGAGAGTAAATCCAAGAATGCGTGTGCATCAACCGCTTTTACTTGTTCAACTCCAGTCTTGTGTTTCATATTCGCAAAAAGAATGCAATTCTCTTTTGCCCGTGTACAATGAATAGCAATGCTTTAAAAATAATAATAAAAAATGCATTTGCGCTTATGCCGAAAAGCATGAAGTAGAATTCAAGGAGAATTCATAAGGAAGCAAACAACTGAAAGAGAAAAGAAACGAACGCGAAAGAAGGAAAGAAAAAAAATCGCAGCAAAACTTGTCCGAAAAGAAAAGAAACAATTGAATAATAAAAAGAGAATGAACCAAAAAACATATAAAAATTAAAGCGAACCTTGATTGTTGGCATCGCTGCTCATGAGTTGATTCGTTAAGCTGTCCAGAGCGATATTAAAATGCAACTTTTTCTTTCATTTATTTTTCTGCTTCTCCGTTCTTTTCCCAACGTTCAGTTTCTACTTTTTTGGGAGATTTTTTTGTTAAACTCTGTCGCATAAACGTTCAAATGAATGACACAAAATAAAACGATGAGAAATTGAATAAAAAATGAAAAAAGTTTGTTGTCAAATTCATAAAGAAAGAAAGAGTAAAAGCAGCAACGACGACATGAATAAATATTTTATATGACATTGCAAGGAATGCATGACATTGCATTGCAACGAATTCGTGAAGCTTTCTGTTGTTAAAGTTCTCAGGGAAAGTTTCGTCAAACGAAATAATTCATAATGAAAGCAACTACGAGAATGGAAAAAAGGGAATTAAGTTCCCTTAGTTAGCGTGGAAAATCCGAAATGAGTCAGTATGACATGTAATTGTTATTGTTAATACTAATACAAGTTTCATTTACATTACACTGATTGAACTGTTGGAGCTGAACAGGAAATTCCATCGTAATGAAAGCAGACAGTTCAGCATTGACTCAAACTTAATGATATTTATTCAAGACTTCTCTGAATCTTCTTCGACTTTTTAATTCCCACTCTTCTTGTCATAATCAACCGCCCTTCAAGGGAACAAAAATCTTCAAAGTGAAGAACCATTAAAAAAAAACTGGTCGAATGATTTTTTGATGATTTTATCAACATTGACGCATCAAACTCGACGAGCCTTTTCATTTTATCCAAGTTCAATGCAAAATTTTAATTATTCCTTCGTCACAACATGTATCAAAATAACATTTTTTAAAACTTTCATGTTTCGTGGCTCGTTGCATTATTCAATTCGTCGAAAAATGGAAATTAATTTATCCACATGTGCTTCGGTGGCAATGTGGAAAAAAGAAAGAAATGTATAATAATTATGAGCCATGTTAGATTTTTCATGCTTTCTTTTGGTTGTAAGCACGAGGGTAACTCGAATTCTGAAATTATTTGAGTCGACTTTTCATGTTCAGTGTTCAATGAAATTCTGTTGACTTTCATACATTCTTTACTCACATTTACATTCGTTAAATCAACAACCCACGCTACTTTCACTAATTTATAATGCGAGGAAAGACTTGAACAGGGAAATCTTATTCACCAACAAATTTATGATAAATCATTTAAATATTTAGAACACTTTGAATAAATTCAGTAAGACATTCTTTCAAAATACTCCTTCAAATTAATCATTTAATTTTCTTCGTTTTTAATCCACAGCCACACGTTTTCTTCATTCATTTCTTCATAAAAATTGAAATTCTTTCATGATTATTGTCTCGACCAACTTAAATGCTATTTAAGTATTTTTTTCAGCGCATCGACACTTTCTGAAACTCTCCTCGAGTTAAGTCGTCGAATAAAATATTTTAAAACATTAAGAACGTCGAGTTTCACTCGCATATGGCATCGATGAAATGAAATAAAGACGCGACAATCAAAATATTTTCATCGCTGAGAACCGGAATAGCTCAACGATTATTTATATGAAAGTGAGATGGAGAGAGAGACTAAATGTGATGTCGATGAAGGGAAAGCGCATTCTTGAACATCATCTCATAATATGAGATTGTGCAATTTAAAATCGTTCGAGATCTGTCTTGACATGCGCACACATTCAGTTGACATACACACAGACGCAATACATGAAATTAACAAAGAAGAAGTTTCTTAAACAGCATGTTAAGATCCCTCGGAAAGAAAGATAAAAATTCGTTAAAGTTCGTCGTGTTAAATGAGAAATTTTTAGGTTTTCAAAAAAGAAAAAGAAAAGCAAAAGGGGAATAGGAGGATCGTCGTACTGTGCTAGTTTCTTCTTTTTTTTTAGGTCAACAATAGATAATTTCTCGTTTAAAGCGTTCAAGTTTTAAGGTTCTAAGAAGCGGCTGATAGAACACCAAACGAGCGTAACGAATCGTTGCACATTTCACTTTCTGTTTGCATCATTTCAGAACTCAAACAAACGTTTACGTGATTTTCTATTTTTCTAAATATTATGCAATCGTTAACTCACCTGATATAAATAACTTTATTATTGTGATTTACTCGAAGCCAACCTGGTGCATTATTTGATTGATAAATGTTTTTCTGTAGTTCTTGTTCCTGTTTTAAGACCTTCTGAACATCACAAAGTTTTTGGCTATGAAAGTCTTCTGAAGAAAGGGAAGATTCCTGTTTCAATGGTGAAGTTATGGGTTCTTGTTTAAAAACAACTGGTTCTTGTATCTTGTTCAACTTGGCTCCATGGTTGGCATTTTTAATGGCGTTTGATGTGCGGCTGTTGATGATTTGCTTGCTGATGAAATGTCCGGACTTTACTGCATCGCAGTTTGTTTTCGTTTTCACACTGTTTGCTGCTGACATTTACCGAAACTTAATGTTATTGTCCTGTTGGGTGGTGGAAAGGATGAGTTTATTACTTTTTTTTCGACTTTGACACATGCTCCCTTCGTTGTGCAATGACCTCATGACTCATAGTAAACTTTATATAACGTTTCTCCCATCAACAATTCTTTATTTTTCTAATTTTAATTTCACGCTGTTGTTCTTCAAGATGTTTATTAGATTCGCATAAAAAGCAAACAAAGAAGACCGCAAATGACGATTTCAAGGTCAAATCGTGAAACGCGCGCAAAGAGAGACAAAGCAAACATCAAAAGATTAATAAACTAACAAGTCAAGTTGTTGAGTCGTTTCAATCATGTCTTAACAATTAAGAGAATTATGACCACAAGTTCGTTGCTCAATTCTAAATAGATATTTATTTAGATGTATGCATGAGTGTTGGGCAATCAACAACTTCATGAACAAGCAAAGTAAACAGTCAAGAAATTGAAATGAAATTGAATAACAATTTGTGACAAATCGACGGGTGCTCACCATCGAGTTCCATGAATAATTTATTTGATAACTTTTCGCCTTTTTTCTTTTTTCTGTTACGCTTCATATGACAGCACGTTGCATGTCGCTTATTTTCTTTGTGTACTTTATTAAATTTTTGAATTTGGTAAAATCAGCGAGAAATCAAATTTCTATCATGAAAGTAATTGGAAATCCATTTATGATGGACATGACGTGCTTCATAACCTAATGAAATGGAAAATTAAAGGCAATCAAGTATAGCAAGATAAAAAGCAACAGCAGCAGCAGCTATACAAATTTGACACAGATTCACGTTCGTTTCTCGGCTGATTATAGTCGAAACATAGTGAACAACAGCCTTGAAAACTAAGTCTGTTGTTTTTTTTTAAATTCATTTCATTTAAATGTCGCAGAAATGAATGAAGGGGAGAGAGATAGAAAAACAAAAGCGAAAAGGGAGAGAGAGAAGGAATGAACACTCGCGATTAGAGTAGCGCCGTCGTCGACTAGCTTTATTAATAGATTCGATGTCGAGTGATGTGTGTAATCACTTAATTTACTTCATTATAAGTTTCGTTGATCAATGACGGTTCAAAAAACGTTTTATAAAATGTTTTCGTCAGCAAAACTTTCCCTTCAACATCTTAAAAAGAAATCAAGCGTCACAAAAATTTGAAGCACTCCCGCTTTTCTCATGTTTCGTTTTAAACGTTTAAGAGTTTTGCATTAAACAACAAAGGATAATTAGTTCACTTATTGCCACTGATTACCTGCATAATAACTACAAATCATATCCATTTTGCTTTTTTAGTGATGCTAAAATCTAAAAAATTGACTTTTTCTCTTTAAACTTTTTTTCTTTTAGCTCTTGTTGTTGTTCCACAAAATTTTGCCACTTTTTACTTCACAAATCAGGAATTTGTGCACGATAATCCAAGCTCCTGATATTGATTGACATGTAATTTGAACTTACAACTAGTATTAAAATGTTTCTTTTGAGATAAAGAACGCGAAAATCCGCCAAAAGTGGAATTTAAAATTAGACGATGTTAATCCATCAAAAGGAGAACTGTTTGTGTAAGTTTCTCGTTGATTTTTTCTTCATTGATGCTCACACATTCAAACCTCACTAACATTCTCTTATATCATGTATGTGACTTCAATGTGAAATTATAGCAAATATAAAATTATAGCAACTTTTCCTCCTTCAAACTTCAGCGAATGAAAATGTTTCATGAAATGTGAAAATGCATTTAAAAGATCTTAAAAGAAGATAAAGGGAGAGAGGACAAAGGTAGAATCAAATTTGTACTCGTGAATTACCGTTCTGATTATGAAATAACACGACATTTGCTGTTAAATAGAAAAAATTACAAAAATTCGATTTTCCTTTAACTTTTCTTTTACATCTTTTATTTATTTTCTTTTGTTAAAAACTCTAATGACATTTTTGTGAGAAAATCGTTTGATCTTTGCAAGATTAAGGGAATGATACCTAATTAAATCATATAATTAAGTGAGATAAACACAGACTTCAAAAATACCTAAAGATTGCAAAGTTCGAGATAAATATTTTAATGAATCGGCGGTGCACCTAAGTTAGCAAGATTCTTTGTAGGTTCAACAAAATTTGAGTTTAATTCCTGCTACTAAAATGTTGCTGTGTTAAATAACTTAAAAATTTTATAAAGTTAATTCCCAAAAGATATTTAAATAAATTCTAATTTCGTAAAGGGAGCATTTTTCTTTTTGATTTCTTAAGCTGTTTGAAAAATAAAAGTTTCACTAATTCAACTTTTCATGACATTGTATAGGTATGTAGATGTTTAATGCTTGTAGGAAAATAAACTGTTTAGCTTGTTGCGCATTGTTGTACTCGTGGACCTCGATGATATCTGTCATCATCATCGTCATAAGCTTCATGATGTCGACGTTGCGAGCTTGCATTAGGATCGTAATCGGTGAGGTTGCATTCTTCAGCATTGATTGGAATTTCAACATAAGGTCTCGGTGGTAGACATTGTTCGAGAGCTGGAACAATTTCCATTGGGATAGAGGCTGGGAAAACAACATTGAACTGAACGATGAGACGGCCTTTCTCGAATGGATTCTTATATTCCGGTAAACCTTCACCCATAATGCATTTGATTTCTTTATCTTTAACAACTTCTCCGGGTAAGCTTGTTACGACCAAATCACGTCCATCTAATGTCTTAATGACTTTCTGGAAACCACAAAGTGACTCCACAAGTTGCAAGTCCATGACCATTGCCAGATCGCATCCATGATTACCAAATTGGAATATTGGATGTTTCTTAACATCTAACACGATGATTATATCACCAGGTTGCAGGTCTGGTTCTTGATCTCCTTCACCGGAAAACACAATTCTTTGACCATCAAGCATTCCCTTCTCGACATGAACTTCCAAAATCTTACGATCACGAACAGTTTTTTTTCCGTTACAAGTTTTGCATCGATCTTTCGCATTGATAACTTCACCCTGTCCTTGACAAACGCGGCAAATTTGCTCATGTTTCTGAACAAAGCCAGGCATAATTTGCTGAATTTTCACTTCAACTCCTTTTCCTTTACATGTTCCGCATGTTTCGACAGCTCCTTTCTTACCACCACGACCTTCACATTTCTCACAAATAACGCTTTTCTGCAGTGCCAACTTACGAACAGCGCCGTTGTAAATTTCTTCGAGTGAAACTTGCATTTGATGAACGAGATCTTTGCCTTTGCGTTCACGTTGTCTAAAAAAAAGATCAAATAATTTAATTTAGAGCAACAACCTTGAACCTTTTGTGTTAATTGACGTAGATAATCATTTTCCGTAATTTCTATCAATCATCATCATATTTTTCGATTTTTCGTAAAGATTAATGTGAGCATGTTGTTGGGTTTAAAATTATCATGCGCGAAAAGTGAAATCAAGGTTTGCATGTAAATACAAGAGGCAGATGACGATTTTTTTGGAAGTGTTAGTAAATGAGGTTTAAATGGTTTGGTTAATCACACATACTCAAAGAGCACGTTTTATAGAATTGAATATTCTAGAAGTTAAATGACGAATGATGAAATTTTCAGTGTTAATCGGTTAATTCTAGATATTTCTATTTTGGAAGGAATGATTTAAACTATTTTTACCTTCCGCCACCGAAGCCTCCTCCAAAGAACACATCGAAGATATCCATTGGCGAATGAAATCCTCCACCGCCAGATCCACCTTTTTTAATTGCTGCTTCTCCACCTTCATCATAGATTTGTCGTTTTTCCTCGTCGGATAAAACCTCGTAAGCCATTGAAATTTGTTTGAACTTTTCACCTTCATTTGGATTCTAGGAAGACATTGACAAAAATTATAATTGGAACGAAAAATTGCAGACTTTCCTAAATGACATACCTTATCTGGATGGTATTTAAGAGCTAGCTTCCTGTAAGCTTTTTTCAAGTCGTCTATGGAGCAGTTTGGTTTAACGCCTAATCGAGATAAAAATCGAAAATTATTCAAAGATTTAAACATGCATTTAAAAAAAAATACTAACCCAAAATGTCATAATATCCTGTTTCCTTCACCATTTTTTATGATTTGTTATAGGAAACAATCGAAAATGTCTATGAAGTGGGTACAAGTAATCAATAAGAATGAAGGTTGATTCTTTAAAAAAGCTTCAAATTTACAAAGCAATTTTTTTCAAAATGGAACTGATGGAAGTCTAAACTCTTTAATCACTTTTTTTCGATTTTTAAATCTATTTAGACGTGTTTTCCGATGTAAAATCAATTGCAACTTTCTATTTAGCTATATTTGCTTTGTTTTTCAGCGAATAATAAATATAATCTGAGTTTGAAATATAATTTCAATCCTTCTTCGTTAAAATCAAAACTCAGAAGATTTTTCTAGAAATAAAACTTTTGATTATTGCTCATAGATGTCGCACACATCGCTTTTGTCCATAAAGCCAAAGAAAAATTTGAAAAATAAGACGTTTGAATTATGCTGAAGACTCGAAGGATCAATAACACATTAAGAACTTTTTAGAAATTTATGTTTAAATAAATATCCATACCTACCTAGTTGAAAAATATGGAAAACACAATTTGCAAATTAGACAAAATGAATATTGAAAGGCTTGATTTGATTAGCGGTTTTATTACTCAAGTACCTATTACTTATTATTGCTTAATGACACCAATTTGAAAATCACATAATTTTTAACACCAAAAATTGTGTGTGAAGAATTTATTTTGGTAGATATGAACATGCGCATTGTAAAAAACATTGTGAATCCTTTGGTATTCAAGTAGATTCGAATTAGTCGTAATTCAGATTTCAAACTCACAAGTTTTTCAAAAATTTTCTCCATCTGTGCTTTAATACTTTCTGTGGATTGAAAGGAAACATTTTGTATCATAATTTTATTTCTGCAAGATTGTTGGAAAATCGTGTAGAACTATTGATTCCTTATACAATCGCAAAGTCATAAACGAATGAGAAATGAAAACATTAATCATATTTAGTGTCATTTTTATTATCTCATCAACAACAATTCAGGCTGCTCCACTTCAAAGCCTTTCTGGTAAGAACTGACCCAAACTCATTCATCTAAGTAATTTCCTATTTAATTATTAATGATTAATAGTGATTATTTAATGATTAGAATAACTGAAAGTTAAAAGTACGTAAGAAATTCTATTAAGAGTTAATGTAATTTGAAAGCTCTAAAGACGCATCGTTTATTTTTATATCGTGGCTGTCAAACTCTTGATATGGCCCATAAAAGCACAAAAATTGTAAATTTATTTTATGTTTATGTGTAATTTATAGATCTTTTTTTTTTCTTCTCTTTATAGATAAACTCACATCATCATCGGGTGGTGATCAAACAAAAGAAAGAGTTCCAAACGATGAACCATACAAACCCGAAGCGTCCAATAAAAGCAAGTTTGAGGTATGTTTTTGAATCCTTATTGATTTTATAAGGCATTTGTGGTTGGCAAAAACATTCGTATAATGTTCTATACTATAACAATATATCGTACATTCACGTTTCAAAGCTGTTTCGATTTTTCCATTTCCTTCTTCTTTGAACACGGGACAAAAAAAGCTTTCCTAAAATTAAATAATGCACGGCTTAAGCAGTAAGCATTTTATAAAAAGGAAAGAAAGCGAAAAAATTTCTATTTGCCATATGACGTCAATGAAAGGTGTTTTGTAAACGACTTTTTCCCTCGTCTTCAAATCAACACTCTTCGTGTCCAATAATAAACATTATTTGATTATTTTTCTCTTTTCGAACACTGTTTGAAAGCGTTCTTCAAACTAATTTCCCCCGTACTTACACGAGCGTTATTTGATTGCGAAAATAATCTTCGATAAGAAGTATTTTATTGAGTTTAACTCCCATCAGTCAAATGATTTGATAAAAAAAGTGTATTCGTTGTGCGAATTGGGTTTGATGTATTTATGACACAACACAACGACTGCTTTTTTATCACGTTTCTCAAATCCCTTTAATCAAATTATGAGTATCAGATGCTGTTCCGTGTCTCATATTTATGAAATGGTGATTTATAGAAGAAGCTTTCGCTACGGTCCGAATTTGGGGGTTTTAATTATAAAAGTGTCAGATGTATTCATGATAACTTTCTTTATTATTTAAGAAATATGGACCTAATGTTTCATAATAATTCATAATGATAAAATAAGGAAAGAAAATTTACTTCTTAAGAAAGCTTTCTTCCAATTTAATTAATCTTTATTGCTTTATACGATTGACGACACAATGAAACTACATAAAAGAATAAATATTTACAAAAGCTTTGATTCTAGAATAATGAAAAGGTAAAATACTTAATTAAGAGTTTGAAATCCGCATTTATTTATCTTTCTTTGAAACGACATTTGAATGAAAGATTTTTTCTATAAAGATGTGCTTGATTTAAAAGGAGTTGCCTTTGTTGTAGGAGTTCCTTTGAATTTACAAAGCTTCTTTAAAAATACCTTTGGAATGGCAATAAAAGCATTTGAAGTTAAATTTGTCAACTTAATTATCTTTTCATGTTAAATTCGGAATTAACAACACTAAGTTGCTAATTATAATCAATGAGAACTTTTCGACTCAATGAATCTTAAGTCAAGAAATTGAATTATGGAGGTGAATACCCTTTGATTTCACGAAAATTTTATTATGTAATTCTTTATTGGATTAAAACACTTTATGGAAGAAAAATCACAGAAATATTTTCCACCATCGATTTATAAGCAATCATCAAAGCTCTCGAAAAGTAAATTCAATATTTTATCGCCTTAGTGAATTTGAGACGTTTCAAAGGAAGTTCTGACAGTTTCCTTCCTTATAAACTCATATTATGGCAATATCGCGCAATTCACAAGTTGAAGCGTGTATTTAAATTCAAATAAAATCTCTGATATGTTTATTTATCCGTCATGTTGTGAATTTGACATTTACAAGAAACCTTTTCAATGTCTTTTCTCAGAATGACGAAAATGTAAAAGAGTTAGATGGTTTGAAGACTCAAACAAATGCTGGCAAAGAAGCTGTGGAAATAACAGACAAGGTTGAAGATTCTTTAAGGAAAATCCATGATATGAATCCACAACATAAATCGAGTGATGACAAACCACCAAAGGTGAAATAAACTGTTTGATTTCAATATTTAAACTCATAAATAATGTAAATGACTATTTGTACAGAAATATCGTGGGGCTGCTCGTTTGGCTTTCGGGCAGAACGCAGAAGAAGCAACGGAAATTCCGACTACAGTGAAGCAGAAGGAAATTTTGGAAAATCTTCCGTTTCCTGAAGCTAGCGAGGCAACAACTTCAGCAACAAAGAACGGTCAACGTCGTTCTGTGAAGAGTGACGTGAGTAATGGCATTTAATTTAGGAACAGTCATGCTTGAGCTATAAGTTAATATTTAATACATTATAAATACGCATTTTCTGTCCCTTAAGCTTTCTGTCAGTGCTGATTCCATACTGCGTCACTTGAATGGAAAATATTCTGCTTATGATATGGCCCAGTACATTTTTTGGACGGGAGATGAAGAAGGCGTTGCAAAAGCAATCGAAGAGCTTATTGACGAAGGTTTGATGAGTCGAGAAAATGCCATCACATTTCTAAACGACATTCGAATTGGTATTGATTACTTAGAAAACACTTACAATTTAAAGAATGGAGAAACAAAGAATGTAAGAACCGACAAATGTTTTCAGCGAACGTGAAACAAATTAAATTGCTTTTTTCACAGACAAGTCCTTTCGTTCGATTCACATCATTTACGACTTCAACAACCGAAGCTCCTGTGGAAGATTTGCCATTTAATTACAACTACAACTACCAGAAGTTTCATAGCTTCTTTAAGCCCAGTCACAAGAATAAAATCCATTTTGATGAAGATGAAACGCCAACGCTTTCACCAGTTGTACTGAAGGTATTAGAGAAGATTCCTTCATTGTTGAAGCTTACAGAGGTTCATAGTTTTAACAACAAACAAGGACTTAAAAGCTCATTTGATGAAGAAGGTGGAAGATCTCGTTTGGCAGATTTCTTGTATGGTGAATATCCTCTCGAAGAAGTAATTTATCAACTAGCGAAGGTAATGTTCACTCAGAGTTTAACTCATGGCTCTGAAGAATCTCAGGATGCACTGCAAAAGCTCACACAATTTTTAGACAATGAAGGCAAGAATGGCCGCATTTCACCTACACTCCAGAAGAAAGTTCTTGGTAATTTAATTATTTTTATTTTTTAATTAGAATTCTCAAGAAACAATTTTTTTAATTAGATGTCTTACTTGCTGCACTCTCTGATACGTTGAGCGAAAATCCCGAAGTCATGGAAAAAGCACGCCATGCGATTATGTCTAAATAAAGGGAAAGGATTAATAATTTAAAAATATAAATAAAATATTTATGTACTTAACGTTTCATTGTAACCCACACATCCTGACAACCATTCTAAAGAGTGAAGGCTATTTTTGTATGAGTCAATGGAGGCTGAGTATTGATTAAGACAGAGCTTCAATATCTGGTGGAATAAATATTGAAAAAAACACAGGAAATATAAAACACACGATGTAGATTGTAGAAGAACTGAATAAAGTTTATCATCCGTTACCTACAATAAGTAACTCATCACTTCTTTTTGTTCATAAAATTCATTTCAGAAACGTCTTAAATCATTGAAATATTTCTCTTATAGGTATATAAATTTCAACATCATCATGCCAGAAAGTCTGCAAGCAATCCTTATTCAGCATTAAAAATTTAAAAACATTTTGAATATTTTATTTTTTCATTGTTTTCACTGTTTGCGATTTGCTTGTAATCTCGTAATTATGAGTTTGAAATTTCTCATGTTTCGTTGTTAGACATTTCGGGTGAAAAAATTCTTTAAATATGATTTAAGTCTACCTTTGACGTCAGTGTAGAAAATAAATACATAATAATTCTGAAATTTAATAATGAAACTTAATAACAAAAGTAATAGGTATATACATATATTCAGATCAAGTACGTCATAACCAGTGATTATCAAACAATTCTTTGAAATTATCATCATGACCAAGACTAAAAACGTGAATAATTTACAGTTGAAATATTTTCATGTTATGAAATACTTTTGTGTCCACTTGACAAAGATTGCTCGACGGCTTACTTATATAATACCTAATTAGAAATTTTTCTTTTAAATTTTCTTAGATAATCTTTTATTTATTATTAAAGACAAAAGTTTCTGTAAAGTAGCAACGTGACCTAATGACGTGTTTAGGTCGGTTCTTCTGATTTTACTAATTATTAAAACATAATTATATGTAATATCTTATGCCAAAGCCTGGTCCTTAAACTAATCCTGAATCTTGATTTTCTAAAATTTGATAATGAGATGATTAATTTTGTTAATTTATGTTAATTAAAAAATCAACGGCAATTTTGTACTGTTTTGAACAAAGTCCTTTTGGGCAACGCTATGTGAAACAATCTTTCTTTTCTCATCGTATTCCAAAAGGTGAATGTCAATTTTAGTAATTTTTATGTTTTGCTCACTATCAACATAAAAAAGTAGACATGTTTTGATATTAACATAATCATTACAAATTTGTGCATAAGAAAAACATAAAGTAAAGAGAATTAAATAGGAAGTTCATTGCAATTTTCTTTGCATAAAGTTTTGTATTTTGATCACTATACATGCGAGAAAAATAATTAATTTTCATCCCGATCAAAGTATTGCGAAGTACTTTAAATGTTTAGTTAGACTATTAAGATTTACTTAATATTTACATATGTGCCAGTCTCTCACTATAGGATGAAATCAAAGATAAATTTTTAAGAAATTGTTTTAACCTCAAACAAATATTTTGTAAGCAAAATTTGTGAATTAATTTATGTTTCAATTTTTTATTTTAGGCAGACATCAAAAGATGCCGAAGAAGGTGAAAGAACCCGTCAATGCCGTTCATGTCTTCGGACGTAAAAAAACTGCAATCGCAACTGCTTATTGTAAACGCGGCCGTGGATTGTTGCGAGTAAACGGACGTCCATTGGAACAGATCGAACCTAAAATCTTGCAATACAAATTACAAGAGCCTTTGTTGTTGCTTGGCAAAGAAAAGTTTGCTGGAGTTGACATTCGTGTACGTGTTGGAGGTGGCGGTCAAGTTGCACAAATCTATGCAATCCGCCAAGCGATTTCGAGAGCGATTGTTGCTTACTATCAGAAGTATGTCGACGAGGCCTCTCGCAAAGAATTAAAGGACATTCTTACACAATACGACAGAACTCTTTTGGTTGCTGATCCTAGACGATGCGAACCCAAGAAATTCGGTGGTCCAGGAGCTCGCGCCAAGTACCAGAAATCATACCGTTAAGCTTCATGCTTTTTACGGAAGCAACTTACAGCGTCAATTTCATCTTGCTGTATACTTTTCTTTATTGCAAAATAAATCGGATCAACTGATATAAAATGAAGAAATGTTGTTTAATAAACTTTCATTCCAGACAGATTTCCCAGAAGAAAATCAATAAGCACGTGAAAGTCGTAAAAGTCACTCATCGTTTATTTATAATTTGTTTATCATCCTCATTGGAATGTCACTATTGCCCTGACAACTTTCACGTCAAAACATTCACTTCTAGATAAAATAATCCTTTGTTTTCCATTCCCATCCTAGTTTATGAAAATTTATCGAGGTGTAAAGTCAAAAATTTTTGATTAAAATTCTTAAACATTCATAAAAGTAAAATGAAGCACGAGCAAGTTGTTCCAGACTACGTCATGATGCTTGAAAGTTCGATAACCGTTCTTGCATTAGTCGCATGTGGTTGGCTTCTCTTCAAGTTCGTTGAATTATTTTTTTAAAGTCTTCGTGTACTTTCAATAATAGAAAAAATGTTTCATTTAAAACTTTAGATTGGTTTCTGCATGTTTCTGGTTTCCACAGTACATGAAGAACCTCGAAGTGGAAGCTGAGAAAGCTCAAGCTCATTTGGAAAATAAACTTCTTCCTAAAGACGCTCCAACATCACAGGAATCCGAAATAAAAGAATCACCAACAGATTCTGAAATATTGCAAAGAAATTCAACCAACGTTGAAGAAAAAATGCTTCAAGACGAAACTGTAAAGGAAAAATCTACTGACGAGAAGAAGAAAGACAAATGAATGGCATTTTACATTAAACTAATTATTTTATAATTAAAATTTATTTAAATTGATTTTTTTTTTCATTCTTTTAACAAGATTTTTATGCTATTTTCTACAAGTTTTCGTATGCAACGAGTTAAATAATTTTAATATTTCTAATATTTAGTTAGATAAACTAAGAATTCTTCTTATATTCTTCATTCTTTCCCCTCACGTGATTATTGTGATTGCAATTTAATTATATTCTTGTGTAAACGATGAGTGTATGTATCTAGGGCTTTTATTTGTTGGCTGTTTGTGTAACGTTGCTATTAATGGTTGACGGTCGTTCTATACGAGAAATTAAAAAGAAAAAAGCAAAATAAATGTTGGATTTTGTCATAAAATATTAAAGAAAGAAATTTTTTATTTCTTTCTTGTTTCTACGTCAACTTCTAGTTGTTAAAATGTTTTAAGAGTAAAATATTTTTGCCTTAGCCCAGAACTCTTCGTTTAGAGAAACGAATTGGAATAACATGAATCATTTACATAATGAAAGTGTTGATTAAAGTATTGTCTATACACCCCAATGACTTATGTTTCTAGGAATTGTTTGTACGATGCTGGAAAGGATAAAAACCAGGATATATCTCAAACATTACATAATTAAATTAATTTAACTACCAATGAACGATTCTTTATCCTTTTCCATCATCATTTCTACGTCAAACCACAAGATGAAAAGTTTTCTTGACAATGCTCCAAACATTATCATTCAATGTTATGGAAAACTTTTTTGCCCATTTGGTAGGAATTTAAAATGTCTCAAAATTTATAACTCTTTTCGAAAAAGATTTCAAAATTTTTGTAACAATTTTAAAATCTAATTATATAGATCACATGTAAACTCAATTATCTAAATACAATTCATGCTTTTATGTTTTTAACATTCCTCATGCAATGTGACCAAATTTACATTCAACCACCAAGTCCAAACAATCTTTTTTAAGAAAATCTTTTCATCCCTTAAATTAACTTTTTCCCCACTCTAACAAAACTTTCAAGCTTCACGATTCACTAAATAAATTATAAACCGGTGACGATGGATTTTCTTCATCGTTTGGACGTTCCATAATCAATCGTTGAAAGAGTTGTTCGCGTGACTTACGGATTTTATTCTCTTGCAAACGTTGCATGACGGTAAGACGTCGTTGACCATTCGTACCTGTTTTCCGTTTTTCATTGCTTCTCTTCGATCGTTTTACTTTCGATTCATTTTTCTTGTTGTTCTGACGAACTTTACGTGAATCGACATCACTGACTGTTGTACTTGACGAAGGCTTTTCATCGTCTTCTTCGTCGTCGTCCTCATTATCGTCGTCATCTTCTTCTTCAACGTCATCATCATCATCATCATTGTCAGTGTCAGGATCGCATTCTTGTAAAACACAAACATCTTCCTTGACAGCTTCTTCAAGTGCTAAAGCCATCAAACCGTTCTGACCAGGATTCAAATTAATGGCACGCGATTCTGGAATGTCCAATTCATTCTCATTAATTCCAGTAACATTTATCATATCAAAACTCCGACAAAGTTGTTCAGCATTAAACTTTTCATCTGAATTCTTTGTAGTTGTCGATGTTGATACTGGAAGAAGTGAAAAAGGTTCTTCAACCTTTCCTGATAATTTTTGTAGAATGCTTGAAGCAGCTGATCGAACTGGAGTTGATGCAACAACTGATGGTGGTGAGAATGTTGACTTCTTTGATTGTTGATCAAAACAAATCGACCAATGGAACTTCGGTTCATATAAACTAGCGCGATGTGCATTAAATTCTCTTAATGCCAACTTATAAGCAGCGCCAGCGTTTGGATTTGAAATTGTGGGTTCAGGTGGTGGCTTGTAGATTGGTGAACGAGGCAATGGTGGATACATCGAACGAGTTGGGGGTGTAAAAACGCTCATACGACGTGTTCGTGGATCTTTATTGAACTTTACATTAGAAGCAACTTCAACTTCGTCATTATTTGGAGTTTGTGTTGTTAATGTTGGTGTCGACATCGGCTGTTGCTTCTCAGTCTTCGGCGTTTCATCGAAAGAACTTAAGCCAGGAGTTTCACGTGTATGTGTTGACATTGTTCGCTTTCTTAACTCACGTTTACAACCAAGTGTTGCAGTTTGAAGTAATTGTTCGCGATGTGCATCAGCATCTTTCTTTAATAAATCTGAAAGGTCATAAAGGAAGTCTTTCCGAACTGGTTGCTTTCGATTTCTTATTGGCCTTTGTGTTGTGCTGTCTTTTGAGTCACTATTCGGTGAACGCTTTAATACTTTTCCATACTTTCCAATGTTTAATAAGCTTTGACCAGCTTGGTTGTTATTCGACTGATGACGATCACTTCGCAACGAGCTTCTTTTCTTCTTCCTTTCTTTATTTTTCTCTTTCTCCTTGTCATCGTCAGATTCAACTTTCGTCTTGATAAACATTTTCGGTAACTTCATCACATCATCAGGAGAATCAGTTTTGGGTGGAATTAAAATTGATGTGTGCAAAGATTTGCGACGAATTTTTGGTGGTGACACTTTCGGTGATTCTTCTGTCACTTTGACAGCTGCTGGTTGTTTAAATTCGATTTTTATCTCCACTGGTGGCTCATCTTTTACAATTTCTGACTTTGTTTCAACCACTGAAGGTTCTTCTTTCATTCCATTCATCTTCAATTTTTCTCTTGCCATTCTCCGCTTGATCTTTAATTGATTCTTCTTCAATTCATTCTGCTTTGCCAGAGATTCTTCATCGACAGCTTTCATCGCACTTTCCATGTAATTCTCCAATGATTCCTTCTCACCATTAACATTGTGAACATAATTAAGATGATTTATTGTATCTTTCTTTCGATATCCTTGATATTCACACAATTTACATTTGAATCGTTTCTGTCGTGAATGATAAGTATTTAAATGATATTTGAGTTTATCATCAGTGTCGAAGACTTTATCGCATTGTGGACATTTGAAGGATTCACCAGTTACACCACCATTGTTAGCTCCAACACCATCATCACCTTCAGTAGCTTTTTCATCAATGACAAGTCCGCGATCTTCGTCGTCATCATCATCGTCGTGTTCGCCACTCGTATTAGCAACTGTTGAGTCATTTAATGAACTGTTTAGACTTTCCTGAACTCTCTTGTAGTCGTCTTCAATGATTTCTTTCTTAATATTTTCAAGTTTCTTCTTTTCCTCTTCATCATCAAGATTCCAATCAACTGATGTTGATTCTTCATGTTGAACAGCAGTCGGCGGTGGTTTAACTTCAATTTCATCTTTCTTTACTTTACTCGTGCGCTTTCTTTTGCGTTTATTTGTAGTGTTGGGATCAGGTTCAGGTTGTGTTGTGATCATCTCTGGCAATGGAGTTGGAATCGGTTCCAATGCACTTTGCTCACTTCCATTAGAATTTGCTTCTTCGAATTCTAATAATTGTTTAATTTTGGTTTCTTCTTTGGCCTTTCTTTTCTTCAGTTTCACTTTCTCACGACATTTTGCATCGGAACAAGCTTGAACGTGACTTGTATAAACAGCTTTTCTATCAAACTTCTTAAAACAACTCGGACAAATGTAGGAATCATTCTGATAATCGCCACTGAGATCATTTGTGTTCCAATCGCCAGTCTCATCATTTACTCCGTCACCATTTGACTGCTGAAGTTTTTGAAGTTCACGATTCATTACAGGAGGCTTTGATATGACTTCATCAGCACGAATTCTCTTCTTTATAATGTTGTCACGCATCAAACGTATTCGTCGATTGTTTTTTCTAAAAATTCATTTAATTTAATTAACATTTTTACATATTTAAATGATTGAAACTTACTTGTGGTCATTACTCAAGTGTTTGATGACAGCAGCTGATGATGAGAATTTCTGTGAACATGATGGACATTGATAAACATAAGTTGATGGTAAATGTTTCAATTCCAAATGAAGTTTTAAAGTTTTTTCAGTTTCAAATGGTAAATTGCACACTTGACATTTTAAAGAAAGTTCTTGAGTTGTGGATTGTTGTGAGCCGTCTTTGTCGATGGATGTGAAAAGATTCAAAACTTTGCCATCAGGTCCGAGGACTGTGTTGGATTTTGTTAACATTTTGTGAACTTCGTTAATCTGAAAGTGAGGACAGAAATGTGTCAAGCGATGTCCCTTTAAAGAATTAATTTAATTAACTTACCTCATCCTTCATGTTGCTGTTATCGTTGTCAAGATGAAGTGATTGATAAACAGCAATGTCTGAGTCATTGACACGATTTAATTTTAAAGTTTGGCTTTTTTGTGATGAAGACATTGAATCGTCGTGATTGACTTTCTTAGATGTGTGAATCTGATCATAAAAGTCATTTAAGTTACTTGTACGCGATTGATGTTGCTTCCATAGAAGACGCTCAACAATTCCACTTAAATCCTTTGATTTATCATCAGCTCCTGGTAGGATTCCAGCAGCACCATTTGGATTGTTATTGATTTCTTGTTCAGCTTGAATGATCGTTGATATGTCTTGAACTTGAAATCCATTATCGCGAAAGTGGAAATGATCAGATGCGTTAAAGCTACTTCGGCAATAAACGCGCTTGTGCGATATGAAATTTGTCAGACTCCGGAAAATATTTCGACATACTTTGCACTCATAAATCAGGTCACACTCTCGAGACAAAAGTTTTCGTAGCTGATGAATAAAGTCAATATTTAATGAGCTACTAACTTGATGTATGAAAGAAATCTTTTCTTCGTTACTTACTTCATTTGTCCCTGCTTCATATGCGCGCAAAACTTCTTCAAACCCCGTCACTGATGTCGCGATGGGTTTTCGCATCAAACTTAAATCAAGTGCCGGCGTAGTTTGGTTACTTTCATCACTTTCCGATTCTTGATTTGAATGACGATTCTTCCCTTTAACTTTATTCATATTTGTGGATATTTTATCATATTTATTCGACTTGAAAAATCTATAAATGGTTAAAAGTATTGATTTATTTATTTCATCAGAACTAATGAAGATTTCTTTTCTTTTTTCAATATTTAAGTTGAATATTAATTAAATTTTAAAGTAACGAAACACTTTTTAATAGGAAAAAATCATTAAACCATTTTAAAGCACTCAGAATATGATCAATATTTTCATACGTGATATTCTTCAACATTTGATTTCATCATCACGGAAAAAGAAGAACGAGAGAGAGAGAAATACACAAAGAGATAGAGAGAAGAAGAAAAAACTTGCAGTTAAAGAACCCGAAACATTGTCTTTTGAGCTTGAAAATGTACAATGAATATCTCTGTCTTCTTCTTCATCTCAAAAATATTCTAGGAAGTCGCTTTGGTCTTACAAAGAATTAAGAAAGAATCATGAATCACTATGCGAGTCATTTGTAGAATTTATTTGTCTATTAATTGCACCTAAAGCAGGTTATTATATAACTTTAAGATTTCATATGCATGGAAAAATTGGGGATTATTCTTAAATGACGAATTGGGTTTGTTGAGCCACTTTTAAATGTTAACCAAGCATGTAAAGAGAAAATATTACAAATTGTAATCTTGGCATATGGCTGACTGAAGTTTTTCTTTCTTTTCCACCCGAACTATGGAAGCAAAAAATAAAATAAAAATGTCCAACCTTCATTTGATTATTGTGAACTCTTTGCAGTGAAATTATCACCTTTAAATGTGATGAAAAATAAACTTTTACGAGCTTTCGAGACTTGATTATAACTTAAGTTTCAGAATATTCTGAATCTAATTGATTTATAGTTTTGATATCACTTAAATGATGAAATAATTTTTTCTCCGATTTTTTTTCTGTTCCGCACACTTCGCCCAACTTAAAGATTATGAAAAATATGTTTCTTTACTTTATTGGGATTAGTTAGTGTAAAAGGTCACATGATGAAATAGTTAAGTCTGCACAGTGCAATTATTATGCGATGTAACAATAATACGAACAAAGATTTTAGATAGATTATATTTTTTTTCTTCTCTCTTATTCTGTTCTCAGATATTGAATTTGATTTTCTGCACGTATTACATCCTTGGGTTTGAGATTCATAGTCCGTCAATATTTTCTCACTTCCTCTTCTTTTAAATTTTACTTTTCAATAGGTCAAATGCTTCTTATCGCAGTCTTGGTTAAGGTTCAAGATATTTCAATTGTTACACGATTTTATGTTTCTTTTTAAGTAATTTTTCTGTCTTTTAGAAAAAAAAACCAACACAACGCTAAATAATTAAACATACACACGATATAATTTGATGGTTCACTTTACAAAGGTTTCTTGTTTGGTTTCATTGCTGCTTTACGCTCTCAATTACTTTTTATTATCTAATTTGACAGCTTGATAGTTTAACTGACTAATTATGTTGCGATTAAATGCTGAAAGTTTATCGGGATAATTGAAAAATCAAAATAAACTTTTCGTGCGAGAGCAATGAAAAATGTATTTCGAACAAGATGGAATGTTTGTATGAAATGTCACTAGACATCTTTGGATATTCAATGTTCAGAATATTTCATCACAATTCACATTTTACCTGCTATCGAAATGAGTTTATCGTTTTATTTATTTTTTCTGGCAACCTTTTTTTTTAATTTTACTTTGAACCCTTGAGAATTCAAGTTCAGCACTTTTGTGACACTTTCGTGAATAAATCCCAAATCAAAAGTGTTAATGTGTGTACGTAAATAAAATCCAAATAAAGTCGACTGATATTCAACATTTTAACAATCAAGACTTCTCTGACAAGAAGCTAAAATCATAATAATATTACATTCATGATGATTTTATTTAAACAGAAAAACTACTTCAACCATTTTGAAACAGTTCTGTTCATAGAACGAGATGCTATCGGCTAGTTTGTGGTTTACGGGTTTAGGTAGAAATGATTTCAAAGCAGTATTTATAAATCTCCCTAAATGTGTAACTCTGTATTTAATTTGTCAGCAAACATTTTTTCTCTTCTGAATTTTATAATTTTGAAGAAAAAAAAATGAAGCAGAATGAAAATGATTTCAAGTTATAGTTTTTTAACAAACAAATCTTGACTTTTGAAAGAAGAAAACTTTTATGAAAGTCAGCAACGGAAAATATAATTTTCTCTTATTTGAGTAAAAGAATCGATAGAAGTTTTCTTTTTCACAGTTTTCCATGGCAATTTGGTATTTTAATATTAGCCAAACCCTACATTGAAGGTTCACGTATTCAAGTACGTATTCATCACTTATGCCTTGACTTAGATATCTTAATTATATAATCATTAAAATTTAACAGTAGAAAAATTAATCTCCAGTCATTAATAAGCTGTTTAGAATATTTTCCAGACTGAAGTTATGAGATTAATGTTAAATATAATTCTTTACATACATTTTAAAGATTCTGATTTTATAATAAATGTCGTCAATGATCCCATATATGCCAACTTAATATTTTTTCAACATTATGGTTTGTTGTGCTGTGAAAATCGTGTTTGTTACAATTGTACTCAGTTCAACATTAAATTACCTCGACTTTCAGTGTGTTTCTATAAATAATATGTTTAACTATCGAAAAGAATTCCCGATAAAATTTTATATCAGTATTATGTACCTATATTGAGGGAGTGTACACTAAAAGGGGACATGAAAAAAATTCAAAATTACATTCAAAAATTTCCGTTACAAATTTTCTTTTATTCAGGAATAAAAGTTTTCTTATCTTACATTTCAACAATCTGAGGAAGATCTTCAGGGTCATCCTCAAGAAAATCTTCAAAAGTCCATCCAATGTAATTTTTTAAATGCATTTGAAGATTATCTGAGAGTTCAGCACAATTATTCACTACCAAATTTCTTAGAAGATTGCGAACATCTTGATAAATTGTGTTTGAAGAATTTTGCTCGATAAATTCAACTGGAATTTCCGGAATTTGGTGCTTAATTATATTTACAAAACTCTTGTAGAAATTTTTGTCTTTTTCTACAGATCTCTCTGAATTGCAAAGAAGTGAAACGATTTGTCTCCAATGTGAAAGTGAATCAACTGAAAATCCACAAAAATATACGATAAAAGAATGTTGCAACTCTTCGAGTAGCTGTGTTTTGGATGTTATTTCATTAAAAAGCTTTTCCACTAAGTTGACAGTGTCGATGTTGTTGAATGTTACATCAGCTGGTGGAGTTGTCTTTGTGAATCTTTCTGGAAGTTTTGAATACTTTGGCTGAGTTTCTGTTATTATCTCAAGATTGGGCAAATACATAGCTTCATCTTCATTAGACCTTATTTTGATATTTCTTATGGGTGCTTCGGGCTTTCCTCTTGGTCGATCTTTATCAGGACATGACTTGAACTCAATTGAATTTCGAATCATTCCAGATTCAGGTGACAGTCTTTTGATTGCTTCTTCTGATAACATGTTTGTTAATTGTTTCCATTTGTTCAGATTTTCATACTCATACATTGCCAAGAACCTTAAAAGAAAAAAACGTAACAAAACGATTCAATTAAAAGTTTATTTATTAATCTCACCGATCTAAATCTTTTAAATGCTCTTTAATGCGTTGTTTCTCTAAATCCAAATCTCCCTTTGATCTATCCTGCAATTCTTCCAACTGAGCGTTCCATTCTTTGACAACAATTTCCCCGGTTTTGAAGTAATGAAGAAATCCATTTCGTGCTGTTGATGTATTTCCAAAAGAATCTTTTGCAGATGAATAAATGAAATGTGCCCCAGGTGGAATCAACTTTACTCCTCGAAATTCATCAGTGATATTTATTGCTAACAGATCTATACCAAATTCAGTGTTGTCAGGAGCTCCTGTCACGATTAAATATGCGTACTGATCCATATCAAAAGTAAACTTTTGTTTATTTACACATGAAAAGTTTAAAAACACAAGATTCTTTTGTCATTAAATAGTATCGATTAGTCGAGACACATTTTAAGTCAAGTAAATACATTTTTTGTGTCTCTGCTCAATTCGCTTCATCAGCATAATACCGTCGTCACAATCCCGTTCAGCATAATCCACGACACGTTATCAGTGTAGTCCGAGAGAGAATTTAGACGAAGAGAATCTCCGACAAAAATATTTTGTTCAGTTTCCGAGAAATTGTATAACCGAGCAGAACGTAATGAAAAATATTTCAGATGTTTGGAAATTAAAAAAATAATTTTGGTGAAATATTGTTAATTAAGTTTATTAAAATAACATAACAGCATTCAGGTTGTTATCGAGAATTATAATGTTCAATATATTTTTGATTTCAGTTAACAACATTAAGTTTTAACAATATTTCACAGATTTTTTTTCAATTTTCTACAAAAACTCGGTTAATTTCATCGTGACAGTGATTAGTGACAACTTAAATCATCACTATAAACTATAAACAAAACATATCTCATCAATATTTAGCATAAATTCTCAGAATTTCTCTTAAAAATCACTCGTTAAAACTCGTGCGATTTTGTAGAAAATTTTGGGTTTATTTTGTGCAAATTACTTATCTACTAATTAAAATAAATTTGTCTATCAACATTGTCTTCACCATCAATATCAATCTAAATTTTTGTCAATCCCATATGAATCTAGATACTTTTTCATTTAAAACGAAACATAATTCGAAGAAGCCCATTCAGGCACTTGTGCAAAAATGTAAAAAAAAGTGAAGTTGAAAAAAATGTCTAAGAAAAGAGAAAAGAAAAAATCGATAAATAAATAAAAATAATTCCACCAGTATATTTGCGAAAAAGAAGCAGGCAAGAAGAAAAGTCTTAGAAGAAGGCGAAAAAGGAAAAATAAGGAAAATATTTTCCATTTGCCCGTGTGTTAGTGTTTGTCATTGTGGAAAACCCCAAGAAGGAAATTTTTTGGCCTATTCGGTGCTTGAAGCGAGTGAGAGAAATAAGTTTAGTGAAAAAGGCTTTTAGCGTTGAAAAGCGCGCGGATTTTATCGCGCTTTGAATGACAAGAGATTTTGTTTCTCCAAAGATTAAGGATTAAGAAAGACATAAGCAGACCAAATGCATTGGATTACATTAGCATTTCTGGCACTTTTCGGTAAGATTTTAGCTCTAAGCAAATCTATTATGACAAATCATTAAATTGAAACGAGATAAAGTATCGAAGACTGAAACTAGTCCCAAGAATATACAAACAGAGTTGCTGTAGAAACATCTCTTTGAATCTGATATCAATTAAATTAAAACCATCATATTAATAATGTTTTGCTTGAAGGGATTAGCTTTGTGAAGAGTTTTTATGATGAATATATACATAGACTTGCTATATGAATCAATAAATTACTACAGAGGGTTCCGTTTGAGCATCGTACGCTCTTTTTTGTCATGGGGTTGCAAAAATTGACAACAAATCTCATGTTCTTTTATTTTTTACCCTCTCGCAACTGATTTTGCGAAATATTTCTGATCATGATGGACACAGCAAAAAAAAATATAAATAAATGGCATTTATGTCCAAATACGAAAGAAAAAAAAATCTCGAAAGAGAATAACAGCACAAAACATGCCTCGAAGCAGACATTGTTATAAGGTGCACCTGGAACCAAGAAGTCATGCAAAAGAAAAAAAAATTACACACGAAACGAGAAGAAAATATAAAAAAAGTTATTTCAAAGCAGGTACATGGAACGAGAGCAGAGTAAAGTTTACAGATTTTCGAGCCCGTTGATCAGTCATTTATAATCTTAAAGCTGCGGTACTTATAGCAACAAGCACGGTTCTTAAGAGAATTGTTAGAATATTTAACCTTGACCAGCTCTTTATAATCTTACTACGTCCCAATGAAATCTTAAGTTTAGAATCACTGCATTTACAAAGTAATCCAAATATAAAATCAAGAAAAAAGGTGAAACCTTGTGAAGGGAATGATTTGAAGATGAAGATTGGAGAAATAATAATAATAATGTGTTCCTTTTACCTTCTTTTTCACACAACACCGGAGTCTTCATGAACATCTGATGATGTTATTGATTATTAATCTTCATGTTATCGATACTTAAAAAGGTTCGTGACGTTACTTGAAAACTTCTCCTTTTATCCCTTATTGTTGAACGATAATAATGGCAACAAACTGTAGGAAACCAAAATATTTTGAGAAATCAAAATGCGATTGGAGAAGGGACTTGTTTATGCAAAAAAAAAATCATTGTAAGTTATTTTTTTGAAAAACTAAAAATAATTCGATTTACAAAACAACAAAATATCGAGGGTTGTGACCTCGACGAATTGAGAACGTTATTGAGTTTTGTAAAAGATTTCTTTGAATATGAAAGCAGATCAAAGTGTTAGTTGTTAGGATGAAAACATTCTAGAAATTTATCATTACAGCGAATTTTATAGCTAAAGTAATTGACAAACCTTAAATAAGAATCAAAGTGATTATGAAAATTATAAGAAATTGTTATTTAAAATATGTTGAAAAGTTGTTCAGAATTTAAAGCATGATAAACACACTTTTTCAAGGCTACATTGCTACTGGTTACGCCAAGGGTTACGCAATTAACAAAAGTTGTAACTTTTGTCGCACACCAAAAAACCAGATAAAATTCTGCCCAAGATGAGAAGAGAAATTCTTTAAAAATTGGGTTAATTACAAACTTTGAGATTATAAATTTCATGGTTCGAGAACCGCCTCTTCTTACTTACCTTTCCTTTCTCGCCTTCGTCGCCTGGGCAAAAGCTCTACATTGTTTAAAATAATGTTTTGAAGAGGAAAATAATAGCACGCAGAACAATAGCGGATGGATAAAAAAAGTTTCAAGATGTTCACCAGTAACTAAAGAGCGGAAGAAAAGTAGAATAAAAAGTTATCTTCAACCCTTATTCATCTCATGAAACCACCACTGAAGAAATTTTTCATCATATCTGGTAATACGAGCGAATACAAATTTAAAGATGATAAAAATACGATTAAAACTAAACTCGTCATTGCGAAAGTTTCTGCAAAACTTATTACACATGTAAGCGGTAATGAATGTCGCAATTGAATGATGAGGGGGAAGAATTTACTTGCTGCTCATGTTTCAAGAAGACAAGAAAACTCTGCAAGTTTCAACTACATCCACATGAATTGTCATAAAAGAATTCACATGAAATGTAAAGAGGCGCGATATGTGGCTTGTAATAAAAGTAAACGTGCCGATTTTTCTTGGAGAACGTCGTCGTCTCCATCCACCCTCACTACTAACGTCATCATATTCCACTTTGAAGAAAGCGGAAATAAGAAAGCAATGCTTCCCATATTGATGCTGGTTCGCTCTGCGGCTGAAACAGTTCTGCGGCAGGCAACATAAAACATAAAATTTACGAATGAACATTTAAGCTTAAAAGCTTCTGCTTCACACTCGTTGGAAAATATTTTTCAAATATTTAATCAATTTTTACGACATTTGTTCTCGAGGAAGAAAAGAAAGAAAAAATTTCTATTCCATGTGTGTCGTGAACATCGAATTTATTTTCCAATGAAATTCTGATTTTCTCGCTTTCAACTCATTTTTCCATAATATCGATTTCGATGAATCAATCGACACGTCGCGTCTGGTGGAACTTTGAACATTGAACATGCATGTTGATGTAACTTTTTCAATTAATTCTTTAAACGCATGCGACGAACATACAGCGAAAGTTTATTGAACTATTGTTGTTGATATGTAAATCAATCTTCATATTTGTTACACTCACTCACTCAATGCCAAAGCACGACACAGATCGCTACAGCATCAATGAGTCGCATCAAATATTCGTTTTTCATTTTTACAAAATAAACATTTTTAACATGAAATGAAATATTGCCGAAATATTCACTCGTTCGTTCGGTTGGCTCATACTGCACTTACATGTGCCATTATTCAAATGATTTCTTTCTCTCCGACGATTGTGATATGCATAATTTATGTGGATGGTGATGCTGACGAGCATTGTAAAATTCCTAAAAACGACAAGCGCAATTCTTTGTTGAGAAAATTTCATTCCACTCACATGAAATTTAATGTTTCATGCGTGTCATAATTCATGAATATCTCCTATGTTGTTTAACAACAATGAACATGCTTTCTTCTTAGTTTCTCCTACGCCCAACATCGATTTCAATATCTCGACAGCGACCCATAAAGCACCGCTTGTTTGTTTATTATAACAAAAGAAAAAAGAATGTTCGAATTTCATAAGAATTATGATGATTTTTGTTTTTTGATGGCATTAATTACTTGAATGTTCATGTACATGTTTACTTACATGTATTTTAATGTTTCAATTGAAATCTTTGTTTGCGCTTTATCGATTGATGAAGTTGTGTAGCTGATTTGTAATTTTGAATAACAATTTTCTTCGTTCTGCTTGTAAAAATATAAAAAATTTTGATTTGAAAAAAAAAATGCAAGCCGCTTAACTTTTTATTTCAACACACTAAATCATGATGAAAAGCTTTGTCATTTTCTTCAGCTACCTAAAAAGGCTTTGTCATTGTTAGTTTATGATATGATTTATGACATTCAGGTGTAACTTTCGATTATCCCTTTTCATTTCAGAAATTGATAAAGATTTTCCGGTCGATTCAGTCGCTTCATCTTCTCAACCTTAAACTTCACTTTTATTATTAAGCGTCGTGAAAAAAGGAAAGAAAAATCCCTTGATGCTCCATCGCACAAAAGTTTCGTCCTAGAATTCATTTTGCAAGGACATAAGACGATTATCTTCCCGATTGAACATTTTCTGCTTCTTTCTCATTGAAGATCACAAATTTTCGTTTCAACGACGCTCTTTTCATAAGAAAGTGAAATGATCCGTTGATGATTGATATTCAACAGCGCTGGCCAATTTTTCCTTTTGTCCTTTAGTGTCACAATACTCTTCTCTCATCCACTATTCTTCAGCCATTCCTCGTATCACATCAATTCTCAGAGACGAGTAAAATTGCTATTAATCATCCATACGGTCAAATAAGCGAAGAGAAAAGAAAATCGTTGATTCGTCGAGCGCTGAGATGAATGGACAGAACGTGTTCAGCTTTTCTTATATTTTACTTCTTTTTATTTTTTATTTTTCATCTTCACTTTTGCTACCGTAAGCAATAAAAAAAAAAGGCGAAACAAATGCCAAACAATTTGTTTGCCAATTTTTCATTTATCTTCAAAGTTTCTCATCGAAATTCTTTGTATGCACAAAATGTTTCTACTTATCCCTTTTTTCTTCAGTTCCTTTGCTTTCTTTAAGCAAACAACTGACTACCGATGTTGAGATTGCAGAGAACGATATAAAACCGGTGTATTTATATGAAAATTCAACTCTTATTAGATTAAGACGGTGACCCGTCTTCCCGAAAGCCTTTGGGTATTTTTCGTCTGTCGACCTAAAACAATAGAAATTTACATTCTACAAAAAAGGAAGGTTTGTTAGGATGGAAAGCTTTATGAAGTTAAGAAGATGTGTTGGATATCTTTTATGTTGTTATTCACTCATTCAAATAATCAACATCATTCATAAACAAAGCCTGTCTTAAGTTACGATAAAACAATGCATAATGCATTGAAATCCGAAACGAGTCGACAGAAAAGTCATTAATTGTACGTCCGTCTCAACCTTTTCTTACGAAATGTCGTCTGCGAGTAAATCTCGTTTTGTTTCCTTATTCCATAAACTTTAACCGAAACATTTTTTAATGCAAAATCGCGAGCTACCGGAGATTTCCAAATACGGAACATGAATTTCAATATAAATGAAAATTTTCCATCTTTTATTCTTTTTGTGTCTTTTTTTTTATTATTTTCTTTCTTGTTTTGTTTGCCAAACTTCGCAAGACAATAGTACGAATGACGTTAAATGGAAGGTCTAAGAAAGGAAAAGAAATTAACAAGATAAATGCGATTGGAAGACGCGAGCGGTCGTTGAAACAGACACATAACATGGAATCAGATATGATTTTGCTTGAGCGAAAGAATATAAGCAAGAAGACGAGAAAAGAAGTTCAATGAAGCATGTGCTTGGTTGATATTGAGCTCTGCCCTTCCGCCCTGCTCCCAGCATGACTTCAGATCTGTTAAATCTTGAGGCAGGTCAATGAATTTCCATTGAAATTTTACGCTGTTCTCCTACGATAACAATTAGACTCAAATAGAAACATTGTTATAGAAGTTTAATGATTTATATGATTTCTTCTTGTTGATGACATCAATGACTACAATTTCGTTCTTAGAAATGCTCAATAAATGTTTAAGTAGATTTAGGATGAAACTTTAAATAAATAAATTTGATTTGTTCAATTGTTTTGCATTTGTTTGCTATTTCTCCAAGCCTTGGAGTGCAGTAATTCATTGAAACTGCTTATAACAAGCAAATAAAGCTAATATGGATCTGTTTGTGAAATGAATTATGACCAAGCTTAATTACAACATGTTAATTCTAATTCTCATGAGTTATGATGATTACGAAAACAATTTTTTTCACTCGTTTGAAGTTCATTGACTTATTTGGGAATAATGTGGTAATGTGATGTGAAGAGCGTTCGAGATTCCATTCTGATGATAATAATGAGCGTTAGTCAGATGATGAAAATCTCATTCATTCAACAAGCAATCTAAATAAAAAAAGTGGGGAAAAAATTTAATCCGATTGTGAATGTTAAGCGCCGCGTACTTGAAGCATTTGCTAATCTTTTAACGGCAATATATGAAAACAAGGAGATCTTTTTACGCCTTTGAGAGTCTCCAGAACTCTTCAAGAATTCAAGTTGAATTCCCTGTAACACTTTAAAGGCGAAGGCTTTTCTTGTCTTATGTTTTTTTTATTATTATTTTGCTACAACTTATGAAATGAGAGAGAAATTTGCACTTTTCCATCGTTTATTTATTCATTCATTCATTGTAAGTCGAGACAATGCAACAATGTTTCATTCTGTGCAGTGATTTAAATAATTCGCTTCTTCTCTTCATTTTTTTGTTCAATGTTCGAACAAATTCAAGAGAAGGTGACAAAACCAAGTCAACGAGTGCATGCAAAGACACGTAGACGAGTTCATTGGTAGAAACATAACAATCATGATTCATTCTTGTTCTGACAATTCTGACTTCAATCAAGTTAAATCAAGTGGAAAAGAGACACAATGCACTGAATTCTAATTCAACAAACGTCTCTAAATAAATTTTGTCGCATTCGTCAAGCAAATTGAGCCGTTGCAGTTCACAACAGTGAAAACGTTTTATTTACTCGCTTTTCGATTGAATTTATTTTTTCTTTCTTATTCGTCTAACGCATGGCGCCTGCTTTTTTGTTCAAACAACAATTTTTTTTAATTCATTCCGCCGCTGTTGTTTTTGTTGCTCATCCATAAACCAACAAACGCGACCATCAAACTGGCAAAATTATAATTTCAACTGCCGTCTAATGAATTGTTTTCCTTCTTTCTGTTTACACTGTGTAAATGAAATTTGAAATTAGTTGTTTAGTCATTTATTTATTTATTTATTTATTTACTTAAGGCTTAAAGTTCCACAATGGGCTAAGTCGTTGTGTGGTTGTTTGGATTAAAAAGCTTTTGAGATTTTTCAATTATTATGAGGGTTTGCCTCTTAAGAGAATTTTATTCAAACACTTTAAACGACGAGTTTGCATTCTTCAGAAAATTCTTTAAATTATTTACTCGATGATTTCGATGAAAAACTTTCACTAAATTTCTTGAACTACAAAATTACTTACTCATGATCGATTCAATATTTATCTACGTTTATTCTCTTCATTGAAACTTGTTTTATATTATTTAAAGAATAAAGATTGGGTCAACAGACTTCGAAGCTTGAGCAGACTTGAATAAAAATTCTTCTTCTAAGTCGCCAACATTTGCTAAAGGAGATCATTAGTCAAAAAGACTTGGTTATTTTATATTTTTTTTACCTTCGTCAATTCAGCTTACTTCACTTCAAATAAAAAAGAAGCTTTAATTGATTCTCAAGAGTTGTCTGCTCAAGTCGAGTCTCTCGTTTGTTGCTGCACGTTGCATCTCTTCTTTTTGTCCTTATTGTTCATTTCAATGCTTGAAGAAACCTGAAACTGTTCTCTTCCTTCTTTCACATAAGACGATTCGAATAGAATGATAAAATACTTTATAATTTGCCATAAAAATTTAAATGCTATTTGCATCGAATTTACATTTACAGTTTTTTTCTTTATCTAACTTTCAGTCAAAGAGGTAAAGAAATTTATTTGTGAAAATGTTTCATATTACAATGTTGTGACTGCAAAGTTTTGTAGTTGTCGAATGATTTATGCAATATCACGTGGAAACAAATCATTGACGTTAATTGCTTCTAATTGAATGTGTGCAATTGAATTTAGATAAACTTGAATAACAATTTTTATAAATTGATATAAACGAATCTCAAACATGATTTAATAGACAATTTAAGTCTTGAAAATGATTGCAAGCATGACATGGCAATCGTTAATTGACAGATAGATGGGACTTAAAACATAAATCCATTACCAGCTTCGTGGTTAAAACAATTAAGATGGAATCTTTCTTTACTTAATTTTCGCAACTTCTCACAAGATTACAAGTCTTGCTAATTAATTGTACAGTTTAGTCTCAACTCAATCTTAATTACTCGAAAGTTTCAAGAAGAAAACAAAGAGTCACAAGATGGAAAGAAAGGAAAATAATTGGTTGACGTAAACGATATGAGATTATTTTATGCTGCATCAAGAAACACAGAAAAACATTTCCACAATATTAGCAAATTATATGAACGACTCATCAAATTCTCATTTCACACCTTTGTTAATCCAAACAGACAGCTTTATAAATTTCAATTAAAATTCTTTCTTATACTGGCTGGCGCTATCTTTAGAGTTTCAAAGTGTGACTTTAGATAACAAAAACCACCCGAGAATGAGTCGAAAAGTTAAAGTCATTGAGTGATAACAAACAAACAAAAAAATAACGTAAAAAAAGAAATTGATGTCGATTTTCGTGAATCAGAGTCATAAAAAATATGTGAAGCGTCTCGAAGTTTCATGTTCAGATAATTGAATCTTCTTGCCCTTTCATGATCTCAATCTTTCTTATTCTTCTCCGGATTTCTTTTTCTCTCCACAACTCTAATTAGTTTTGCAATTAGTTTTCATAAAACAAGATTTAGTTTTGTTTATTTATTTAGAAAAATAAATTAATCAGCACTTGAAGGAAGAAGAGAAAACTTAACGTTTGTTATGAAATAAATGCTTTGGTAGCGGATTGAAGATTTGTTCTTTTTTTTTGTACATCAATTACCTCAGATGTATAAGCCTTAAAGCTAACCATAAAAGTCATTCGCTGCTCAACAGACACGAGAGCGTGAAACAGCAAATATGAGCCATCTAAATCGTAAAAATGTGGAAAGATGGCGAGTATAAAACTTTTTTTAAGGGCTCTGGAACTCGTTAAAGGTGGAAACATCATTCAGTAAAGCACTTTAATTTCGCCTCAGAAAACTTTTATTGCTTCTGCTCACCTTTTTTTTATTGCCCGGGCTCATTCCCGTTCTCGACAACCAAGGCAAAAACATTACACTGCCTCAACAAAAGTTTATTGCTGTTTTCTCTTGTTTTTAGGAATTATGTCTTACTTCAAATTGATGTATTGTGTGAATTATTTCTCTTCCTTTCCTCATGCTTGCAAACTTGATCGTCTTGTGACTGATGTTTGCTTTCGCCTAAGTTTTATTTACCCTTCGTTCGACGTATCACCCCGAAATAACATCCCAAAAGCGAAGCCTCTTCGTGCTAGAACTGCAAACGATAAAGTTTCACCAGGAAAAACGAAAAATCGGCGAGTGGGTGGGAGGAAAAGAGAAAAGTTTTTCATTTGCGTTTTGGCAGAGACGAAGGCAATAATTATAATGGGAAAGTCTAGCCAACGTTGTGAGATCCATATAAGTGCTTGCTTGCTCTACTCAGTTTTCCAATTCTATTGAAACTTCTCTCGTTTTTTAAGTTAAAGGTGAAAAGTTCGTTTGTTTAGTGAGACGTGGAGCTGACTCTTAAACTCGTTAGTTTTCAGAGATCTTATCAAACTAGTTTCATGGCCAGCCAGACGAAATTCAAGACATGATTTCAACAACAAGAAACCTTGACTTTGAAGCGAATGAATTAACAAAGCATTGATATCTGTCGATAAGATCTGTTGTAATAAGCTTGAAAATTACAAACATTAACCAACTTTCATATTGCAGAATGACAGAAAAAATATGATTAAAAAAATTTTTATTAAGTTAATCGCTTCATAATGATTTTGGTTAAGTGCAGGGATCGCTTCATTTCCACCACAACCCTCCGAATTAATTTTAATGGCGTCTTGAATTATATTTAACTTAAATCTTATCAAGCGTTTCATTCTGTTCCTCGAAATGATATTTAATGGCTCAATCTATCCAAATGTTTTTTCATGTTATCTCGAATGGGATTGTAGAGATAAAAAAATACGAAACTTGTTTAATGACTTCATGTTGCACCATCAGCTTTTATACTCTTTTGTGAGAAGGAATTTTCCATTCGATTCGGGACACTGATTCTCAGTTGTTCTACACTCGGACGAATGAAAACGAATAAACTAAAAATGCTGAAACTATCATTTATGTTATTTAAACACCAAATTCTAACGCTTTTGCTGTTGTTCTGAAATTCGAAAACATTTTTAAAAGTTGCATAAATATTTAGGGTTGAGAAGGTTTGAAAAGCAATTTCCAAAATGACGTTTTATCTGAACGGAAAGTTTGCGTGACGTTAGCTTGATTAAAACTAAATTTAAACTATTTAACAATGTGTTCGAGTCTTGATAGTTCATTGAAGTAAAATCTTTTAAAATGCAAGAGATAAATAAAACCCAATAATGCTCAAAGACAATGTTCGCTGAATCTTCCGCTTCCTCGAGTTTGTTTAATTAGTGTAAAGTCCCAATGGATCGTTTTCTTTGCTAGCTTGTTTTATTACATTTTTTATTGCTTCTTTCTTCCTCTCTGTGCTTGTTTACTTTCAACGCTTTAGTAGGATTTTTAAACTCAGGGCGATTAATGCGAATGAATTTTCCGATATTGTAATTCACGATGCTTTGAGGGCTTTTGGGACTTTCGGACTGATCCCTTAATATCTAAAGTTACACACTTTAATTTGAAATTTGTCTGAAAGATTTTGCTACGTCTCACCGCACCTTCAATGATGTTAATTTAATCTGAAAAGTTCACTCGAGTCTCTGAGGAAAATCATGAAAAACATAAAAGAAAATCACCTTCGCTTCCAATCGTCTGCTTTCAGTGATGGAATAAGTTTTCATTGATTCTTTTATTTGATTATTTTCCAATCTTAAGATTCATCTTCTACACATATCTTTAAGCTTCTTCATTTTTTTATTTCATTATAAATCAAAGTTTGTCCGAGATTCTCTACTTGAAGGCGCCGCAATCTTTGACTTCTCTTCGAATTTTAAGTGCCGATTTTTTTCTGTCGTCATGGCGTAAGATAAAGAAGAATGTTTCTTGTTCTTCAAAACCCAATAAAATGATGTCAATGATGAGATGAGGGATAACGAAAAACGATTCAGTTGAAATTTGATATCTTATGTTGGTGTCTTTGAAACGCAATTCTTGTTACAAAGTCAATTCGTGTTCGATGATTCTTTCTAAAGAATTTTCAATTTATATAAGAAGAAGATACTTGGCACATGTTCAATCTATCGAATGTGTTTTCAACGTTAGGATGTCATTAAATTGATATGAAGACTGTTTATCATTATTTTCAATTTTAAATGAAATTTAATTTCTTGAGCATGTTATCGATATACTTATGTGCAAAGATATCTCAACATACATCTTGAAAAAATGAGAAGAGTTGATATAGGTCAGATAAGATAAAATCCTTACTTTGGGGATGTTCTGCAGATGTTTCCCATCTTATTTGTTTTTAACCAGCAACTACTATTCCCAAACAACATGAAATTGCTGTTCAGACTTCAGTTTACTTAAATAATTACGAATTCTATTCTCATCTATTTATACTTACATTGGAATGTCCAAAATATTCCATACAATTCTTTAATTCATAAGCAATTTTATAATCTTCTTTCGTTTCTTCAAAAAAACATCTTCAAAGATGAGAATTTCATTATAAGAAGTTAATCGAGATTTTTTATTAGACCTTGATGTCGTTTGCACGAAGTTTATGGCTAAATCATTTATGAGATTCCAGCTGAAAGTCATTTTCATTTATCATAATCATTTCTTTAATTTCTTCGACAAACATTTTTTTATGTTGATGAGCATGATGAGTGTCAACAGATTTTAAAGTCATTAACGCAAACCGAAAGACATGCGGCGTTGGAATTTGATCCAAAAGTCTCATCAGTATCGTCTTCTTTCTTCTTTGTCAAAGAATGAATAGAATTTTTCATCGTCGACTGCATTTTGCTATATTTAGAACGAAGTTGACTTTTATTTGCATGAACACGCCTCTGTTTCTGTGACTTTCACTCTTCAGAAGCTTGAAAATATTTCAGGATATAAGAGACTTGAAAGTTTAATTCGACAACTCGGTGACACAGACATGACTCAGACATTCGTCTATCTATGATGTCATTTTATAGGTCAAATACATTTTCATTCATCTCAATATCCTCACAATGAAGTTCTCATGACTGTAGTTTAAGGTTTAAATTGCTATTTATCTACATAAATTAAACTTTTCATTTGCAATGTAAATTTTTCTTTCTTTTTCTGTTGCCAATTCCACTTGTGAAACTGCGAAAAAACACCTCAAAGCAGAATTTGCAAGTGCAAGAAAATATTCATGGTGAGAAAACAATTTTTTTCCATCGCTGTTAAGCGAGCGTTTTTAGTGAACATAAAGATTGAGACAGTGGAAAGAATTATGAATGTAAATTAAGCAGCAAGCGTTATGAATACGACACAAAAGATAATTTCGTTTGATGAAAGTATGTGCGAAATATTTAAGCCTTAAGGCAAATTAATTATAAATTTTAGCATGACAACGACATGAAAAACATGGAATTAATCACTATTTTTGATAATTCTTCTGTTGTGAACAAAGGCCGGTTAAATTATTTATGTATTCAAACTAATTTTTGATGCTTTTAATAAAATTTCTGTAAATTGGTTCTTGATTAAATATTTATTTTGATATTAAAGTTGAACAAGAGAAGAGCATTGAAATTGTAGAATTTTTCTATCTCACTTCTACTTAACACCGTAAACTGGAAAAATCAAATTAATAATTTAAAAATAATTGAACGTATCTAAAAGCAGATCAAGAACCTTGAAGTTAGTGAAAATAAAGTTGAAAGCATCAGAAAAAGTTTGACGTGAAAAATTCAGACACTGTCTGTTGTATTTACGAGTTTATTTCTTTTTTTGTAACATTTGTTGTTTGTTGATGTGAGAATATGTTGATTTAAAACTTTTTTTCTCTAGATTCAACATAGTTATGCTTTTATGGTTCTAGCATTTAGTGTATCACGATGAAATTTATGTTGATGACTTAATTTTGTTTAATTTCATCTCTACTTTTTGTGGAGGGGATTTGAAGCATTGTTTATGTTCTGTTATGGCGGCGAGAATATGTGTGTGGCATTGCCATAGCATGATAGCGTTGAGTGTCGATTTATTTAACGGATAACTCCAATTTATCGTCCATAATCCCTTTGTGATTATTCGGAGAATTTTGTTGTAAGTCTCTCTACTCTCGACAGAAGCGAATGACATTTTTTTAATCAAAGACAGTTAAATATTAGCACTGTAATAAAATAAACACTCACAAATCAAGTTAATAAAAAATGATTGTCTGCTTTTAAATCAATTGGCGATTTTCACATCATTAAGCACGGAAAAATTTATCGTCTTTTGACAGTTAATCGCCATTTCATTATATTTAACGCTTCATAAGAATGGAAACAGATACTGTTGAAGTGCTAAAGTAAATACTCGTCTCTTAGTTTACTTGCAAGAAAGTAAAAATTTCTCACGATGAAAAGTCTTTGAACCAAATGAAAAATTTCTTACAGATGAATTACGTCGAAAATGTGTGAAAACTAAACCATTGGATCACTGCCAGATATTGAAAAAAAGTGGAAATAAACATTCGCATGTGAAGAAAATTGAAACCTAAAAAAAAAAATTTCTCAGAGCTAAAGAAAAGATTTTCACTCACTTTTCGTAAACAAACAATTAATTTTCATTTGACGGCTTGCTCTGTTCCTTAAGGTTGCTTTATGCTAAACACTTTAATAAAGTTTGTTAGCTGTTTGGCGATAAATCAGCGAACATAATGCGGAAAACGTTGGAGACCACTGGCGGCGATTTTCCATTAGACCAGCTTCAATGGCCATTTCAATTATGAATCATTAACTTTTATTGCCACAGATTATTTTTTTGAGTTGTTGCCAACTTCCGCGACAAAAAACATGTGATTTTTGTTATCTAAACTGACCCAGTAAAGTCAGGAATGAAATAAAACTTTGCACTCATTGATTTTTCCAATTTGGATTTTTTCCTAACTTTCTCATAAACTGAATATTGAGAAAATTCTTCTCTGCTTCCATTTAACGTTGTTACAGAATTTTGTAATCGAATGAAAGAATCAACAAAAAATGAAACAAAATAATCTTTAAAATCCTTTTTATCTTTTATCTCTCATGTCGATAGTTTTCTTTCTTTTCTTTTGAGAAAACGACACAACAACACTAGAAAAGATTAATTCAAGAGAATTGAATTTTCTCAGACACATGCTATAAAGCTGCTGCCACAGCTACTTTGACAAGCTCGTAGCTTATGCAAGACATGCAAGGGAAAAAATCGATTCTCATAAATCTTGTTGCACTTTATGTTATGCAATGAAGTGACATACATCTAAAGAGATGCATTATGGATGAAAATTTATTATAATGTTGTTTTTTTCTTCTTCAATTCCTTATCGCTTCGAAATTAAACTCAAGCACAACGTGATGGAAGAGTTTCGAAATGAATATTTCTTCGTTTCATAACGGATTGGAAAGCGAAGAATTGTAAAGATATTTCGATGGTAATGGCAGCAATTGTTATTAAGAGAGCAATGTCAGTTCTTGCTTGCTCTTTTCAATGAAAAGAAATGTTAATTAATGTTATTATTCTACGAAGAAAGTTCGAACAATACACAGAAGTCTTTCGCAGTATGTTTTTGTTTTCCTTTTTATCGTCTTCTTCCCAAGAGAGAAAATTCATCAAAAAAGAAATTTCCTTATCTGTGAATTTTCTATCGGAGAGACAGAAAGAAATATTCAATTCAGAGACAATTGTTGGAAGCTTTTGATATGGAAAATGGTCTGACACTTATTAGTCTTACGATGTTAGTGACAACTCGTTAAGATTGCTGTTAATAAAAGTTTCCTTTCATCTCGGATTGCCTTGTCAATGTAGCAACCCCATGGCGATTAATCTCTGTGTTAATTAACTCCAACATTGAGATTTACCAAAAGAATCCTTTTTAATAATAATTATGATGAAAATCTGAATTTTGCCAGAAGCCTTAAAATTGTTTTGATTAAATGTTTGACATTTAAAGTTTGGAAAATTCTCCTACGCATTATAAATCAATCCTGAAATTAATGAAAGGTTTTTGATCTTCCAAAGCTGTGAAAAAATTGATTGTCATTCATATACATGAATTTGTACATCGAATGCATCATGCACGGAACCAGAAAACCACATTGCGGTTTGTTCTGTAATTTCAGCAAAAAGCTATGAAGTGAAACCACGGAAAAAAATTTTGTGATTGAAATGGCAGCGATTCTCGAGAGGATATAAACGTACTCATGCTAAATAACTTACTCACAATAAATTTCTGACTAAAACACTCTAAAACATGGAAATTGACTTGACTTGCGCACCTGTACAAGAAGATTGGCTTATTACGTAAAACAACCAACATTGTTTTAAGGAAAGAGAAGGAAGCATGGGACGTGAGTGTGGCATTGAAGAAGTTTCTTCAAGTCCCTTTAGATTTCAAATGAGGAAAGGAAATACACTGTCAGTGTTGCTTTCTATCGTGTTTACAATGTTCTGAAGTCATGAAGTGAATTGCATGAAACAGAAGCATGCATGCCATAAATTTTTCTCATTCGCTTTCATGTGCAACTAACTAACTAAATAAGTTATTTGGAAAATGGAGAAAATAAGTTTTTCTTATTTCGTGAAAACAGCAAGCAACAGTCAGATTTGTTGACTTCTAAACAGTAGCGTAGATAGTAAAGAAGTCAGTTGAGTTTATTTTTCACACTGAAAAGGTTTCCAATTTACTCCAACTTGTGCTGGAATCAAACTTGTTAACAAAGCAATTTATGTCTGCCAACATACTTAAGTAGATTTGAAAGCAACTGCAACAAATTAAAGAAGAAAAAACTTTTTTGTGTCATGATTTTAATGAGATGAGAAATAATTTTTCATCAAATTTCAACTCTTTTTCTTCCCTTTTGATCTTATGAAAAGTTTTCTTTCATTTGCGTTTCTTTTTTTGCTTTATTGCTAATTAATTTCGACCTTCGTCTTTCGTATTTCTGTTGAAAACAAAAACTCGCTCGTCGGCTTTTGAATCACGCGGCAAAGAAATTAAATGAAATTAAAAAAAGCGAGGCATGAGTAGCAAGAGTTTTCACATTTCACATCGATTTTTAATTAATTAAAATAATACGTACGCAGTCGGTTTCAATGCAGAGACATTTAATTTTAAAAACGCGTTTAAATACTTTCATGCTTATATCATTAGTCATGATGAATGCCCTTGATGTACGTGAGCTGTGCGTAAATTATTCCTGTGATAATAATAGCAGAGTGAAAGAGGAACTTCATCAGCCTTCTGAGTGAATTGCATGATATGCGAACATAATTAAAGTTTTAATAGATTATAATAAATGAATCGTTTGCGAGAGGAAAAAAGTTTACAAAGAAGCAAATAACAAAAAACAAGACAAATGTGGCGTTCTGTGGACAGTGATAAATCTTCTTTTAATAATATTGCAGCAGTCACATCATCAGTATTGGAATGTAGGTCAACAAAGTTCAGAACTTTTCTTACATAAACAAAATGTTTCAACCTTCTTAATTCGTAAATCATATTTTCATTACAAATTTGAGCGAGCAATCATGTCAGCAGTGAGAGTTGAGTGAGTGGGCAGTTCAAGAAAGAAATTTGCTTCAAATCATAATCATGATGAAATGTCAAGTAATTGAGTCGATCTCGATCGTGATTTTAATGTTTGATGGGCCTGTAAAAGTCTGCGTGACAATATGGGTTAGTAATAGTAATACATAATGCCAGTTACTTTTCATTTTTTAGAGAAACAATGACGGACGTTGGTTCTTTCGTGTTTCCTTTTTATGTTCTGAAATTTCATGACTTTTATAAATTCATCACTCAACTAAGTTAATAATGTGAATTTATTTCTTTCTATAAAAATGTTTTGATTGTATGAACATCAAACATTCAAACATTATAATGTAAATTTAGTGTTGTGTGAATGAAATAATTCATTCAAATAGAATTAATGATTAGGTTGAATGTTCCAAAATGTATCATTTAAAAATGATTTTGCTTAAACTGCGTTTGAAGAAGTTTTGTCATCTTTTAGCTTCTCCATCAATGAATCGAGAAAAATGTAATGGTAGGCTTCAAATATCAATAAGAATACGGTTGCACCAAGAACAGTGATGTGAGATATATTTTGTGAATATTTCTTCCAAGTTGAATCTGTTGAAGTAACAAAATATAAAGAAAAGAACAATTTTGTTTATAATTGAATCAATCAAACATACTTGACTCAGGATCTATGAGAATCAACCACATAAGCAAGAAAATTGTCACCACAATCTCAACGTTAAAACATATTTTATAAGGCATTATTTTCGATGGGTTTCTCTATAATAAATTATAATATTATTAATTATACTTTATCATATCACACTTGATATCACATAAGGTTAAATTTACAGTTTTTATTCCTTGAATAAAGATCCAACAGATGTATGCAAGACCAACACAAATGATTGCTGCCAACCATAAACCAATTCCAACATAAATATCTTCATTAGTTCCATCTGTAAATTTATATCGCAACGTGAATGCGTCGAATGATGTCATATCATAAACTTACTGTAAAAAGTTAAACTGAAACCACAGATTACAAATATTATGACGTAAAATATGGAACAAATTAGTGACATCCAACCATTTATAAGTCCTGCAGTTTCAAGCTCAAGGCACCAACAAAACTTTTCAAGTCTCAACATTTTCACTTTAATTTTAATGTTGACTTAAATGTGCGAAACTCTTAACAGATTAGAAGTGAAACTAAGATGAAATGGGAATAGTTCTCGGCTTTTATATCATTTAGTCTCATGAACTAACACAAATATAAATATGAGAGAAGAATGCGAAGGAAAAAATAAAACTTTATTAATAATAATGTAAATTTAGTATGTTGAATATTGAATAAAAGTGATTTTGTTTAAACTGCGTTTGAAGAAGTTTTGTCATCTTTTAGCTTCTCCATCAATGAATCGAGAAAAATGTAATGGTAGGCTTCAAATATCAATAAGAATACGGTTGCACCAAGAACAGTGATGTGAGATATATTTTGTGAATATTTCTTCCAAGTTGAATCTGTTGAAGTAACAAAATATAAAGAAAAGAGCAATTTTGTTTATGATTGAATCAATCAAACATACTTGACTCAGGATCTATGAAAATCAACCACATAAGCAAGAAAATTGTCACCACAATCTCAACGATTAAA